CGAAGTACGTCTCGTGCCCTCGCTTGAATCCCTTCAAAACTTGCATAGCCGACAAAACATGTGATTTAACCTTTTCAACATGTAAAGGAACATGAACGTTTACGTCACCTTCCGTGAAGCTCATTGACTTGGTTTTGTGGAAGATCACCGTCATTTCTCTCATGAACTTCACACCAAATATGACTTTGTAATCGCTCATCGGTAGCACCATGAAGTCCAATTTGCCGTGCCATCCACTAATTTGAACTGGGACTTGTTTGGCCATGCCGGTGATTGGTTTTGACGCCGAATCCGCCGGTTTCATCCACCCGATTTCCTTTGTCACCTTTACACCCATTTCCACCGCCTTGTCTTTGGACAAGAAGTTTCGAGATGCTCCTGAATCCATCAAGACCTTCGTAGATACCCCGTTCACCTTGGCCTCGCAATATATGAGTTGATCCTCGGGTCCCTCCTCCGTAGGCACTGTGAACATTTCCTCGTTTGCCTTTACGGCATTGAGGACTCTCATTGCTCCCAATCTCGCCTCTTCGGGCTTCTCCCGCTCCTCTTGGACTACGGTGGTAGCATTGAGAGCTTTCCTCTTCGGACAATCCCTAACAAAGTGTGGTCCTCCACACGTGAAACAACTCCGGTCCTTTGCATCGGTCTCGGGTGCTCTCTCCTGAACCCTTAAAAAATGGTTTGTTCATCGGCTTGTAGGGCTTCACTCCCCCACCTTTGTCCTTGATCACTTTCTTGGGCACAAAGTCCCGTCGGATCTCCAAAAGATCCTCGGCCGCTGATATGGCTTCTTGTAATGTTTGGACCTTTTGGCGCCTCAACTCGATCGCCGCCCATGTTTGTAACCCCTCCATGAAGTTGAACAAATGATCCTTCTCGACCATCTTGGGGAGTTCGAGCATCAACTATGTGTATTCATTGATGTACTCCCTAACGCTACTCGTATGTTTGAGGTCGCGCAACTTCTTCTTGGCCATCTCCTCGGCATTCTTCGGGTAGAATTGATCCTTCAAGTCGGACTTGAATTCTTCCCACGTATCGATTCGGGCTACCCCTCGGGCTGTATCATTGTGGCGCCTCATCTACCACAAACCCGCATTATCCGACAAGTACAAGACCACCGTCTTGATTTTGTCCTCCTCATCGCGTATTCTTTCTGCACCTTGGTGCCACCTCCCTCCAAAAGAAATTATCAATTTCCTTAGGAATACGCTTACCCCAATACTTCGGAGGTTCCGGAGCTCTAACCCGCGAACCTTCCCGCACCTTGGTGCCGCCTCCCTCCAATGCTGCCTTGAACAAGACTCGATCCTCCTCAAGGCGCTCCAACCTCAAAGTCGTATGTTCCCGCAATTCGCATAACTCCACCGCGGTCATGGCTTTGAATTCCACCCTCAATTTGTTAAGGGACGTCATCATGGTACCCTTCAACGCATTGATAGATTCCAACACGAAACTCCTCAACTCGTGGAGTCCCGCCAAGGCGTTGTTCTCGACTTCGCCCATGTTCATCTCTAAGGTGTTCAACCGCTCTATGGACTCCCCCACGGCAAGCTCCAGCTTGACCGCCCGTGTTTCCAACTCCGCAATGAATTTCCGAGACCTACTTCGTCTCTCCTTGCGTCCATCCAAGCCCGCAGCATTCCGTCCGACACGTTCCCGTCGTTTTCTCCCGACATTCCCACCGCTTGCCAAGATCGTTGGTCTGATACCACGTGTCACTGGTTAACTTCCTTCACTCGAAGTAACCGTGCGCCTCTTAGCAACTCGCTCACGTCGGCTATTAAGGTATGCTTCCCCAACTCGGCCAAGCACCACAAAAGCCAAAGGCTTTTTAGAGGGAGAAACTAAAGAGAAAAAGTGTGGAGAAAAATATTTTTAATTGCTAAGACTTGGATGATTTACAAGTGAGGTGCAAGCACCTATTTATACAAGCCAAATGAGTAAATGCTATCTCCCCAACTACCGAATTAAATGCAATCTACCAACAATCAACCATCAACTCTCATCTACCTTATTAATGTCAAGTTCTACCACCTTCTAAAACCTTCTAGAAGATACTAGTGAGTTTGAGTGAAGTCTTTGGCATAATGAAAAAGTGTTAAGTATAGAAAAACCACCGCGACCGCTCAAAAATCCGACCGTGACAATAGGCCTCTCATTACATATTATAAATATTTTTAATTGATATTTATTTACGTCGATATTATACATCTGTTGAAATATCATTTTTTATTGTTGGGGAAAATGTGATATATATTTGTAAGATAGTGAAGAGAATAGTTGAATAGTTCGTCAAATCACGTTGAATGTGCTTTTTAAATAAAATAATTTTACCTCATGCTTTGTCACGAGTATAAGGAATTTCTAATAAAAGAATAACTTGATTTTTGTCCAAAAAAAAACGAATGAAATTGAAGTCAAAGATATCAAAGTGAGTAAGGTTGTAAATTCATGTAGGAATTATATATTTTTTTTCAATTCATTTTTCTTCTAAATGAAGCCAAAACACCATACATTTAGCAGAGTTATAAAACAAACGAAAAGTTCGCGAGTTCGGCTCGGTTCGGTTCGGTTCGTTTGAGCTCGCTAAGAGCTCGTTCGTTAAGCTAAACGAGCCGAATACGAACATAAATTTTGGCTCGTTATGTTCACGAACGAACTCGAGCTTATTCGCGAACGTTCGATAGTATTTATTAGAAAAATTAAATTAATAATTTTATATTTAATAAGTATATATATTTATAATATTATATTGCAGTCTATTTTTATTTACATTTATTAATAAAAATTATAATTATTATTAACTAAATTTAAATTTTTTAAAAATTAAATATATAAAATAAAATTTCTCTTAACGAGTCAAGTCGAGCCGAACACGAACAAAAAAATTGCTAAACAAGCCGAGCTCAAACAAAAATTTCAGCTCGTATCTCTTAACGAACAAACACGAACCGAGCTCGAGTCTTTAACGAACTGAACTCAAACATGACAAGTTCGAATCTGTTGACTCGTTTACAGCTCTAACATTTAGAGGCATAGGAGGTGAACAAAATATCATGCATTTTCAGTTTAAAATCATGATTTATTTTCAAAAATTTTAAACACTATTTTGAAGAAGATATCTTGTCACTTTTGAACTCAATTTTAAAGTTTAAAATTTAAGAGACACAATTATTTGACAAATGATACAATTTTTTTATTCTAAATTTTCAGGAAATGTACTTTTACTTAGACGTGGGCATGCATAATTTTCAAAACATGAACTCTACCTTAAGTGTGACACACTACAAAATTTATTCATTCTTTTATATAAAATTTAACTTCACAAACTGTGTTCTTCACGCATCCTCATTCTAGTTTTTATTTAGTCTCAAAGTTCTTTGATTTCAAAGATACTTAATTACACTAATATGATCAACAACATCAAATTAAAATATAAGCATAAAAAATACATGCAAAAATACTTACAAACTATATTTATATGCTCTCATCTCATTCAAATTTATGCTAATTTTTCATTTTTTGGTTATCATAAATAAAATACTTTTATTCTTTCTTTTAAAGTAAAAATACCATTTTTTTTACTATAAATTTTTTTTTAATCCATTTGTTTTAAACATTTGTGCCTAATCAAATCAGCATAAGTTTTAATAACCGAAGTAATATAAAATGATTATTTTCTAAAAATTTCATATTAAAAGTAAATATATTTGTGTCCCTTATACTGTAGAGATGGGTTTTTAAGAATAACCATAATTAATAAATATATTACTAGAAATGATTATAGTACAATACAAAAGACAAATTATAGATAATTAAATTAATTAATTGATTGTGTTGTAGGGAGCGAGGCAGCTGCACGGGTCTTGCTTATTAAATACCATGCTCATTAATCTGCCCTTGCTTTCTTAATACACCACACTTAATTAATACATACAAAACTAATCTACAGTGATATATCAAGTTCCTCCCCTAACATAAAATTAATTAATCACTTATGTTTTTTCTAGGAAAAAAAAATATATATACATGATGTAGAGTGTTTACCTATATAGCTACCAAGTCTAATCAAACCTTTTCCTTTTTCGGTTTGGTTTGTTTTGCTCTAAAGTTTGTTGATTGATTAGCAGCATCATCATGTACTTAATGCATAATTAAAATTGATTTATATATTCAATTAAAGAGGCGGGGTGGGTGGGGAGTAGGCTTTTCCTCGGCTTAACTTGTTATTCGTTAATGGTTTCCACCACACCTAATAATATAAAAATAGTCTTAAGGACATTAATCATGGTTGATTGAAGTCATAATTATCCTTTAAGATTGCCCAAATCCCAAACATGGCCCACCCACCCTATATTATAATTATTATTATTATATCCCTCTCAATCAATCACGTTCAACGCAAAGTTAATTAATCAAACACCCCCCAAATCAAATCCAATTAATAATCGAATCTCACCAAAATTGAAGGTATAATTAATTGAGTTAGAACATTGGAAAATACATCAATTGTGATAGTAACACAAACAAATAAGCTCCTCTATTATTATTATTACTATTTATTGTTTGTAATGATAGATGTCTCCTTTTTACAGCCTCAGAAGATCTGGCATAATCCCCTTTTTACAAAAGCATAATCATTAAATAATCCAAGGGGGGGAGGGGGGGGGGGGGGATGTTTGATTAACAGGTAGTAATAATAATAATAATAGTAGTAGTAATATGTAGTAAATTAACATGTAGAGTAGCAACTTGAATTTGTCTTAGGGAGTTAGTGGGTAGAAAAGACAGAATCAACCCCGCCCCCGTCACTACTCACTCACTGCAGTGCCTTACTAATTATAAATTACTTAGTGAGAATGCATATATAATATATATCGAAATGCAAATGGCAGGCGTCCCTTTCCTTCTCTTTATTATGTTGTTGATAATAGACATATAATATAGTGGTGAGGTGAGGTGAGGTGAGGTTGCTATCCGTTACAATTTTCAAATTTAATTTGGAGAGCTATAAACATATATAATATAAATAATTTTGATTAACAGAAAGTCCGGTGACTGGGAGGGGACTTAATTTAAAGAATAGTAGTAAGTTAACTAAGATCAATAAGAGAAACTAAACTAAACAAGTAAATGTGGAGGATGCTCTGCATGCATATATGGTGTGTAGGGTTGGTGACTGGGGTTCGCTGGTTGCCTCGCCGCAAGTCTATCTATCATCACACTAGTCGGTAGTCAGTCAGTCATCTCGGTGTAGATGTATTCTTTCTCTGTTCAAATGACAGACACTGCATAGCTTCTTTTAGCTACAACAGAATCACAAGAATTTGTGTTGTGATTGCTTCTTGTTCTACATAATAACCCAAGCTGAACGGACTTCGGGTATTAAACAGCCCTAACCAATAGAGAGTCACAAAATGACTGCACACTACTATTCAACTTCGAGCCATGGGAAGCAAGGATAGTTAGTTTTTAAGGTTATTCATTTTTTATCAGTAGATCCTTTAAGATTAATACCAAACCATTTCTTTTTTGAAGACTTATCTTTTGACTCTGAACTACCCTCTTCCCCTGCACTTTCGGATCTAAAATCTTCTCCAGTAAATTTGCTGCTGTTGCTTCCATTGCTGAAATGTCCGCTCCCACTTGAAATAGCAACGGATCTTGCAACAGTAAAGGAAGATTGGATGCTGTTGCGTTTTTTTAGCAGTTCATCAACCTGTTCAGTCATTATGAAAATCAGAATTTACACGAGGTTGCATACACTGCCAAACAAGCCATTACAGATGAATAAGTCAATGCTTGTTGGAAACAAACAACTTCTACCACAAATTGGTTTGCAAATAATTCCTCAGTACAGGCTTACTCCTAGCAGAGGGTTCAAGATAAGACAAAGACGTCAATGGGAATTTCAGTCTTCATTCAAACTAAGTTGAGAGATTTTAATCTTAGCCATGAAATTCTGATCAACTAAGGAAAGACCTTAAATCTAGGTAACACTAGTAAGAAGCTACAGCCAGCCGGAGTGGCCAGATCATTGTTCATGAGGAAACAAAGCAGATTAATCATAGTAAGTTCAGCATCAATAATGCTGGTTATGCCAAGCCTATGTTGATAATGATGATATACATAGAGTAGTCATGTGAGGAAAATTCAAGTTCCATTCTCAAGATACACATACATAAAAGATAATGGTCTTCTCTATTTCGGGACACACATATCAAAAGAGTAGGCCTGGATTAAAACAAAGATGCACTTCTGAATGAAAGCTTTGCAACAACAGAAGGTTACTCCAACAAGAAAACAACATTGAGGATTCTTGCTTGCAAACTTACAGACTGTTTTTCTTCACTGTATCTATTGGTAACTTCTTGGAATCGTGCCAATGCCTGAACATAGAGAAAATGGACTTTCATATTAGGATTATACCAAATATCTGCACTTCTTACCACAGAACACACCATAGCACAGTTCAGTGGGGGAGAATACTGAAGACCTTCCTATATTCTGTCTCAAACTGGCGTAGTTCATTTCTCTTCCTTAAAATCTGAGTTTCAATATCTCTGAGTTTTTGGGTTGTATCTCCATATGTCTTCACACAAAGTGCCTCAATTGTATAGATAGCAGGCTTAAAGAAATTGTCTCCTGAAGAAATCACGCCGTAAGGGGTTCAAGTTGCTTCTCACAATCATTGATTACTATTATAGAATTATAGGACAAAACACAATATTAATTAACAGTAAAATATCAAGTGTGGAAAGCAGTTCAAACCATAAACAGCAAATATGTGAGTGCCAGCCTTTAGCTCCGAAACCTCACAAGGTTGAAGGCCTTCCAGTCTTTTGAAGAAAGCAGCTTCAGGATCCTTAGCCATGGCCAGCTACACCATCAATGTGCATTTAGTAAGGAATATAATCATTCTAGCATCAAGCTTGCTCAGTAAAATTAGAGAATATATATATGTATATATAAATTGCGCACCGCATTTACAGTTGAATCCATTCTGTACACTTGAAAATGCAAGAAGTACATTCCAGCAGATGTAACCTTCCCTGTTTTCTCACTTTCTTCCTGCATATATTTGACACTATTCAGTTGACAAAATGACAAATGTGTTCCCAACATTGAAATTAAAAATATTCGACTATTTTCAGAGAACAGGAGAACAACATAATTTAAACATCTTTGGATGAAGAAGTGATTGGAAGTGACATTATGTACTGCAGATAAAAATCTTAAATAAGTTATGTGTAGACTTAGAATATAATCCAAAACACCGCAAAGCACTCGGTCTTCTCTGAAAAATAAAGTTTATAGTAATGGTGTAAAATAAGTTCAAAGTTCATATCAATATATAATATCAGTATATACATTGTGCATCAGTTGCGAACAGCATTGTCAAGGTCTAATAATTAAAATATGCATAGCAAGCAAACTGCACCATGTCAGTAGGATGGATAATTATGGAAAACGTCTTACAAGAATCAGACAGGATTTCGAGAGTACATAATGACTTAGACCATCCACAACACAGAAATCCACTTTTGGGAGTACATAATTAAATTATTTTGTTAATATTGATTTGTTTAATAAAATTAAATAATATTTGTATTTATATATTTTGAAATTTAAATTAATAAAATATATTCAATATTGATATTATTTTATAAAAATACTACAAAATTTTATAAATTATAAAAATATTATAAATTTAAAATATAATAATATATTTAATGTAAATCAATAAAATAATTTATATACATATCTAATATATATCGTATACATGTTATATGTCCCAATTAAAATGGGATACATGGCAAAAACCAAACATCTCCATGGGATACATGGCAAAAACCAAACATCTCCACGTAGATATTCGGGAGAAAATATCTCCTATTTTTTCTTTTTTTAAAGCTGAGGTGGCAAATCTCCAAAGCTCGTTGTTGCTGCTCTTAGGCCACATCCAACAAAGATACCCATTTAAAATATTTCTACACTTTGGCATCATATTATCTTTCATCCACATCATATTCTCCACATCATCATTTATCTTTTGTCTGATTGTATTTAATATTAAAAATATTCTTATATTTGTATAATTTTTTCACAAATGTCATTGTAACAGTATTACAAGACACTAATAAAAATATTTTTGTCATTTTTTTTTATTTGTACTACATTTTTGTATTAAAATTAATATTGAATGATCAACACGCTAAAAAATAAACGAGACCCTTAGAATCGAACGAAGGTAGTATATACTTATATTTATATTAAATTAATTATTTTTAAAAGTAAAAAATTTAATAAAATATATCAATAAAATTTTATATAATATAAAAGTATAAAAATAATTAAAATATAAATTTTAATAAAAATTAAATAAAACAAAAAGTGAAAATCTGATTGGTATCTGTGCAAGAGAAACCCACCGGATTCTTTATTTTGTTTAAAATTCAAAATGGTGACCTGCCATATGACCTCCCGAGAAGATACCCCGCTATTTCGTTTGGTTGTTAATTGATTATACTTGTTCGATTAACTGTTAGTATTAGCTGATTTGAATAAATGAATATACTATATGCTTATATTAAAGTATTTGAAATAACAATTAAAAATATTTTTATTTTATTTTTAAAATATACAGTTGCTTCTATGTGTAGCATTTCTTAGAAATTTTATTATTTCTTGAAAATTTTATTAAAATATTGCTTTTTTATTTTTTATATATTTTTGTAAATTAATTAATGTATTTTTATTTGAAAATATGATCATTCTTTTTTCATTAGAAGTGTAAAATATAAAAGAACAAATAATTCATATATATATATTTATTATGTTAATTTTTAATTAATTTATTTTTTCATTAAATTTATAATTTTAAATAAATTTATTCTAATATATTTATTTTTAACAAAAAATTTATTTGACAAAAACATATATATAGATAAATTAATAATATTAATATTTTTATTTTATCTTTATTCTAAAAAATTAAAACATTTTACCAATAAAATGATTTACATATAAAAAATAATTATTTTAATTATTTTAAATGCTGAAATATACTGCTTTTGGAGATCAATAGACTATTTCAAAAAAGTAATTTAGCAAACATTTAATTAGTTTTTTACCGATCAAACAACTAAAAGTTGTTCAATAAGTTAAAATTTTTACAGAAAGTTGCTTTCCAAATATGTGGTCTTCAAGTTAAATTCACATTGAATCACTTAACAAAGACTAATTCATCATCCTGCACAGTTCTATATCACGGCCACAGAGCTAAAATTACTAGTACAAATTAAAGAGGTGGTGTAAAACTTTTAGCCTCCACAATGAACACTTAAAACTGCATTATGATAAGGAAATCATAATACTATATAAACTATAAGAGACAGACATTTACCTGCAATGCCAGACCATACCCCCCATTTGCATCATGTTCAAAGTACAGGAGCTGAAAATCACATGAAACAAAAAGTTAAACCCCTAAGAGTGGAAACCATGATGCCTCTGGACAGATGCAATGCAAGTAGACAAAAGGTAAAAGATACATAGTATAAACTCCATTTATCTAGCTATTGCATATTATACCTGCATGAAATATTAGGGTCAATCAAATAACTTGTTTCTATTTTAACAGTGTTGAGTGTATTCATGTAGTCAACTTCAACTAAACAGTCCTTTATCCATCATTTATGTTACAAGAGATAAATGAACACCTTGAATTTACTTTGTGAAGCTGATGAAACTCTAACTACAATTCCTGAGTCTGCTTGCTCTTCACTGATGGTTACACCAAAGAAGTGAGCACATTGTTTCTCTACCTGTTTTTTAAGTAACAAACAGAAAAAAATTAAGATAAAATGCAAACCCAGAAAAAATAAATAAATAAATGAGTGCAAGCGGAAAAAGCTTTTTCTTATAGAGGTGGACTTCACCTACCTTGCCACTTACAGCAGTTCCCATTGGAAGAGGTCTAACTGTGACAGTTCCATTCAAAGCTTCTTCAAGAACATTAGCAGAAATTGTGGTCTTGATAGGCACACCCAATTTGCTAGCCAAATGAATAAAACTAATGAACTTAAATCGTATTAGACATATCAAATAGGTCCAGTCTTGAAGGAAAATTAAACCTGAATAAAGCAGCAAACATTGTATTGACAGTTCCAAGATTTGACAAATCAATCTCCATATCCATTCCTTCAGCATCAAGTGCCTTGTTGTAGTTGAAGACAAACAAGAAAAGATTGTAGTTGAAGACAAACAAGAAAAGTGTTAGAAGCCACCCTTAAATATATAAATAATTTTGACAGAACAATGTAAAATCAGATCAAAAACAAAATGATTATCCTGCCTCTCACAAACAATTACTAAGCAACAACAACCCAATGTTTCAAACCACTATCCTTTCGTATAATTTAGGAGATAAAACACACACATGTCAAAACAACCTGCAAGGAGAATACAAGGCATGAAAGTACCTCGAACCCTGAAAGATCATATTGCCTCCTTTTCTCTGGGTCAGATAAAATGTTGTATGAATATGCAACCTCCTTGAAAAGCTCAGAAGCTTCCGGATTGTTAGCATTCTTGTCTGGATGGTACCTGTTCATACTTTAGTTTTTCTCAACCACCAAAATTTACTACTCAAACATCAGGTTTATGTTTATGGGGTGTGCATGCATGTTGAATATTAAAGAGACATGAGACAAAAAAAATTTCTAATGAAAATTAGGAAGATATTTGTATAACCTATTCCTCAATCTAGCGTTGTATTATCCCTGCACTGTAAACACTTTTCTCCTTCAGAGCCAAATCTGAAACTATGAGCACAGCTCTACTCATTCTCGGACGAACAATTACCAAGCCTTTTAACTCCAGAGAAAAAATAAATCATTTCTTATAGGACAGAACTCTGCTGTAACCCATACTTCATGATAAAAATACTTATAATATAATATCATGAGCATATTCATATCACTATTCATCAAAGCAGCTTCAATCCCAATTAGAGAAATATAATAACACAAAAAGACAGTGATATCAAAATAAGATTGTTAAGTTAGGTCACAAAAGCAACCCAGGGATACGGTCAACTTCATAAATCGTTCCTACAAATGGAGACGTGAAATAATAAGCTCATATATTCAAATTAGCTCCAAGAAGAAATAGCTAGGTGCAGCATATGAAAATTCATAGAAGGGAGGAGATCTTAAAAAAGAAGCTCACTTGAGAGCAAGCTTTCGGTAGGCAGTCTTAATATCTTGATCAGAAGAGTCCTTAGAGACACAAAGCACCTCATATGGGTCTCTCCTCACCGGCAGTGCTGATGGCCCATCCACTTTAGAACCCACCATTATCCCCTCTCTAAACTCGGCTTTCTTTAATATTTGTTGTCAAGATTCACCTATAATGGTTCGCACATTCCCCCAAATATATCAGGGCTCGAATGTCACGTACAAAACTACGGCTAGATAGTCCCTCTCCAGTTATCTGCAAGTAAGCCGACAAATTTAGTTTCTTTCCAAGAAACGAGCAAGAGCCTACATAGTGTAAGTCGCATAAAAAAGGCTTCTCGAATGAATGGAAATCAGCAAAAATAACCCTGAAGAGTAATCAATAAAGCACACAGAGATTTTAGCAGCAAGATCTATTCACCGAGTAATGAAATAGGCCGCAGACATTGCAGCCCTATAACCAGCATAAACATAAATGAACAAATCGGGCAAATAAGAACAATTAACAAAGAACAGGTTAGGGCCTTTTCTTTATTTTTTCGAAATAGTTACCTCGTCGGATGTGCAAAACAGGGATGGACGAGGATGGATTGAAAGCGGGAGGGAAGATAAAGCGTGGCCGTGTTTTTTTTTTTTTTCCGCTTCTTTCTCTTGGGTGTATTAATTTTAGTTTAAATTTGGAAATAACGTATGATATTTTCTCAAAAATTTTTATTTGAATTTGATAATAACAAAATTTTGTAAGAAACTGTATTTGATCATATAAAAAAATAATATTTATACTTGAATTTGTTCATTTATGTTTTTGATAATTATTTTTTTATATTAAATATAAGAAATTATATTGATAATATAAAATAATAATATGTTTTGAATTATTGATTTTTGTAAATATTATAAAATCTACCTATTATGTTATATTATATTTCATGATAATATTTTTAAGGAATCGTACAATAAAAAAAAATACTGAGTGAACATAATTATTTTTTCTACATTTATCTACCAGAAACCAAGTTAAACGATTTTATAAAATAATTTTAACAACATAGATAATAGTTAGAGATGAAAAACCTCCATAAAAATTCTTTTACTGTTTCTGAGCTCTAAAGAATGATTAAGTATTCAAGTGATAAAATGAAAAAAAAAAAAATACAAGAAAATCTATTAATATTTATAGGTTTCTTCCTATTTATAGGTTAATGAAAAAAACTATTTTTTCATTCTTATTGCCCTTGATGGCACGCTTTCACCAATTTCTGTGTAATATTGTCTCACATTGCTAAATGTCTGGGAACTCTCCTACTATATAAGAGTGAGCCACTCCACCTCCACCTATTACCAATTAGTTTTAGGTTAGATACCCGGATCCCTTCTTAACATCTATGATGAAGAATGCGCATCTTCATTGCACATCTAGCATTGTTTTTTATTGGACTTAGGTTGAACCTCACCCTTTCTAGCTATTTTGCGGGGAATTGAAATGACGAAGTTGGAAACATATCCAACATGACATTTGAAGAAGGTTTTCTATCGCCAACGATGTGGCAAAACTCTATAATCAATATCTTATGTTCCAAGGCATTTGTGAAGTTCTCAATTTGGGAACATATGTCAAAAGAAATTATTTGACCCATATAAATGTCATTTTTTGTTTGTAAAAAAATATATGTAGAGGGCAATAGATATGTCATCTTATGGCAAATGGCGTGGGAGGTCACCATAATCCGCAAAAACAACCATTTAATTATCTCTTTAAGTTCGTTATTTACTGAGCTCTACTTTAGCTTCCTCTTGAAGCTCAGCTTATATTTAACGGTAGATATAAAGTAAAGTGAAAACAAAGTTGTAGTTTTCTCCATATATCGAAGACATATTTTATACTATTTTTACTAGTGAATTTTAATGTAAAACTAAAAAATAAGACAAAATTAGATGAAAACGATTTAAACTTGAATTTACCTAAATGAGGTAAAATGATATCTAATTGGTGGATATTGCAATAGTACTAAGATGGCGGACAACAATGAATGGGGTGTTAATGAGTGAACTTGGTGGATTTTAGGTATGTCATAAAGTTTGAAAAGTGCGCAAAATAGATATGTGTATAATGAGATACACATTGAATGAAAACAATGGGTGTAAGTTATAGCGAATTTTGAGTAAATATATTTAGAATGGGAGGAAATTGAGTAAGGTGTTTGTGTTTGAGATATTAGTTGCAATGAGAAATAACTAAATTACCTTAAATGTAATGTGCGAGGTGGTGTATTTGTGTTAGCGAAATTATACTTATAGTCATTAAGTGCTTTGGAGGAATGAATGTGATCATATTTATTCATTTAAGCTTGATTTTTGACTAAATTGGTATTTGATTTTAGAAATTGCAATGAAATTTAAAATTTCCAGTCAATAACATTATCTAAAAGAAAGACACGATCACTGGACGTCTTTGTGACTTGATATACAAACATTTATTTCTAGTTAATTATTACTTAAATAGTTTCAATAGTGGGCTTACTCATTTTTAATAAATGTTATATATTTATTATAACTTATCAGGTCGACAAGATTCCTACATACTTAATTGCTACAAATCATTTATATTTTGTTAATGAATACAATGCAAGCTTAAGCATTGATAGTTAATCTTTCGTTGTGTTTTCACAATTTCATCAAGAGTTTAATTTTAAAAAATTCAAGTGTGAATATGGATAGAGTGTGTGAATCAAATGGATGAAAAAGACTAATGATATTTTATTTCCCAATGAAGTTGTAAACTGTTCTAAATTTTAACTATTGAAAAACAAGTAAAAAACACATTGAAAAAATGATTACAGTGGCAGAAATGGGTGGTCAATGGTGGAAAACTTTTAGAAAATTCTTCTGACCGCCATGCTAAGCTAACAAAAAAAAAAAAATAAACTCTTTACAATTTGAACTCTAAAGTCAAGTAGTAAGATTGCTAAAGAGTGTCTTGCATGATGCATAATTATAAATAAATCTTATCGATATTTATAGGCTCCAAAGATGGCGGTCAATTAGTACCAACAGTTAAATTACAAAAACTTTCAAAAACATCATAACCGTTCACCTTGATCAATGGTTAGCTGACGTCCAGCACACACCTTTCTCATGGTAGCACAAGTCATCAAATTTGGCGTTTGGACCGAAAGATGGAACTCGGAATTGCGAACACTTCAATTGTGGATCTGGCGTAAATGGTATGTTCGTGTAGAATCTAACGTCAGCAATGGCATGGTTGGTGCTGACACATAAATAGCTGGTATTGATGGAGGAAATTCATAGTTTTATGGGATTTAGGTAAAATACATATTGTTTGAGATAGGAGCTGGCATCCATGTCTGTTGACTCTCCAATCCGTTGGCGGCTTTTGGAACTTTGGTCTGGCCTGAACTTCGTATTTATTTTTTCAACTTTTTGAGTGTAAATATCATATATGAAATCAAGTGAAATATGACAATAATGTATGTCATAAATAATTGGGATGATTTTTACATAAAAATATAAATAATAATCATATTTTGCAAGAAAAAATATATTCGAATTCGGAATTATCAACAATCTGTTGAAAGCATCCAACAACTTGTCTCCATTTATACTTTTATTCTACATGTTGATCACTTTCTCAATCTTAATCGAATATGTTGTTAAAGTCTCTCACTAAGTGTGCTAATATGTTGGCTTGAAAAAAAAAAAAAAAAAAACAATAAAAGACTAAATATATACATAGTAAAACTTTTGGTGGATGATTGGTTCTTTCTTGTTTGGCTTATTTGTCCTTATTCATTTCTCACTAATGTATGTAACGGTTGTCACTTCACTCCATTAATCTAACGGATTCTTACTTCTTTTTCATGGTGGCGGCTTCACTTCTTTAATATTTTGTCAAGATTATGTTTATTCTCTTAGATGAAGATGCTTATTAATGAAGCTTGTTAAATAATGAACTAACTCTTTATGATAGTAATCGAGTAATTCTCTTTGAGTTTTCAATTTTATGCATTATTGAGTGAACTTGCTTGTTTGATTGTAATTTGAAACTATTTGAAATATGTTTTGATTTAGATTTTTATTTAAATAAAATTTTTAATATGATATTTTATAAAAATATATTTTTTAATTAATAACTGTATAAAATAAATAATTTTAATTTGAAATAGTAACTACACACATTAGAAATCTTTAAATTAGCCATATGATTGGATCAATTTGCATACTAAGAAGAATGCTAATAAAATCTCAAATCTATCATAGTAAAACCTTTTGAATCAATCCATTTTATAACATAATAAAAATATATATACATAGGATTTTTTATTTATTTTTTGTTTACATTCGATATTATTTTTTATTAAAAAATATTTATATTCTTTTAATAAATATATTATTATTATTTAAAAAAAAAATATCTAAAAAATAAAAAAATAAAAATTTAATATTACTTTCTCTGTCCCAAACAAGGTACAATATTTACTTTTGGCACGGGTTTTTAGGTGGATAATATTAAGTAGGATAATTTATAAATTAAGTAATGTGATTGAGAGAGAAATGTATATTTTATTTTTTTATTTGGGCGATGTGAGGGGATAAAGTGTGGAGTAAGGATAAGTATGATTAAATATTTCCTATGTTGCATGGTATTTGGGACATACAAAAAAAATATTGCAGGGAGTTTGGGACGGAGGGAGTAATATTTTATAATTTGTAATAAAAATATTTTACAAAATAAAAGAATATAATTAAATATTTTAAAAATATAATGTAAAAATGTATTTAATTGTCATTTTAATATAAATAACTAATATTAATACTTTTTTTATGATTCTTTTTTTTTTTTGTCACGATTCTTTTTTTATTTTTATAGTAAATTTATTTTTTTTAAATATATTAAAAAAATATAATTAAATTTTTACACGTAAAAGCTTTGTTTTTATTGCTTTGTCTTTTTTTTTTCATAAACAAATATTTTGATTTATATTTAATTTTTTTTATTTTTTATAAAATTAATTTTAAATTTTTATTTATATCGTATATAAAATTTATTAATCTATACTATTTAAAATAACTAAAGCATGTTTTTACTGTAACATAAATAATTAATTAATATATTTAAATCGTCAATTATTCTGTAGCGCCATAACATAAATACTCCACCCCAACCACCACTGCCACTCCCATCACAACCACCATCTATCCATCCCTTTTTAAAAGCGTTGCAAATCTGTCCCGAGTTTCAAACTGCATCCCAGTCAGTCACCGGAGCGATCCTCTGCCCTTTTGCCTGCCGCCAACCTAGCATATGGCTACTCAAAAAGTGAACTTGGCCGTGGTCATTAAGAACCTGCTCGACAACACCGAGTTTCTCCTCCAAAAGCAGACGCCGCCACCAAAATTCGATGACCCTGAGTATGATTCCTATCAAGATTCTGATCTTTGGGACCTGCCCTCTGGAGAATTATCTCTACTTGAGAGTCCACGGAGAAGTATTCAAGTTCAAATCGACCCTGAGGGCAATTCCATGTCCGAATTCTTGAATCGGTTTGACCTTGACTTTGGTCTTACTCAGGTAGTGAACTGCACCACAGAACATTATTACTGTTTTAATCATTTTTTTTCGCCGCTATTATCAAAGATGCGGGGATTGCTTTTGTGTTTCTATCGAGTTTGAATTTTGGGTTCAAAAAACAACTTTGGGATGATTTTTTCCTTTTTTTCGTTTTGCATTGTAAAAAACTCAATCCGATTTTCAATGTTTGTTCTATAGGTGTTTGGACAAGTGGGATTTGAAAAAGCCACAAGTATAAAGTGGAGCTTTTCAAAGGTCGTAGAGGAGCCAGAATTTGGACCTGGTGTCCCTGTTAAGACGGTCTATATATTTGGAGAATTGGAATCATATGGTGGAGAGTTAAAAGGTCCGCTAGTGCACTTTTCTCAAGCATTTAGTTTCATTGGTTGGTCTATGGGGAAAGACGGAGATGACGTACCGTAGACTGGTGTATGATTAGAAAAATTTTATCCTATTATCTTTTCAGTTCCAGTGATGTTTATGATATTGCGTAGAAAAAAGAACAGAACCTTTCTTTTATTAAAGATCTACAATGCCATTAATGCTTTTATCAATAATCACTGGATTTTTCAATGTTAAGTTGCTTGAACGTTTCTGGACTTGACATAGAGAACTTGATTTTGCTCAAGATAATATGTTGTATCTGTACTTATGTTTCTTCTTGAACGTATGCAGCACTATACATTAGCTGAAAAACCATGTGGTTTACATTTATCTTGTACAATTGCATTTGAACTTTACTTAAGAGACAATGGCAAATTGGCAGAAAACTTTGTTTTAAGCAATATCTAGCTGAGAGCAAGTTATCTCTTGTGGTTTTATGTGATCTGTTATGCTACAACATACAGATGGCTGTAAGTGGGTTAGTATCAAAGGATGTGAAGAATTGCTTTTGGAAGTGAAGACTCATGATGCTCGTATAGGTCCATTAATTGTTGATGGACTTCTGAATGATTCAATGCAGCTTACAAGTATCAGTATCCCTTCCTCCCTAAGATATCAGGTCCTTTTTTTGTAGTTCATGTCAAGTTTCATATGAAAACCTGGTCTTGGTCTAATGTTTCTTTTACCCATTTTTGCTTCTTGTAATCTGTGATTAATCAAAAAACAGCTGTATGTTGCTGAATACTCGATTATATGTTTGTAGAGAGAATGTAGATAAAAAATGAGGAAACTACATTTGAGCTATATGGGTATATACACATGAGACTGTCAAATATGGACATCTAATTCTAGGGATACAAATTCCAATGACTAGGATCGATAACAAGATAACTAAAATATGAATATAACATAAACATAATAAGAATCAAACCCACTTTTATTTTCATTGATAGTTCTGTCTTTGGATTCTTTATATTCTCTAAATGTAAGATAAATTATTGATTTATCTTTTGGGTTTGTTCATTATTTATTTATTTATTTTATTTTTATGTTTGTATTTTAGTTTTTGGGCGAAAGAATTGTTGGATGAGATATTTTGCATGGAAATTAATATGTTTTAATAGGAATTGCGAGGTTGCATAGTATAAAAACTGAAAAAAGACTTAGAGAATGGAGCCTTTGAATTTTGGTTTCTATAAAATTCTACTGAATGTAGCAACCAAATGCTAACTACAAGGATGAAGTATCGTTGAGCTGTATGCATATCTTCAACTCTCTCTCTCTCTATCCTTTTTTTTTGTGTGGGTGTGTGTGTAAAGGATGGCTCTATGATGAAGAAAACATCTCGGAATAATTTCAATTTTATTTTTATCATATGTTTTGTCCAACATTTCAGACTGGTTAACTACATGCTTGGTATAAATCAATCCACTTCAAAGTATAAATCAATACAATTCCTTGAACAAACTAAAGCACCTTCTCACCCTGCAGGAATATCCTCCTGGTGTAAAATTGTTTCCAATGAGCAGCAGAACTGCTAGTCCATTCCACACCACAAATTTAGTTGTGTTTTCCCCTGCAATCAGTAATTGTAGTTCGGATACTGATAGTTCTTTTGCAAGTGGAGATGCACTCATCGTGGATCCTGGATGCAACTCTTCCATGTACAAAGAGGTATTTGATTATTTCACTTACATGTGGGAAAGAGAATAAGTATAAAGTTGGAACTTATATCTTTTAATCTTTCTCATACTGGCTTTTGAAACAGAAACAGTTTCAGACACTTGTCGTCGAAGTATATACCTTTCTCGAATTGAGTGCTTGATTAATCAGTTACTTCCCATCATAGTTCATTTAGTTCAAGTGATAAGTATTTCTGAATTATGAATTGGATTATCTGAAGATCAAAGAAAAATTTCTTAAGGGTGAATGGATTGTTTGAAAGTGACCTGAAAAAGACCTATTTATATGTAATGTAGTCCTGTAGATTCTTTCTATTTTTTGTTGCTATGTTCTGTATTGCTGTTATATTAGCCATTATGTATGTCTCTAGATTTCACCAACTGTTCTTAAACTTGTATAGCTCATCAGTTATTTCACCTTTTGTCTTTACCTGCTACTACTTGCACTCCAGCTGGAACAAATTGTTACTGCACTCCCAAGAAAGCTGGTTGTATTTGTAACCCATCATCATCATGATCACGTTCATGGTAAGCATTCCAGGGTTCATTGTTTACTAAAGTTTCTATTTTTCTGCATTGATTTTACAGTGAGTGAGTTGCAATCTGTATTCATGAAAATATTGGTTTCATGACCTAAAACTGTTTGCTGTCAGATGTCCAGTGGCCTGATTGTTGCACTCCAGATAATTTAGTCTTATGATGATCATAGCTGTTAATTATCTTTTTCCTATTTCTTTTTTCTATGAGTGGAGCATATGATGATTGCTTGTATTCCATCCTAAATGTAGTAGAAGCTTTCCCTTGTTTCTCAGAGCATTGTTGTTTTCCCTTCCTATTGCTTGTAATAAGGAAGACGATCATAATTCTTTCCCCGTTGTGCATCGTATAATGGATTTAATTTTAACAGGTCTCTCTATTGTCCAGAAGTACAGCCCTGATGCTATTCTCATGGCTCATGAACATACATTTCGTCGAATAAGGAAGGGTATGGTGGTTCCCGTTATTAAATTGAATGTTTTTGTTAGAATGAAGATTTGATCCTCATCTCTTTCTAAATTAAAGTTATAGTTTAATTGTTTTGTCACACTGCAATAAGATTTAATTAAAATGAAGATACTTGAAGATGGCACATTTTGCACTTGAAACTAATCCTTAGTTTCAAATTAATAATGCTATCAGCGATCAATAAAGGAAGGACTCGTTTTATAGAAATGTTCTTTTCTTAAAATATGTATATATATATTACCGGCTGAAAGTATGTAAACTAATTATGGATGATAAGTAAATTGGATTTAGTATATTCAAGCAGCAATAAAGGTGTTAACAAATTTATTTATTTTACCAAATAACTAACATTTGTGAACAATTTGAATCTTGTCTATACAGATGATTGGTCTTTGGGATATATTCCAGTTTTGGGATCTGAAGAAATCTGCATTGGTGGTCAGCGATTGAAACTCATTTCAGCTCCTGTAAACTCCAAGCACTGTTTGAGTTTAATAATACATTTGTATTTCTTAACTATCTTCAGTGAACTGAAAAGTATAGACTACAGAGCGTTACTAGTTTTGCTGCATGAAATTTTTCCTTATAAAGCATTTATTAATCCTAGGTTCTGTGTTGACGTTCTTGAATTTTCACTTATTATCAACAACTTCACTGTCTTGATTCTATCCCACAACCTATATGTTGTATTACTTGGCAGGACATGGGTGAACTTATTGTTCTGTCATGGAATTCTCTTTTCCCTTAAAGTTAATCACAGTTGCTTTTTCATGGAAAAATATTTTCAGGGTCATACAGATGGCCATATGGCATTGCTTCACGTCTCTACTAACTCATTGATAGTTGGTGATCATTGTGTAGGGTAAGTTACTAGTTTGGATCTTGATCATATTCTGAATCATTGGTTACATATGATTATTTTATCACTGATAAGGATTTTACTTTTTACTTATTTCAAAAGATAATATTCTAACTTATAAGTCTTTGATCTCTTGTTGGAGCTCTATTCTTCAATTACTGTCTCCAAGTCTATACTCTTAGTGAACTGGTAATCTGTTGTATTTTAGCCAAGGAAGTGCAATCTTGGATATTACTTCCGGTGGAAATATGACTGTAAGTTTTCTCAAAACAATAGCTCTTGCTTAGTTATGCCTAATATTCAATATGTATTCTGCACTAAAAATGAAGGGATATATGTTGATTCATGGGTAATATCGTTCAGTGAAAAAATTTTCACGGCTGTTTTAAAATTTTAGTTTCTAACTTGGTAAGGATAGCATCTAAGTTGCTGGGCTCTAAGAGAAAATCTTGTAAGTTTAAAATTTCCATTCTTGTTTGTAGGATTATTTTCAAACTACATACAAGTTTATAGAGATGTCCCCACATGTACTAATTCCTATGCATGGTAGACTTAATGTGTGGCCAAAGCACATGCTCTGTGGGTATCTCAAGTAAGATGTCAAATTTATAACAGAAAATAACTCCATGGTTTGTCTCATTAGTGATTGATCGTTCATTCTTATCATGACTTTCTTCCAAATTTCAGAAACCGCAGAAGCAGAGAATCAACCATCTTGAAAGCCATAGAAGAAGGAGCAAAGACATTGTATGACATTGTAGCATATACATATGCTGGTGTTGATCGAAGTCTTTGGGCTCATGCTGCTTCAAATGTGAGACTACATGTGGATCACCTTGCCTCACTGAATAAATTGCCCAAGGTAACATGACCATTTGTCTTTCTCTTTGGACCATTCTCTGATGCGTGTTTGCAAGAAGTCCTAATCTATACGAAAATAGCAATTGACAAGTAGCATCAACTTTCTACACCTCTTGATTTAAATAAGAAGCAGGATAATGAAACTCAGCATGGATAATTGTCTAGTTGAAATGCTTACTTTATTCTGTGTTTATACTTTATATGTTCGCTCGTAAAATAAAATACTGCCCCATGTGAACTGGTTGTTATATTAAGCTCCCAAACATTTCCCCTAAAACATGCAGGATTTCTCTGTAGAAAATTTCAAGGGCAGTGTTGGTGAATTTCATGCAAGCATTGGTAAAATGTGAGGTTGGACATCATTGGTATCATAGGTTGGAAAGCTTCTTTATTGACAAACATCAAATATTAAAATATTTTGACTTGAAATTGTTGCCTGGTTTAGTCTTTTGTGGCATGTTTTTCGCTGCTATGTTTGCTTAACTTAGAGCTCTTGTGATTGCAATGTGCAGGAGTTCTGTCTGAAGAAATTTCAATCCTCCTGCAAGTTGCAGTTCTTTTCACGTTGGGTATGGGGATATCTATGCACTTCTCTCTCCATAGAGCAGCGTCAGCTAAAGATTGCTGCAGGGGCTGCAGCAGCCATTGCTGTTCTGTACTTTGGTAGACATAAGTGGTAAGCATAAACATACTTGTAGTAGAAGAAAAGGATTAGGAATGTCTGCGCACTCCTGTAATATCGATATTCGCTTTAATTTATTTGTCTTTATTGAGTGGATGCACATCACAATCCATTTTCTCTCACTGTTCAAATGGGATCGGTTGTGTTAGGCTGCCATGGGTTGTGCATGGAAATGGAATTGTTGTTGCCTCAGAAGTTGGGAGGGAGGCATCTAGTGCACGTCTTCCTGTCCTAATGGCAATTTTGCTCCACTGTTATTGATAGTCAATGCATTGCTTGTTTTAGTCTGCATGCATATAATCCAACCAACATACCACCCATTCTCCTAGCTCATGCTTGCTTATTCAGAGAATCTCTGGTCGTTACAATGTGACAAAACAAAAAAATGCTTGCTGCCTGGGCCATAAAGCAGCGTCAGCTGAAGGTGGTTGCTGCTGTTGATGTTATGCGCTTTTTATGGGATGGTCGATGATGATAATGATGAAGGAAAATGCAATGCAGACAAGAAGAAAAACCAATGCGATGTTATGTTCTGTTGCTACCATCTGATTCTTAATATACATGAGCACAAGGATCACTTTTCAGAGTTTATGGCTTTGCTTATTCTAACCTTCTGAAATTTTGATACTATTTCATTTTTTTTTTTTAAACATCACATAAATTATATATATGTTTTTTCTCGGTCTCAAATCAAATATCATTTTTACCATTTTTATTGTCTCACTAAAAAGTATTTCTTTTATACTAATACTAAAACATTTTTAATTGTTATTTAGAGCTAAAGGTCACGTTTACTTTGTGTATTATTTCTATTTAACATTAAAATTATTTTTTTTAGTATTATAAGATACTAATAAAAATATTTTTGTAATTTTTTTAATTTATATATTAAGTTTTGATATAATAAATGAAATCTTAGAGTCCTGATGTAATTTTTTATTATTCATAGAATTCCAAAGCTATAAGTCTTAAAAAATCTATAATCAAAGCTTATATTAAGAATATTTATGGTGTGTTCGTTTAATAACTTTCAAATATTTTGTTATTCATCAATTTTTTTCTTAAAAATATTGATCAAATACTTATATTTTATTTTTTATATTATATTAAAAATTAATTTTATATTAAAAAATATTACATTAATATTATTCTATATTATTATTATATTAAAATGGAACAACAAGACTCTGTTTTTTTTTTTTTTTTTTTTATCTATAATTTTTTAATTTAATTTTTAAAATTTTTTAATATACTATTCTCATTTATTATTTTTATATTATATATTCTTTTAAATCAAAATCACAAAACCAGCCCTAATAATTCGTATAAAAAATGAAACCTTATTACAAGTAAAAACACGCTCGGATGTCCTCCAATTCTTGTACTCTGATGAATGATTGTTGTTATGTGCATCAGAAGAGACGAGCAGAGCTGACAACGCAAATTGCACTCGCTCGTTCGCTCGCACTTCGAAAGATCGTCATGGATGCTAAACGCGTATAAGGTATTTATGCGGATGACGACGATGATGATGCTATCCACCGTTCCCCCAATCCGCAGAATTGTTTTGTTTTTCAGGCCCTCATATTGAAACTGGAAACCCACCCTGAAGAGGAGAGGAGGACACAACACAGGCAGACAGACATGGCCTAAAATAAACCAAACCAAACCAAACCGAGAGAACTCTTTCTGAGTTCCCCTCCCCTCGAACACTATTTTGCCATGCCAATTGAGTTCCCCCAGAACAATCCCATATAATTGTCCCTTTGCATTCCATCATTCACACTCTGCTCTAATTATGCATTTATTTCGCGTCTAATCAATCAATCAAAGCTGCTATTTTTTGCTACACTTGCGGGCGGCATATAACAACCATTTTCGGATGGCTGCTGCCACCGAGGGAGACCGCAGACAGATCAAAGCAATTGTGTACGACGCCTCTGCCGGTGCCGCTGCGGGTATTTCCGCTATTCATTCTCTTGCTATTTGGCTGATTAGCTGTTCCCGTGTCGATCTTTACTCGTGTATTTCCCTCCCACTCGGGGCAATTGGTTTTAATTTAGCTATTTGCCTTTTCAAATTTCAGGTGCCATAGCAGCTACATTTGTTTGCCCACTGGACGTAATTAAGACAAGGCTTCAGGTCCATGGGTTGCCTCAAATGCATCCGTCCGGTCGTACAGGTACCATTGCTGACGCCTCCTATCTTGCTTTGGGCTCTTAAACTTTTGCAATCTTCGGTTTAAACGGATATTTTTTAATGTTTATTTTGTACTTCATAATCATGCTAGACTCGTGATTGTGAACTAGATGCTTAAAATGAACAACATCTAGTCTGTACTGTGGTTGGGCCTATATCACCCGCCGAATGAACCTTGAAAATTAGACCTTTCTTTAGATCGAAATACACGCCTGTTTTTACACTGCTTATGGTTCATTGGACTGCCTCATGTTACACATTCTCTCTGGCAATTAGGCAGTGTAATTCTTGTGAGCCTGCAAAACATCATTCGGAACGAAGGTCTGAAGGGACTTTACCGCGGACTTACACCAACATTAGCAGCATTACTTCCAAATTGGGCTGTGAGTTGAAATGCAAGTTCCTGTTATATTATTACCACAAATTTATTATTATTACTTTGTATTTCATTCAAATGTTGCATTCCTAACTAAATTGCTTTTATTGAATGTATAAGATTCTATATGATTTTAACCAGAAGCTTATCAAGTTGGTGTTTTAACTGCTTCTATGTATTACCTTTTAATGCAGGAATACTAATCTGCATGTGCAGGTACAACATGGAGAAATAATTGATAGATTTAATTTTTCTTTTACAATTATGTGTATATATATATATATATATCGGCTAAGGAACACTAATGTTGCTTTTATTCTAATTTGTGATAATGAAAATACAGTTTAGCATGTTAAAATACAGATGCCATTGCTTGATTTATCACATGGCTTTTGGTAACTTTTCTTTTTTGGTTTTATTTTATTAATGCTAATATATCTCCTCTATGATGGAATCTTATCATTTGTAGGTGTACTTCACAGTTTATGGACATCTTAAAGAGATGCTTCATTCATATGGTAGGTCTCTTCGGCAATTGTTGATATTTGGTCTTATTGTAGGTTATGGTATACTTGGTGTGATTGGTACGGTTAGTCAAAACTTTGAAATATTACTCATTCGTTAAAGTTATGCTTATAAAGCTAGACACAGATACTATGAAAAAATAATATTTTAATATAAAAGTGGGAAAAGTAAAAAAGTTATGTGGTGGTGTTTTGAGAAATATATTAAGGAATGTGTTTAATTTATAGTGTATATTTGATGTAATCAATGATAGTGCCATAGTTGTTACTATGGGTTGAAGTATGGGTAATAATGAAGTGGATAGAAAAAGTTTTCTGCTATTTATGGTATAAGCATAAGTGTAGCGAACATAACAAAATAAAAAGTAAGCATAAATTTAACAGACGGAATACCATTTAAGATTTCTAAATTTTGTATTTTGGAATACCACAGAGGATAGCAATGGCCAGCTTACAATAACTTCAAACATGATTGCTGCTGCTGGATCTGGTGTTGCAACTGCCTTTGCAACAAATCCATTGTGGGTTGTTAAGACAAGACTTCAAGTAGGTTGGAGTGTTCCATAAACCTGAATTCCTTTTAGTAAATACAACACGTATTAAATCCTGCATTGATTGCATTGCCTTTTTAAGCCTAGCTCCTGAATACTGGTTGTGTTTATCAATTTTCTTTGTGCTATGGTGCACCTGTCACTATATGTTCATGTCATAAAGGACATATTTTGGATGTGCGAGATTGAAAGCAGACTTGTTATAGTGACGTGATCAATTACATAGTGATTTGGGTTTCTCAATCTCTTGTAAATGCTTCTTTCCCACATTTTGTGAGTTGAGCTCCACTTTGTGCTAGACACAAGGAATGAGGCCAGGTGCAGTTCCATACAAGAGCATATTTTCTGCTTTGAGGCAAATTGCACGGGAAGAAGGATTTCGAGGCTGGTACAGGTCAGTTCTCAGATAAGTTACCAAACATTGAAAAAGTTCATTGGAAGAGGTACCATGCAGTTGATCCTACTAAAAGTTTTTTCTCGGTAGATGCCTAGAGAAAAAATAAGAACATGGCATAATTTATGATCTTGTTTTCCTATTTCCAGCAAGGTAATGAAATGCAGAGTTGATAGCCTAATCTGCTATATATTTTTCATGTTTCTCCCCTTATGTTTCTTGTACAGAGGCCTCCTTCCATCCTTGGCTGGAGTCAGTCATGTTGCCATCCAGTTCCCTGCATATGAAAGAATAAAATTCTATCTGTCCCCAAAAGGTAATGCAATCCATTTTTAACTTTTGCTGCTGTTTATTCTACATTTCTTGTTTTGAAAATCAATGTAGGTGTTTTCATGTAAAGTTGGGGAGGGTTTGAAGAAAACAATTGGGTCTCATGACTCATCTTTTATTTCGGAATGACTGAAACTGTGTTTTCCTTCTTTTCTTGATTATGGAAGATAGAAAAAACAGTGATGATCTCAGACCACGGGAAGTTGCAATTGCTTCATCATGTTCGAAAATAGTTGCATCAATATTAACTTACCCTCATGAGGTAGCATTACTTCAGCTTTTCGGTTTTCAGTCACCTAAATACATCTTTCATTGCTCATTGTGCTGAACCCGTAACGATTGTCGATTGGACCTTCCCACAGGTTGTGCGATCAAGGCTACAAGAGCAAGGTCAAGTCAGGAATGCAGAGTTGCAATATGAAGGTGTTATTGATTGCATTCAGAAGCTGTACAGAAAGGAAGGTATTCCGGGTTTCTACCGTGGCTGTGCAACTAATCTCCTGCGAACAACCCCATCTGCTGTGATTACATTTACCAGCTATGAGATGATACATAAATTTTTACTGCACATATCACCTCCAGAGGAGAAGCATTTCAAAACGCATCCATGAACTTGATGTGGGAAGAACATTGGAAGGCAAGGGTGGGGCCATACCTGCGACATGTAATGTAAACCTGTCCAAAGATGGTTGGTTATTCGTTTTGTTCCTTCTTGTAGTAATGCAGATAAGCTAAAAACTTGTAGGCCTCTGAGATCACTGAATTATCCGTAACAACTCCGCAACTTTGCTGCTTTTGTTGTGCAGTTATAATGTAATTTAATTTGTTTTGTTTTCATCTGTTTGAGCTTAAGGATTAAGGTTTTGCATGCTTGCTGCCATATATATCATATATATATATATATGTCTCGATGCAGACTTGCAGTAGCAATACATTAATTTTATTTTATTTTATTTTATTCTTGTATAAAATTTCAGCCCTTGTATTACGTTGATGGTAAAGCCAAGTTTTTAACACACAAATATGTGAGTTTGAGAACTCAGTCAGCATGGAGCTTGAAAATTGAACTCTCTTAGCAAATTCCCGATTCACAGCATGATCTCAATAATCTTTTTAGTATTATCAATTAATTGATTAATGCATGTTACAGCATCCAAGTCCGCAAGCCATAACGTGCTATGTATTAGTCTTCCAAATAAAGAAAAGACTTTTGAGTTTGAGAATGTTCAGGACTGAAAAAGCAATCCATCCAGTCCAACCATTCATGCCTTGGCATGATTCTTCCTTCATAAGATAAGATCCGGTGACGACGTAAGAAAACAGTGCGGAGAAGGTACAAGAAATAGGACTTCCAACTGTAAAATAAGGTAAAAAGGGGCATGGGACCTTTTTCAGATTACCCAAAGTGAACCAAATGAATGTAACACCACCACCACCATCACCATCACCATCATTTTATGGGACTTGAATGAGTCAGCTACCTACGTTTCAGCCACAGTAGTAGCAGGTGGGGCGGGCGGACTGAACATCCCTCTTCAACAACAACACAGAGGAGGAGGGAGTCATCTGTTTCAGGACTCTTTCCAGGTAAACATTTGTGTTTCACCGAGTTGCCGTCCTCAGCGGCTTGAATATCCTTCAAAACTGTCAGTACCTTACCTCATCCATCGATGGCCTCATATCCTTTTCAAGCTGCAGGGACCAGAAAGCCAGCTCCGCCACAGAAGTAGTCATCCGCGCCACCTCCACATCAGTCTGGTGTCCAAGGATGAGTCAATCAGGTCATGGAACGACGCATCTCTGGATTCGGTCCAAGGCTAAGTTGGCCAAGTTGATTTCATGCCTGCGCCTTGTGAGGTCCACCGCAGGCAGCGAGGAAATGAGCTCAACCAGGACAACACCAAAGCTGTAGACATCGCTCTTGTTGGTCAGTTGGTAACACCGATGGTACTCGGGATCAACACAGCCAGGCGTCCCTTGAGGGGTGGTCAAGATGCGGCTGACATCATTGGGGAACAGTCTCAACAGCCCAAAATCAGCAACTTTGACGGAGAAGTTGTTGTCAAGTAATATGTTGCTCGTCTTCACGTCACGTCACTGTGGATTATGTCAGACTTCTGGAGGTAAGCGAATGCGCTTGCGGTTTCTATGGCAATGCTCATGTGAAGGGACCATGGGAGGGCTGCAGCCTCACTGTTGTACAGATGATCAGCAACTGTGCCATTGGGAATGTACTCATAAACGAGTAGCAGCTCCCAGCTTCTTCTAGACGTGCAGCCATGAAGAGAAACAAGATTCGGGTGCCTACAACAAGCTAGTATGTTGATTTCATTTATGAACTGCTCCACCCTCCTGCAGTTATGCACATAGAGGCGCTTTATAGCAACTTCTCTTCCATCCCCAAGTGTGCCTGGATGATTATTAAGTGTGTGTGATCCACACTTTTCCAATTATCTATGGATTCTGCAAAATTTAGAGAGGATATACATAATACTTTAGGTAATGGTAGTCTCACCGTAGTACACAGTCCCAAAACCTCCATCTCCCAGCTCTCTAGAAGGATCAAAGTTATTGGTGGCCTCTTGGAGCTCTTGGTGTGAGAAAACGGGGATGCCAAAATTGAATCTGCCGCCTTCGACCGAGAAGGAGGGGCCGGAAGAGTTGTTTCTTGAGATGAGGTAAGCAGCAGCGCTGCTCTTCTTCTTCTTCTTGCTGCGGTATATTACAAAGAACAACCCAAGAAATGCGGCACTGGCAGATATAGCTGTACAGAAATTACATGGATGGAAGCCATAAATCTAGAAGAAATATGCAAGTTTCTGTAATCTGTATCAGCGGAAAGGCACGCTACGCACAGATAGAGATGGTTTACCCGAGACTAATGCGACTTTGCTGAGTGCACTGCCACTCCCACTCCCACTCCCACCTGCTCATGGAAACAACAATGGCATGGCATTTGAAGTGGAGAGACAATGAGTTAGCTAGTGTGCCGTGCGTGTGAGAGAGCGATACTGAAGGTTTCTAAAGGCTGATGCTACTTGTGAAGCCTATCTATCTGTCTATCTCTCTCTCTGTCTGTCTCTCTCTGTATATATAGAAGATATATATATATATAGAGAAGATGGATGTACATTTGAATTGGTTGCAATGCAATGGCTGGCAGTCGGTATAAAATTAGGACGTACATACATACCTTGGCATCGCCATTTACGTGGGACATCATCATCAGCGAGACACATCCCCCCACCTTGGTGACACTTAATACAGTCGCCGGAAACAGTCCACTCCAGATCGAATTCCGGAGACACGAGTCCGAACAAATCCGACTGTTATGACAAAATGAGAAAGAAAACAAATAAGGAAGACAGACATTCTAGGTGATTTGGTGATGTTGTATCAACCTACGTTCACGAACAAGAATCGGAAAGATTTTATTATACTGATTGATTCAGAGATTTATAATTATGTTATCCGACTAAGAACAATAGCTATCTATTTATAAGTATCCCAAAACCCCAAAACTTTAAGCCTATTTGTTATTAATTAGGATAAACCCAAAAGGAACCCTTTCGATTTGATTTTGGGTCGGGTAGACCGCTAAATCCAAGTCACTTTTCAACAATTTCTACTTTGACTTGGAGTTTCTTCAACCGCCAAAGGTTCGTCAGTATCTCTCAGTCGTCTCCTTCCTGCTAGATGCCCCGAGAGGGCTTACCTCTTGCGAATATTCACCAAGTTCAAGCAATGCTCAAACTTTTCCGTCGATAGGGCCTTTGTCAACATATCAGCTGGATTGTATTATGTAGCTATTTTCTGAATAAAAAATTTGTCTTTCTTCAGACAAATAAAATTCAACCTTACATCAATATGTTTTGTTCTCTTACGATACAGTGGATTTTTAGCAAAACTCAAAGCACTTTGACTATCACAAAATAACACCGGTATCTCCACCTTCAGACCCAAACTCTGCACCAGACTATATAACCAGATACCCTTCTTAATACCTTCAGTCATTAACATGTATTCCGCCTCAGTCGTCAACAGTGCAACCGTAGGTTGTAAAGTAGACTTCCAAATGACTGCACAACCAAACAGAGTGAAGATAAAGCAAGTCAGTGATCTTCGTTTCACAAAGTCACCCCCGTAATCAGAGTCTGCATAGCCAACAAGACCATCACCATGGCCTTTATCATCATATACCAGACAAATATCAGACACTCCTTTCAAATATCGCATGATCCACTTTACAGCTCCCCAGTGAGCTTTACCAGGATAAGCCATAAACCTGCTCACCACACTAACCACATAAGCGAGATCCGGTCTCGTACATACCATCGCATACATAAGACTTCCAACTGCACTTGAATATGGAACCGTCTTCATGTAGCTAACCTCTTCATCTGTACCTGGTAGAGTGCTTCGATCAAGTTTAAAGTGTGCCGCCAAAGAGGTACTTACCGGTTTGGACTGATCAACAGAGAATGCCTGCAAAACTCTCTCAATATACTTTTCTTGAGAAAACCATAGCCGTCCTGCTTTTCTATCATGCCAGATCTCCATACCAAGTATTTTCTTTGCCGCACCCAAATCCTTCATCTCAAACTCACTCTTTAGTAGAGCCTTCAAGTCATTAATTACAGTCATGTTTTTAGCTGCAATTAACATATTATCCACATACAACAGCAGATACACAAAGGAATCAGTAAAACTTTCTTCGAGTAAACACAGTTATCAAACTGATTACGAGTATAACCATTACACACCATGAATGAGTCAAATCTCTTTTACCATTAGCTCGGAGACTACTTCAAGCCATACAGAGATTTCTTTAACAAGCATGTCTGGTCCCCTTTAGGACTGTAGAACCCCTCCGGTTGAGACATCTAAATCTGTTTTTCTAGATTACCATGAAGAAATGTTGTTTTTACATCAAGTTGCTCCAGCTCTAGATCAAAAGCACCCACAATTGCCAAAAGAACCCGAATGGTTTTGTGTTTCATCACAGGAGAAAAGACTTTCCGGTAATCGATTCTTTCCTTCTGTGAGAACCCTTTTGCCACCAGTCTCGCCTTGAACCTAGCAGGTTCAACACTAGGAATTTCCTCTTTTCTTTTAAAGACTCACTTGCATCCCACTGGCTTCACCCATTTTGGTAATGCAACAAGATCTCAAGTCTTGTTCTTTTCAAGAGACTGCATATCTTCATTCATTGCCATAATCCAGGTTTATGCATTTTTACTCGTCACAGCTTCTTTAAATGTCTTTGGCTCATCAGAGCCAAGATCATCACCAACCGTCAGTGCATAAGCCACAGAATTCATGTCACATGTATTGCTACATCCTGCAAATCTAGCTGGTTTCTGAATATTTCTCTTTCCCTTTCTTGATGCTATGGAATCTTCAACCCCAGTACCAGCATCATCAGCTTCCCCCTCAACTGGTTTTCCTTGAGGTTTTGACTGATCTGGTTGGTTGATCAGATTGATCAATAGTATTATCCTATTGCTCTTCTTCTAACACAAATTTGTCAAGAGTCTCATACTCCACCCTCTGGTCAGCACCACAATCTTTTGTACCTGCAATACTTTCACAACCTCTACTCTGATCAAACATAGCAGATTCATCAAAGGTTACATCTCTGCTAATAAGAAAAGAAATTTATCAGGATTTTTACCTTCTATACACCACAGTCGATAACCTTTTACTCTTGTTGCATATCCTAGAAATATGCATTTTACCGCCCTCGGCTCCAGCTTATCATCATTCACATGAGCGTATGCAAGGCATCCAAATATTCTTAGATTAGAGTAATCAGAGGGTTTACCGGACTATATCTCTTGCAGTTGATGGAGATCTATTAACCAGATAGCTAGCAGTGTTAACTGCTTCGGCCCAAAATTGCTTAGATAAGCCAGCAAATATGCGCATACACCTAGCATACGCCATGAGGGTTTGTTTCATTCGCTCTGCAACTCTATTTTGCTGTGGTGTGTGACGTACATTGCGGTGTCTCACTATACCTTCTTTCTTGCAGAAATCATCAAATGGAGCATTGCAGAACTCCAACTCATTATCAGTTCTTAGAGTCTTGATCTGTTTACCCGTCCGTTTTTCAACCATGGTCTTCCACTCCTTGAACTTCCCAAACACTTCATTTTTAGTCTTCAGAAAGTACAATCAGACTTTTCTCGAATAATCATCTATGAAAGTGACAAAGTAAGATTACCCGCCCTGTGATTTTACCGGAGAGGGACCCCATAGATTTGAATGAACATACTCCAGAATTTCTTTTGAAGTGTGATGACCGGTACTAAACCTCACCCTGCGTTGCTTTCCTTTTACACAAGCCTCACATAATTGAATTTTATCTATCACATCCCCACCAAATAAACCCTGTTTGCTCAACACAGACAACTCTAACTCACTCATGTGACCTAATTGACGGTGCCATAAATTTGTCCTGTCATCATGTTTATCCAAGGACTGGGATACCGCTGCCGTTCCCATCACTGAACTGCCCGGTAAAAAATAAATTTCATGCTGCAGTTTTTCCTTCATCATTACCAAAGCACCTTTCAAGACTTTCCCCCACTTACTTTCACCATGATATTTTAAACTATTTTTGGCTAAGGTGCCAAGAGAAATCAAATTCTTTCTGAGTTCAGGAATATACCACACAGTCAAATTTCCTGACAGTACCGTTATGCAATTTTATCAGCACTATCCCGCTCCCCTTTATGGCTAGAACTCCATCATCACCTAACTTCACCATTCTATTCCACTCCTTAAAAAAAGTGAGTAGATCACGAGAGAACGTCATATGGTCAGAAGCACCGGTATCCATAATCCAGGAATCAACAGTACTAGCATTACACGTTGTCAGAACTTTACCAAAGTCCCCATAACTGTCTTGTACCACAGCAGCACTGCTTCCACTGTTACTAGAATCAACTTTTGTATTTCCCTTCTTCTGTGGACAATCCCTTTTAACGTGTCCTTCTCTTTGTAAAGATAACACTTAACTTTGCTAGAGGATTTTGATTTTGAACGCGACCTCCCATTCCCGTTACCCCTCTCATGTGGTGTTCCCCAACCTGCAAACAGACCTGAACCAGAACCCTCTTCCAAATAAACCTTTCCCTTTCTTTTCAATTCTTTGGACATAAGGGCATCTTTCACATCATCAACAAAAATTGTAGTTCTACCATATAGCATAGTATCTACAAAATTCTCATATAAACCAGGTAATGAACACAGTAAAATTAAGGCTTGATCTTCATCCTCTACTTTAACCTCAACCCCTTGAAGATAAAAAATGATACGGTTAAAGGTATCAAGATGATCATTTACCTGAGTACTTTCGGACATCCGGAGGGTGTAAAGACGTTACTTCTGATATTGTCTATTCGTGAGAGAGTTGCTTTGGTACTTCTCACACATTTTATTCCATAACCCAAAAGCCGTTGTTTGATCTACAACCTCCCGTAACACCTCTTCAGTAACTGACAGCAAGATCGCGAGCCCTTGCCAAAATCTCCTTATTTACCTCATCCTTCGTATCTTTAGGAAACTTGTCTTCTCTCTCCAACTCAGCCGCACATCCTTGTTGAACCATAAGTGACCTCATCTTGACCTTCAAGAACGTGAAGTCATTCAACCCATTAAACTCCTCCAGATCAAACTTATACGATGACATCTTTAATCAATGAGATATGGCTCTGATACCACTTGTTATGAGAAAACGAGAAATAAAGCAAATAAAGAACACAGAGATTTTACGTGGTTCGATGACGTTGTGTCAACCTACGTCCACGGGCAGGAATCGGAGAGATTTTATTATACTGATTCAGAGATTTACAATTATGTCATCCGACTAAGAACCATAGCTGTGTATTTATAAGCACTCCAAAACACCCTAAACTTTAAGTCTATTTGTTATTAATTAGGATAAGCTCAAAAGGAATCCTGTCAATTGAATCAGTCTTTTCGCTTTGATTTTGGGTCGAGTAGACCGCTAAATCCAAATCACGTTTCAACACCGGCAAATGGGAATGGGGGCGGGCAGGCAGGCATATTAGTCCCACAACAGTTGAAGGGAGAAGTCCTGCTGGGATATGGCGGGATGTTTGTATAGTGATGGTATTCAAACGCTTCCACATGTATGTATAATTTCGTGGAGGAGGATAGTGTGTAAGCGTAGTGAAAGGGGAATCCGGAGGGGATAGGTTGTTTTGCAAAGAAAAACGAAAAAGAATCGCAGTTTCTGTCTGTTTCTCAGCATACGGTACGGTCGAGGTCAGCATCTAGCACATGGAATTTTATTTTCGGAAAGATTATTCTCATGGAGCTGAAACAGATGGCCGGGCGTGCCCAAATTGGAAAGTCGGGGGAGGGCGAGAATCACATTCACATCGGTAAATCGAGGCGGCCCAAGGATCCGCAGATGAAGAAGGATGATGCGTTGTAACAATGGTTATGGGAGATTCCATTTCCATGGGATGGATTAGGATGATGACAGGAGACTAGGAAAACAAAGATAGAAAAAAAGATCTGCTGGAGTAAAAACTGGAACTGGAAGGGACGCCGCGAGGTGAAGGTGGAGGTGGGGGGTGGAGCCATCTCTCTCTCCCTCTCTCTCTCTCTGAGTTTGCTTGATTTCAGACACACCCTCCTTCAGTTCACTGTTCACCCCGCACAACACACCTAAATGAAACTCAGATCCTAGTATGCAAATGCAAATGCAAATACAAATCCAAATCCATATCCATATACAAGACGAAACTAAGGTCGAGAGAATTAATTAGAGACAATACAATACAGCCGACTTCCCATCCATATTCTGTCATCAAGGGATGTTGTGAACGTCACTGGAATTTCTCTCTTACACAGCATCAACATGTTAGTTTGTAGGGAAGGAAGGTTTAAAGCTAAAGGATCCATCCAGAAGCATACTGACCCCTCAATGCAGGTAGCAGCAGCAGCAATCAGATGGAAACTCGCGAATAATCAATTAATGAAGTTTAACCATCACCAGCTCGCTCCTATCTCATTCGGCTCAGCAGATGCAGGCATGTTGCACTTGCGTTTGGTTGGCATGCAATCCAACAACAACGAAAAAGTGCACATGATATGAACTCAACTTGCAGCTTTTCCTTCTCTCCTCAGAAATTCCTGGAAAACCACTTACATCATTTTACAACTACCTTCCAAAATTCCATTAATTAAACTTCTTAAACAAATGCTCCACTAGGTTAAAAAATTGGGCATCTAACCAAAAATAAAAGAAAAAAAACAAAAAATAAAAACAAAACAAATCCAAGCTATAAATCCCAAACAAAACATTAACATTAGCCTACCAGTTTGGTAGCAGCAACAGACTGGCGCTGTCTTTCCTTCCTCTCACATTGGCACTCCTTGCACCAGCTAGAAAAATCTTTCTGATATTTCCTCAGCTCTCTAAAAACAGAACTGTCCAATGAAACTATGAGTAAAAATTGGGAGTTGGAGACTTAATAGGAGGTTGTCCATTGTGATACAAAACACAGTTCAGTTTTGTTGGTTGGGGGGGGGGGGGGGCAAAATGGTTATCCTTGATTAAAATTCCATCAGTTTCCAGGGAGATTCACCAGCCACACGCCATGATTTAGTTAAGAATGCGCAAATAACAAATATGATGTCAGTTACCTTCTACACCACAACAAGAAGTTAATCCTATTCCCAGATGTTGTGGCTCTAGCTCCGTGCCTATGGCGACCACGATGAAGAACAGCATGCCCAGGGACATGTGAATAGTCAAAGATTTCCTACAATAGATGCAAATATAATACCCATTAAAATCAAATATTGCAGTATGTTGTTAGAACTCTAATTTTAAGGTACATGCAAAATTCGAATGGCTCCAATCTATTGCTGAAAGTACTAAAACACTACATACATGGGACACAAATAATTATCAATCATTGATCAGTAGAAGTCAATTCCAGGTATGATCCCTGCTGGTTTCCAAAGATCAGATGTTGGGAAGAAAAAAAAAAAACTATTTTATTTCCACTGTCTATTTATAAATTGAGTAGCTCAACTATGAAGTTCATCAAATGCTTACCACAGAACACCAAGACAAACACAGTAACACACTTTCACAATATTAAGTAGCCAAACTACTTACCCCTGCCTGAGTTTCTGTATTTACATGTTTTTCACACCGCACACCGCGAAAAAATAGTTCACCACCAGAAAACTGTTTACCCAAGCAGACATTCAAGGTGACTTCTGCATCATCCACATGGAAACCTATTGAATAACCAACAACATGTCAATAACTTGATAGAAACAACAAGGAAAAGGTTCAATCACATGGGAATACCGGAAACAATTTCTGTATGAAAAGATTCTTCAAGGTGAAGTGTTAAATATGCAGTGACTTTGCACATTCAGAACCAAAATGAAGCATTGGCTAACCCAACTACAAATTGTCCCCCAACTCTAACTCAATTGCTACAGATAATTTAATTTAACTAGCCAAGGAAGAAGTTGCCTAAATGGGCCAGTTCTTAATAAGACAGGAGCAATACCTGTAAAAATGGTATGATGACACCTGATGGTACATGACTAGGAAATTAATAAAAACAGTTATTTACCAAGGTCAACATCTCTATCCATCCCATACTCAAGGACGAAGCCATGATGAGCATCAAGTGTGGACCCACCAACCTCTGGAAAGAAAACTGCAAAATATTTTCAGTTGTCATGACTAACTCAGGAGATGACATGTATTCAGCATTTCATGCTCTAAACTTCTAAATAAAACACCCAACCTTTTGATATTGGCCGTATGAAATCTTCCATAAGCTTATCAAGCATAGTTTCAAGGCCGAAATCATCAAGAACAGCACCGTATTTATTCATTGTATTAGGTCTCATGATTCTGAACTTTGTCTCATGAACCCATTTTTCAAAATTTTCTACCTGAGCAAATAGAGCTCGCCATGATCAAATTAATAATCAGTAAGGAAGACTTGAGAGGATGAATGATATAGCTGGATCAAAAGGCCACCTCAGCCAGTAACATTTCACAAAACCGTGGCTGCAGCATTTCAAATGTAAAGATTCCTGGGGAGGGTTCAGACATTATGTTTCTGAAAGCTTGTTCTGTATTCTCATTGATTGCCTTGAGGAATGATGGGACAAAAAAGTTTGAGGCATGCATGGTATAAAGTTCCCGGTGCAGGCGCTGAGAAACAAAACTAGTTTTCATTAGTAGAAACTTTGAAATGAGTACATACAAAACCTATGATACAGTGAACATTCAAGAGAGGGTACAGTGACTGCTTCATGCAAATGATAAGCTTCTTTTCTGTTATCCAAAAGAACATAACAGCCTACTACAACATAATAAATCTTTACATCACATTTGCCAGTTCCTGATTATATACTCAGTAGCTGACAGACAAGGTCCAAGTAACTCAAAAATAAATCTTAAGTGATAAACAAGCATACTTCTATCCTACAGCAGAGGTACAACTTTGGGAAGCTTCCTTTGTTGTCATGGAATATGAAAAGTAAAAGGAACTCCACAGGGCAGCTTCAACTGGAATAAATTTACCAACGGGGAACAAGCGTATAAGGGGGGTCATACACTGTATATGTACTCTTATTCCCCGTTGGAAAATTTATTCCAATTGAAGCTGAACTCATAAAGAATAGCATAAAAAATTAATCATTAGTGCTCACAATTATCATATCAAATTGGGAAAGGCAGATAGATAATCCTTGTACTTGCATCTCAAGCAAAATACATATTACTCAATTACACACTCAGTATTAATGAGTTCAAATAATACCTGATAGTTGGATATAATCTTTTGTCTGTATTCCCTGTGTTTCTGAAGCTGTTTAGATGCAATCAGTGTAAGTTCACATTCATTCAATTGCACAATTTATAAGATAATATTGTCATGAGAAAACACCCACTAAAAGAGGCTAATAACATCTGAAAATTATGAAGATCGCATACTAGAATAATGATTAAACAAAACATAGGGAGGGCGAAAACTTTCCAAATCCATCACTGTCTATGCAGTCATGACACAACTTTACAACTATAATCCAACTCTTCAGTTCACTTCACTCCACTTCAAAATTTAATTTGCATCAATATAGGAAGCATCCCAGGACCCAGGCACATATGGCTTCTTTTAGGCTCTTTTAGAATAAATGAATCTCAGAAGGTGTGATAAAAAGGACTACATAGAAAAACGCTTAGCTGGTTTTGAAAGACAAACCTCTTGGATTTCAAGACCTTGATAAAAATGTATGTCTTTTAAGGGGACCGAACTCAATTACAAATGCATTCAAGTTTACATTATTAAATCATTCTGAGATCTTCAATAAGAAGGAAGCTGTACACCCATTAAAACCAGCAACCCTGATTTTTACCCAAATACAACCATGCCAAATCAGGCAAACTTCACAGATTGATGCGCTTTGGCTGTTGTATCACAATCAAAGTTAAATACACTATCATCACTTCCAGACGCGCGGACTCAGATTCCAAGTTCTGGAACACGGCCCTCATTAAGCAGAGGCAGCACGTGCCCTCGAGCCCAAACAAATTTAAACCGTCAACACGCATACACTATTAAAGGAAAAGAGAGGGTGAATTGTGCATTCCACTAACCCTAACGCGCTCGCTTTCGGGGTAGTACCGAAGAAGAATCTCTCGCATGTAATTGACCTTGACATCGCGCGGCTGGGGGAGAAGATTTGGCGGAAGATATCTCTCCAAAGAGCTGAAGACCAAGGGGCTGAAGTCCAGCTCCAAATCCTCATAAGTATCGGGTTTGTGATCTGAATTGGGGTTCAGTCTTAACCTGTGCGTCAAGTAAGTCGGCGGGGGCGGGGAGGCGACGGCGCCGTTTTGTTGCCCGGAGGCATAGATAGTCCCGTTTCCATGAGCGTGAGGTTGGCCTCCTGATCCATGCGCCCCGTCGAGAGACATGGAAGAGACTTCGAGAAGTAAGGTGTTATGTTTATTTTAATGAGGGAGAACAGGGATCCGGTGAAGGCAAGGCAGCGGCCGGGGAGAGGACTGCTAGGGTTTGTATGGGCCGTACAAGGATCTTGTGGTGGCGAGCGTAGGATGAAAATTAATTTCTCAGAGACAGAGATCGTCGGAGGACGGCGACGATTCGTTCTCAAGCTGCTGAGGTCTGCTCTGCTGAGCCTGCATCATCATTCATTAGAAGTTTTTTTGTTTTAAAGGGCGTGTTTTTCTTGCATCATTACACACATCAAATTAAAAATATATTTTTACTTACTACTCGAATGTATGTCTTTGAAATTTATAATAGAAATAATAATATTTTATTAATTAATAAATAAAATAATTATATATATAGTAATACATCTATAATGTAAATAAAAATTAAATATATTTTTAAAATTAATATATAAATAATTTTATTAAAATATAAAAAAAAAATATTATGATTAAACAAAAATTATAAAATAGTACCACACTTTTAAATTGAAATTGAAAAAAATATTAACTAAAAAATATTTTTGTATTCAACTATTTCAATTTTAAAATAGTTATAATTCAAATTCAAAATTCAAATTTTCAAACACACACCATTTGGTTTTTAATAAATAGTGATTGAAGTTCTCTTTCTCCCTGCTCAAACTTGGGAGGGAGAGTTGTGAAATCATGTATTCAAACATGTCTCATCGACATATACTGTATGACTAGTCTTATGGAGCCTAGTTTGCAGGATATTAAGTACAATCGTCATAGATTTACCCTGACACTTTCGGTAGCAGCTGCAGTCCTATGTTATAAAAAAATATACTTCTATCGTCCTATTGAAATGTTGTTCATTTCTATTTTCATTAGTTTCAAAATAATGTTACAATTTTTTAATGTAGTAATTATAATACCTATCTAACATAATAAATATTTTTTCAACTTACGCTATATTACACAAATATCATTATTTTTATATTATATAATACTAATGGGGTATTTTTTGTCTTTTTCATTATAACTTATTATAATACTAATATTCAAAAATTTACGTGTAAAAAATAAACGGCAACCTTGCATCGGGACAGATGAGTATATTTTTCAAAAGAAAAAGACACGTATTTTAATTGTAATTATTAAGGCTATGTTTTTTTAGCAAAGTTTTCTCAAATTTTATTATTTGAAATTTACATTTTTCCAAAAATACATTTTTTATTATCACAAAATATCTCATCAAACATTATTTTCATACTAAATTCAAACTAATTTTTTTTTTATTACTTATAAAATTCTTTATTTTTATATATTTATATTTTCATTTTATAATTATATATTTATATTAAAGTATTTAATATTACTTAAATTTAATTTTTTTTTATAAATTAATACTCATTCATTTTCATATCTATCTATCTACATTTGCATTCAATTTTAAAAATATTAATATTATATTAGAATATAGTAGAAATAAAAGAAAAAAAGATTAAATATATATTGTAAATTAGAAATGTAATACCCCAGTTGGCTCACTGAAAATGCTACCGCCACACTGCATCATGAAGTCGTCACCTCCTACTTGGGGCCCCACAATACTTAAAGGCTAAATTAACCATAAAAGGACATTATTATATAGCAAAATCTGATTTATAAATATTTACAAAACACACCCCTTAACAAGAGGTTTTTCCGGTTAAAAATTTACATATAATACAATAGACGTAAGTTCACTCACTCAGCCCGTCTTTCTATATCCCGAAACGTCCCCTGTCTCGGATGTGTCATGCATAACTGAAACAAATATTTTTCTTAAAAGCAGTCTAGAATTAAATCCATTTTAAGAACTAACGTGAAATATGTCATGTCATACCTTTTAAAATAAAGTCTAATTTCCGTCAATCATAAAATACGTGTCATGTCATGCCAATGGTGAAATGATGCAATACAGATATCAAACTCGACAACAACGCACATCCACATATATATATACATATATACATCCGCCGAAGTGAGCAGCCGGAATAACCTCGGTTCTATAATCATAAGCTCACTACATCTGTCTAATTGAGCAGCCGGAATACCCTCGGCCCCGTAATAACAAGCTTACTAGACCATCTTCAATAAATAGCCGAAAAATCCTCGGCTTAAGGAAGGACCTGATAAACCCATAATAATATAACGGTATCAGGTCACTCCCATATACCCACCATACGACTCCCACGATCAATACATGGATAGCCGAACGTTGTCGCCATTAACCACAAGACGCCCCATAGTTTGTGATAGCGAAGATAGGATCCCCAGACTAGCCCTATCCCGTGTAATGTAGTAGAATCCGTGCAACTTGGAATCACCCAAGGGAAACACGGAAACTCTACTCCTCCTCGCGCGCCCTAACGGGATCACGTTTGGAGTTTGGCATATGATCCTAAACTACCGGTAGACCTCACCAGTGGCCAGCCCAATGAGTGGAACAAAACCTAACACGAATGATTAGACCAAATACGTCTCAACTACTATGGGTCTAATCCCTGAAAGACTGTGCGACTAAGTCACCCAGTTGTCCGACTACTATCGTCCATTATCGCCAAAGTGTTAAGGTACATCGGGGTCGAATATCCTAACCCCAGATGATGCCCTCGCCTAGCACTACCGCACACGGCGACTAGACGATAGATCCATAAATCATATCCGATAAACCGTGCAATATGTGTGAAACATGCCAAATAAGTGAATTTACCGAAAAAGACTGGTAAGACAGCTCACCTTTCCTCATTTTCATAAATTCACCGATGCGATCAAATACGTATATCAAATATCATAAACCGTGAAGTCTCCCACATGTATACGCACACATATATATAAATATACATGCACTGACAAAATGATCCACGTAATATCACATTAACATATTCATTAGAATTGCATGCAACATGCATACCTAATTTCTTAAAATTAGATTTAATTTCTTACTGCTTACCTCTTTTCTACACTCTCTAGCTTTCGTAATTTCATTCAAATCTCTTCCAACATACACCTGCCCCGTTATATACTCAAATCAGCTGAGTTATATGCTTATACATAGGAGCTACCTGCTTATTCAAAAGCTAATTTCTATAGTTAGCTCGTTCGGTTTCAAACTTTTATATTTAGTAAACTATGATATTCTAATTATAAAACTCTTATACCTTATAATATTTATATCGCCCGATTATTAAACAAAAATACTAATAAACAAACAGGTGCAGTCCGTTTTTTATTCGGCTCGGATCGATACGAAATTAGCATAATATAATGCTAAGACTACAAATAGACTATTAGCTAAAGAAATTCGCCGATTAAATAGCCAGTTATGAATTTTTTTGAAGAATTTCTAATTTAATATTTCTAATATCGAAATTCATATTAAAACCCATAATTAAATTTTACGTATAACAAAAAATAAAATCCTAAAATCAAAATCGAAATCTAACGGCTAAATCTTTTTATTTTTTCTTTTCTTCTTTCTCCGCGTTCTTATGCTTGGCCGTCCTTCACAGCGTTTGGTTTGTTTTATATATATATATATAGTTATATTATTATTATATATTATATATTATATTATATTATTATTATTATTATTATTATTATTATAAATATTAATCTTATCATCATCATCATTAATATTATTATCATATATATATTATGGTTTATGATTATCCTTATCAATATTTATCCGTTTAACAATTTTTTTAATCATAATCAATATATAAAATAGAAATAAAATTTATTCCAGAGTATTAATTTTTTGATTCTAAAATATTATAAAAATATTTATTTGCTATAATAATATTATTTTATATACTCCAAAATCGGGGTATTACAAATGTATTTATAATATTTAGTAGATAATATAGTTTAGGGTGTGTTTGTTTGGGGATTAGATTGGATTTACACTATTCATCCAATTTTTTCCCCTAAAAATCAAATTAAATACCTATTTTTTATTTTTTATATTATACTACAAATCAATTTTACATTCAAAATATCACATCAACACTTATTTATATCACATCATACAATTATTCAAATTCAAAATTTTTACTATTCAAATCACAACACAAAATCCAAACCCCCAAACAAACACACCCTTAATAGGCAATAAGTTTAATAACAAAATAACAAATTAAATATATGATAAATAGTAAAAAAATTAACATAAAACATAGGCTAAAAATTATTTGGAAAACCAATTTTGCAACTGTAGTAATTATTGAGGACTATTATTTCATAAGAAAAACGGTCTATTACTTAGGGTTTAGGATTGTTCGAGACGATTCGCTTTGTTTGAAACATATCAAAATGAAAAATTGTATAAATTGCTAAGGGTCGAATGAAGTATATAGTAATATAAAATAAAATGCATATAATAATTTTTTGATCATACAAAATTTTAAAAATATAATAGAAGGTGAACTAGTTAAGGTATGGTTGCCAGTAAAAAAAACAGAAAGTTATTTTAGCGTACAAAGTAAGTAGAAAAATTATTTTTAAAATATATCAAATAAAATATTTATTTCTTATTTGTTATATTATATTAAAAATTAATATTAAATTTAATATATTATAAACATTTATTTATATACATAGTAAAATTATTTAAATTTAGAGTTTTTAACAAAAGTACCCTTAAATATTCTGTAAAAATAAAAAACTACAATATAAATTATATAAACTTTCAATTTTAGTAAAAATTAGAGCTGACAGAGTAGATTCGTGTCGGGTTGAATACTTTAAATGGGTTAAATTATTCAATCCTAACCCGACCCATTTATTATCAATTCGTGTTGACTCGTTTTATTATCGTGTCGGGTTCGGGTTGACTCGTGTTGACCCGTATATATAATTAAGTCGAATTTCTTGATTCAAATTAAATAATTTTTTGTTATGTTGTGTTAGTTAAATTACTCAACTTTAAACCGACCCGTTTATTATCGTGTCGGTTTTGTGTTGACTCGTTTATTATCGTGTCAGGTTCGGGTTGACTCGTGTTGACTCGTGTTGACCCGTATATATAATTAAGTCGAATTTCTTGATTCAAATTAAATAATTTTTTGTTATGTTGTCGTGTTATGGTAGTTTTTATTGGTTTGAGTGTAAATTATGTTAAATTATTTAAAATTGAACTTAGTTTAAATTAATTTATGAGAAAATTATTAAATTATGATTATTTTACCTATATAATAAATATATTAATCAATATTAATAAATTATAACGAGGTTGTCGTGTCGGGTTCGAGTTGAGAGCTTCAACCCTAATCCGACCCGTTTACTATCGTGTCGGGTTCGTGTAAACCCGTATACATAATCGGGTTGAAATCTTTGACCAAAATCCAATTATTTAGTGTGGGTTGTCATGTCAGGTCAGTTTTTGCCCGTTCTAATAAAAATATACTATTTTCGATTATTAATTATTATAAGAAAATATAATATAAGGAAAAATAACAAAAATATTTATTATTAGTGTCTTGTAATATTACAATGATATTTTTATAAATATAATGCTATTTTTAATTCTAATACAATAAAATACAAAAAGTAAATGAGACGCTAAAGTTATAAACGAAAGAGGTATAAAATATCTCATACTCCTTCCGTCCTATAATTATATAGTCTGTTTTGTGTTGCGAAAAGAATATTGATATTATATTAACAGTGAGTAAAAAATATAGAATAAAATATTTTTTATGGTATTAGTGTATGTGTAATAATAAAAAAAATATTTTTTTTTTTTATAATGATATAATTATTTTTAAAAATAGGAGTCTGACAAATACTTTTATGTATAATTAAATTAAAATACGCACAACCAATTTTACGATTTAAAAGTATAATTATACAGTTTGGAGAAGGTCTGAGACTCTCAGTCGGTCGGAGTCGTTGAGTCAAGCAGCAATAAATCGCTCTCCGCCTCGCCTCGCCTGCCTCAGCCTGGATGGCATCGACAAACCATCTCTTCTCTAATCTCTAATTTAATCTAAGTTCTTTCTTCCCCCACCCACCCCCTCGGTTCCCCGTCGCTCGCACCGCTGCCGTCAAACCCTTTACTATCCCCGTCCGACCGATCGCCGGAACATTCAAGGTCTGGACATTTCTGCATTGCATGTACCTCCTCTGCCTCAAATCTCCTCCTCCATATTCTCCCCCCAAAACCCTAAATTCCCACCCCCCTACTCCTCTGTACCCAATCTTCCGAATGAAGGACCGCCCTCCTTCTTACGGGGCCCTCTATGTGCCTCCCCACCACCGCCGCCCCGCAACCACTACTGCCTCATCCCCCACCGATTCAGATGTTACCACTTACCACCCTCCTGACCGTCCGAGCTCGTTATCTACTTCTAAAGTTAATTGGACTGATAGTTGTCATGCTGTTGATTCTTATCCTTACTTTCCACCTCAATCATCTCAGAAGCATTGCCAACAACTGAGGGAAATTTGGCGACGTGATGAGGTGGCCGAGCAAGGGTCCCAACGTGAATTCGAGTTTTCATCACAACCTGTACGTTTCTATGTTAAGTCGTACATGCCATATCTCCTTTTTTGCACCGCTATTTTTAGATTACTACTAGGTTTACTCATACTTCTGTAAATTCATTATTATTAATTACACTAAATATCTTTCTTGTGGTTTTAGTGAAGCTGGATTTACCTTCACCTGGGCCATAGCTCTTCTTTCCATATAATTGTTTGTACGTTGATATTTCTTGTTTGATTGGTCTTCAGTGATCCTATGGAGTTGTTGGATCTAGTCCATCCTGAACTCAAATCCACAACCTACTCTATTCAACTTATTGTTAAATCTCATGTTGTTTTCTGGTGCGACTTTGATAAGGAATTCATGTTTACCTCTTGCAACAGTTACTTCTTCTTACAATGTAGAATATTTTTTCTTTTTAGACTTAAAAAAATCGTGTCCCTCAAGCCCTGCAAATATATTAGAGATTTACTTCTCTTTGAATCTTTGAACTATATGGAATAAAGCCTAATGATAATGATAAGGATGTGAAAATTTTCATGACCAGTTTTCTAAATTCAAGACAAACTAATTAAAAAAAAGAAAATAATAATCTTCAGAATAGAGAACCCCATACATGCTTTGTCAAGCAATCACAGTCCTGTAAAAAGTGCATACTCTGTTTTTGCACAGAAGGTCAACTACATGGTCCAATATATAGCATAGTTGACAGCAGTTATCTTAGAATATGATTCCACTTATGACGTATGCTTTGTTTTTATCAATTTATATATGAACTTTGAGGCAGCCTGTTGTTTGTGTTGCATGGTTATCTCTGCTTTTGTTCATGGAAAATTCGTTCTTTCATCTCAGAGTACTACTTCAGAGAATATGATCGCATGGAAATGGAAATTGAATTCTCTTTTGCACAATGCTGATAAGCAAGAGCTAATATCAAAAGAGAAAAAGGATAGGCGTGATTTTGAGCAAATAGAAGCTTTAGCAACTGCAATGGGCTTATATAGGTATCTGTCATGTGAATTCAGTTTGCAACCATGATTCTCAATATGGTTATAATTTTAATGTCCTAAAATAAATATTTCCCTTGCAGTAACATGTATGTGAAAGTGGTTGTTGTCAGCAAAGTTCCATTGCCCAATTACCGGTTTGATCTTGACGAGAAGCGTCCCATTAGGGAGGTGCTTTTGCTGATCTTTACAGAGTTATTTTATTGAAGTCAATATGTTGTCTTTCCTGTAATAAGTTGATTATTTCTAAGGCATCGTGATAGACCGTGTCTTCTATTTACTATGAGTGCAGTAATTAATCTGTTGGTACGTCCTGCTTTGTTGTGGAGTGTGAACCTGAAATTTATTTGTTCTATCGATTCTTTGGCAACATGTTACTACCATCTTAGTAGCTCCAAAAGAAATAGTAAATAAGAGAAATCCTGCAAGTGAAGAATCCAGGTAGTTGCGGTCATTTAGGTAACATATTTCCCTTGCAGTAACATGTATGCAAAAGTGGGTGTTGTCACCAAAGTTCCATTGCCCAATTACCGGTTTGATCTTGACGAGAAGCCTCTCATTAGGGAGGCGCTTTCGCTGATCTTTGCAGAGTTATTTTATTGAAGTCAAGATGTTGTCTTTCCTGTAATAAGTTGATTATTTCTAAGGCGTCATGATAAACTGTATCTTCTATTTACTATTAGTGCAGTAATTAATCTCTCGGTACTTCCTGCTTTGTTGTGGAGTGTGAACCTGGAATTTATTTGTTCTATCAATTCTATGGCAACATATTACTACCATCTTAGTAGCTCCAAAAGCAATAGTAAATAAGAGAAATCCTGCAAGTGAGGAATCCAGGTAGTTGCGGTCATTTAGGCGGTGCTGGGAGCATAGAAATATATCTGATTGATCACATGTGCCAATGTGAATTCCTGTGTTCCTCTCAATTATTTCTTGTATATCTGATCATGTTTAAATCTTTTAGGTGATCTTGCCCCCCAACTTAGTTAAACGCGTGGATGCATATCTTGCTGAATACATATGTCAGAAGTACAGGAGCACGGATTCCTTTTCAAGATCAATTAGTGATGCTGATATCTGTGATGAAAGCCTCTTTGACCAACTGGATTCACTTCCACATGGTAACACTCCCATGGAAAAATTTTCCTGGCAAAGAAGTCTGCATATGCGGGATGAACAACGCACTTGGCAGGTCCAGTTGCCTCTGCAGAATGATTGACATTGTATACTTAACTCTATGTGCCCTGAATTTTTAATATTAATTAGTATTCAAGAAATTCTATGTGAACATTTGAGATAATCTAACATTTGATGGGTCAAAACTCAGCTTGAAAGGCACACTAATTGTGTATTTGAGAAAACAATGAACATTAATGCATTATTTATTCATAAGTGATGACAATGGGTTGTGTTGATGATAACCTAAGCCTTGGTTCTCCCTTTTAATATCTTGAAAATCTGTACTGGTTTTACTTTAGCATTGATGCAGTAAAGTAGTTACCTGTTGAATATGAAAGGAACCATGTTGTTTTAAAAATTTTATACTGTTTTGTTGTTTGTTTTGTCACCAAATTAGTTTGTTCTTATTCATAGTCATCCCCTGAATTTCACTTTTACAGGAATCTCCTGACGGTAGAAAGATGATGGAATTTCGCAATAGTCTCCCTGCTTGTAAGAAGAAAGAAGTTATCGTGAGTGCTATTTCACAGAACCAGGTATGTGGTATATCTGCATTTGAAACGTTGGACCTTCTCCACCATTGATGACAATTTATAAATTCTTACAATCAGTTCTAGTATTGATGCTATGGTTCAATGAGCTGCTGTTGTGATTATTCATTTCTGTTGTTTTGGGCACTTAAGCAATGTCATAATTGGCTATAGCAGTACTCAAACTGATCTGACCTGTAACTGCTGCAGACATTTTCTTCCTGTCTGGGTTAGTTTGTTCTCATGATTGTAATTAAGTTTTCCGTGATTACATGGGAAACAATTTTTTACATGTGTATTTAGATTTTCCTTGTCAACATACTGATTCCTATATTTTCAGTTTATATAGAATATAAACTAAAACTGTTAAGAGAGTGAGTGAGAGGATCTATGTTACGAAGCCAAGGGAACTGGCATTGCAGGAGCTGCAGTCACGATTGGCGGTGCTGGCCCCTCAACTGCCTGAGTGTATAATACTGAAAGGGGGAAGAGCTGAGCTTAATTTGGGCTAGGCTTGACCCATGACTGATATTGATGCATGTTGGATACCTCTTGTTATTTCTTAATTCCATTTAGTATGCATTTTAGCTATGAAAATTATTATTTTAGAAGTCCGTAAGTTTTTAAGGAATCATTATTCTTTATCCCATTAGTTGTTAACTTGTTAGGTTTTTGGTTTTTGGGTTTGGGCTAAGTTTCCGTATTTCCTTGGATATTTAGTTTGTTGATTCTGTTTCTGGCCTTTTTAGTTTCTATGGCATGTGCACTTAACTATTGGAGCTTGCATGAGAGATGATCTATTGACAGTCCGAAATAATTTTCATTATGTCAAGCAATCTTCTTATCCTGAACCATTCTTTCATAAATCTCTTACTCCAGCCTTTGGCTTCTGGCCGCTTCCTCTGTGTCTAATTCAAGTGTTGAAGTAGTAGAGAACTTTTGTAACTAAAAAAACCAAATGGAGTTAATTTGTAATGAAACCTTATCTCCTTTGAAGTGTGGCGTGATGCACTATTCATGAATAGGACATTGGTCTTTTTGGTTGACTGAATTGGAAAGCATTCCTCTGAATAGTTGGTTTGGTGCCAACATTAATGATGGTAAGTTCCATTTTTCAGGTTGTCATTATCTCAGGTGAAACTGGTTGTGGGAAAACTACTCAGATTCCCCAATTTATTTTGGAGTCTGAGATTGACTCTATGCATGGGGCCACATGTAATATTATATGCACTCAACCTAGAAGAATTTCTGCGATTTCAGTGTCTGAGAGGATATCTGCTGAGAGAGGGGAGAAACTGGGGGAAACAGTGAGTTTCTGCTAATAGCCAAGATCCCTGTGCAGCAATACCTTTTATATGATATTTTAAGCAAAAAGTTTAAGTACCCATCTAAGTCTTGTTATGTTCTTCTCAGGTTGGATATAAAGTTCGGCTGGAGGGTATGAAAGGAAAAAATACGCACCTCCTCTTCTGCACAACTGGAATATTGCTCCGCAGATTGTCTGTTGATAGAAACTTAATGGGGGTGACTCATATTATTGTGGATGAAATTCATGAGCGTGGGATCAATGAAGGTATGTACTGTAATATGATTGAGCAATGCCACGATGAAGTCACTTATAACTTACTTTGTATGTTTGATGACAGATTTTCTGCTCATTATTCTCAAAGATCTTCTTCCTCGCCGACCAGACTTGAGGTTGATTTTGATGAGTGCAACTTTAGATGCAGGACTTTTTTCAACATACTTTGGTGGGGCTCCAGTGGTCCATATTCCGGTGGGTTTTTTTGGTCTAATATTTTTTGGTTCTACTTGTATAGTTCAAGTATTCTGTTGTTATTCCAGACAATCTGCTAAGAAAAACCAATTTACATGTTGATAAATATTCTCATTTGTGTGAGGTTATTTCCTTCCAGACCTGTGAATATTCCAGTTAGTTGCATCTATGTGAGCCTCTTTGTTTTGAGAAAAGTTTGTGTTAGCTAGTTAATGGTGATTTGAACAGAGCAATGAGTATTACTAGAAATTCTGTACCTACAGTAAAATTTCTGTAAAATATGAATAAGTATTGTCTGTATGTGTAATCAACAGTCGACGGATTCTTACAAAAGAATTAGTTATAATTGATTTTCAAGGAGAGTGGGGAAGCATCGAGCCGAAATAGCAAGTTATCAAAACATCCAAAAGGGCGTTCTATTGTGCTTTATGGAGGCAATGGTTTATGCCTCATTTATTATTTTCACATTTCTTGTGAATTGGTTTATTTGAAGAACAGACCAAAATGTTAGTTTGTTTGCACTAGAGGATGGGAATCAATTACAAAATTGAGTTATTGCAATTAAAGTTGACTAGTTATTGTATTAAATTTGTGGTATGAGATGCAGTACTCATTACGACTAATCCTGAACACCTTCAAGTATCACCAGTTCACCATATTAAGGGTGTGTTTGTTTGGGGGTTTGGATTTTGAGTTGGGATTTGAATAGTAAAAATTTTGAATTTGAATAGTTGTATGATGTGATATAAATAGGTGTTGATGCGATGTTTTGAATGTAAAATTGATTTTTAGTATAATATAAAAAATGAAAAATAGGTGTTTGATTTGATGTTTTTGGGGAAAAAAATGGGATGAATAGTCTATTTAAAATCCAATCCCCCAAACAAACACACCCTTAAGTTGTAATTGGTACTCACAAAACATTGGGTTTGTTCTCTGAGGATATTTATTTTATTTAAATTTTCTTAACTATATGCAATATCACAATCCCAAAACATCACATCCAACACCCAATTACTATACTAAGCATCACATTCTACAACTATTTCACCTAGAAAATATTAAAACCAAAAACACATATACACAATATATATACCAAAAGAACACACCCATTGTCTTTCTGGTTCTGTTTAGCAGCACTGGCTTTTGATTGCCTATATTGTTGGGTTCTTCCGTTGGTGTAACTTGTACATGCCACGCATCTATGTGGGATGCAGACATTATTCTGAGAAAATTTGACAACATTTTTTATGAAGGGAGCAACCATAGAAATTGATTCTAGAGTTGATTGGAAATTATAATTTATTTAGTGTTAATCTATGTGTTTTTATGCCCCTTCTGTCAATGGGGTGAAAATAGAATCGATATATGTGCCAATTCTTTTTTCCTTACGCTTGCAATTAAGCAGGAAGCCATTCTGATCTTGATTAGATTGGAGTTATTTTCTTCAATGGACCCAGTTGTATGCGTGCACTATTGCAATGCAACAACTTCACAAGTAGTTTTAGGAGGACTTGTCAGGTGTGGAGTGGTCAATATTTGTTTGCTGGAAGTATTGAGTGCTAATTATAGAGTTTTGTTCAACGTGACTTGATGTTGGAGCTGCCCCTTTTTTTTGTTCCCATGGAATATGAGAATATTCCTTCTGTGAAGTCTAAGGAGATTTAGGTCTGTCTTTGGTTATTTGCAACAATTTTCTTATCTTTTATGAGTTATTTAATAGATCTTTTATGCACAATTTTGTTAATTGGGAAGTCGTATTCTTCTAATTCTGGCATCACCCATTACTTCACCATACAGAGTGATTCCAGTTTCAAAAGTACTGTTTTAGAATTTAAGTATTAGGCCACACTAACTTTTCTCTCCATTTGTTATTCAGGGTTTTACTTATCCAGTACAGACTCATTTCTTAGAAAATATTTTGGAGGCAACAGGGTATCAGTTGACAGCTAATAATCAAATAGATGACTATGGAGTGGAAAGGATGTGGAAGATGAGCAAACCAGCAACAAGAAAGAGAAAGAGCCAAATTGCTTCTGCGGTTGAGGTAATCTAATCTTTTTTACCTCGTGAACTTTCTGGATTTATACCTTTATTATGATTATACTGACCTGCTGCAAAATTAATCAGGAGGCACTTAGCACTGCTGACTTCAGTGACTGCACAGCTCAGACAAGGCAGTCTCTGTCATGCTGGAATCCTGATTTTCTGGGTTTCAACCTAATAGAGCATCTTCTTTGCAACATATGTGAAAACAAGAGACCTGGTGCTGTTTTAGTTTTTATGACTGGGTGGGAAGATATATGCTCCCTGAAAGAAAAGCTTCAAGCTCATCCTGTACTTGGAGATACAAATCAAGTTATAGTGTTGGCATGCCATGGTTCTATGGGCAGTGCAGAACAGGTGATTCTGATACTACTTGTAGCTTGCATCTAAATTGCTTTTTGGAGTATGAGTAATTTTATTAATTGAGAGAGATAGAAACATATAGCCAAAAGCCAGAAGAAAAACAGATAACAACTACAGGCAGACAGAAAGGACCATGCTTAGCAAAATCATTAGCCCCCTCATTTGCACCTGATATGTTGGTATTACTATGGTACTCGAGTTTTGAATAGATTAATTGTTGTTCCATTGTCCATCATAAATCCTTTCCCTCTATTTATTCCACTCATCAATCATTATTTGATATTTGTAATATTGATGTATTATGTAAACAAGTGAAGTTCTCCGACAACTTGATGTCAATTTTCTTTTCATAATTTGTCTTATGCATGTTGGTATGAGGTTCACAGATAGGAGTAGGAAATATCACATGAAGTTACATTAAAAGTTCTCCATAATTTTTTTACAATCTTATCACGCAAGTCCAATAATTACCAAGTCACATAGCATGTCTCAGTGCAGGAAAATTAAGCGAAGTCAGATTAAATTTGCCTTTCAGACTTGTTGTAATGATATGTGCGCCTGATGACTACCTGATCTCATTCCATGGTTTGGTAGTTAACCAATTCTGGCAAATGAAAATGGTTGAAGAACTTTTGGTAACTCACGAATTTGATTTGGCTGATAAGTGCAATACGTTATACCAATTCAAAACCATTTTAGGGTGAGTTCCTTTTGGACTTTTTCATTCTCCTTTTTCAGTTTAAATAATAGTGTTTTGTGAGAGAAAAATATATATTTTGTTTGGGAACTGGGATAGTTGCATATTAAAAAATCTGAAAAAAAATGCAAGGTGAACAACGCCTTAGTTTTACAATTTTTTTTCGAATCTAACATGTAAAACTCAAAATGGCATTTATGTTTGCCCACAGAATACATTTTACTCATATTAGTACCTTCCCCTCCTGGAAGTACTATCTCAAGGCTATTTGTTATAAATATAAGACCAAAAGCACCAGCAGAATTTCTAAATATAGTTGGATAATGTTTTCAGCCTTATCTGGTGGATGAGGACTTTTTGTTTTGTTTCCCTTAAGTGAAGTAGTTGGAATAGCCTTTGTTTTCTATCAATTATAATGATAGATATTATCCATCTTCTATCTTTTTGACAAATTTTATATGTAGGGCATCATTTACACTTACTTGTATTTAGATTTATTTTTTTGCAGAAATTAATTTTTGACAAACCTGAGGATGGAATACGGAAGATTGTCTTAGCCACCAATATTGCTGAAACCAGCATTACAATTGATGACATAGTATTTGTTATCGACTGTGGAAAGGCAAAGGAGACGTCATATGATGCGCTAAATAACACTCCTTGCCTGCTTCCTTCCTGGATTTCAAAGGCTTCTGCTAAACAAGTATGCAAACATCCAGATATAGTATGAAAGCAACATCGTGAATCAATGTTATTGCTTCTTTGTTTTCAAATACCCAATTCCAGCTAAGTGATTGCATTATACTATGGTTAGAGTTTTGGCTTTTGTAATATTATCTCAAGAATAATAAGTCTGAAAATTATTTTATGAATGTTGAGCGTGTGATTTTGTACTTTATTATTTTGGATGGTAGCAGTTGATAATATCATGATAATGTACTGTTCCTACTGATAAGATCTAAAGAATCTCATATGAGATGACAAAATCACCTTGAAGGACCTGCATATAGATGAAGTAACAAGTTGTAGTGATGCGGTCACATTCAGTCTTTGATAGTTGCAGTATTATCTATAAGCATATTTGTCTTCACTGAGGTGACATTTTGTACTCACTGTTTCATTTTCCTTTTTGGGTGTTTGAAAACTAGAGAAGAGGTAGAGCAGGACGCGTTCAGCCGGGAGAATGCTACCATCTCTATCCAAGATGTGTGTATGATGCTTTTGCAGACTTTCAATTGCCTGAAATTCTAAGGACTCCTCTGCAGTCCCTTTGTTTGCAAATCAAGAGTTTGAAACTTGGCAGTATCTCCGAGTTCCTATCTAGGGCATTGCAATCTCCAGAGTATCTTGCGGTATTGCTCACATAAAGTTGTTTATGCATATCTAGTAATTACATGTTAGTTTGAACTTTTTTTCACGGAAAGTAGAAGTAACTTTTGTGGACCATGATTTTGAGAAACAAAAATATATGTTTATACTTCTATCCCTAAGGTTATTACTTGATCCATTATAATGGTTGATAACATTGCTTAGTTGTGATGGCAGATTCAAAATGCTATAGAATACCTAAAGATCATTGGGGCTCTAGATGAGAATGAGGATTTGACTGTTTTGGGTAAATTGGTGTATTCTAGTTTCCTTTGTATTTCTTGTTAGCTAGGTTTTTCTTATCTTATGTGCACTTTGATTTCTTATGCAGGGCGCTACCTGACCATACTTCCCATGGAACCCAAACTTGGGAAAATGCTTGTTCTTGGTGTTATTTTTAATTGCTTGGATCCAATTTTAACTATAGTTGCAGGTTTAAGTGTCCGTGACCCTTTCTTAGCTCCATTGGATAAGAAGGATGTAAGAAATACTTCTTAAACAATGCAATCTTTTATCTGTTGCCTTCTTGTTTCTTTACCATCACTCTTTTATTTCCTAGCTTCTCCTTTTTTCAGTGTTGACAACATAATATACATATATAGTTAGATTGGATAGGGTTATTAGAGTTTGGTTTGATAGACTCCTAATTATATCCATATTCATGTGTAACCTTTCTTGAGTTAATGCTATAAATCCTTTTCTTTGATAACATAGTATTAGAGCAGGTGTAACTCCGGTTGTAAGCATTTTGATGCCGATTGGCGAAATTCGATTCTGATCATGAAAACCTTTAGAATAGAATTCTCAGATTTGACCAGGTTGGGTCGATTGGGTAGGCTTTTTGTTTGGGTTGCAATTGGGTTAGGTTTGATTTTATTTGGGTTTGATTTTGGGTTGGGTTGAGAGAAAATCACCTAATTACCTTTTATTAATTACCTATTCCCGTCTCCACTCAATGCCGCTGCCCTGACATATCGTTGCTGGTTCTTCCCAACCGGAATTCGTTCTGGTAGTCCTTAATCATTCTGGTCTGCCCGCATCATTCAGATTGGCTTGACCAAGTATGCGACCTGCTTGACTCACCGTCTAACTACTGTATTTGTGGCACCTGCCTGGTCGGAGTCTATTCTTGCTTTGCTCAAAGTCAGTTTGTGTTTTTTCTTCAACTTCACCAGTGTGAGATTAACCGGGTTAGTGGGTTTTTCATTTGCCTGGGTTAATTCCCTTTGATTTGGTTTGCTTCAACCCCAATTGAGACTATTTTGATTTGTTTCACTAGATTTGGCCATTGGAGCTATCAACATATCATTAGAAAGAGTATTCTTAACTGATGTTGCCACCATTGAAATTGATAAATATGCTATTGATTTTGTTCATCCTATTGTCCAGAAACTGTGTCTTGTCTTGTCTTGTCTAAACTTGATTTTAAGTGTTTTGTCACATGCCTTGATCATTAGTCTTGTCTTACTTGGTTTTATTCATGGAAATTGTTCTGAAGCGTTTCAGCCCTTTTTTCACTTCTGTATTGAGATGAAAAATCAGTTTGGTGTTTCTATTTGTATCCTACTGTCCTGGTTTAAGGATTGTGAGTGAAGGAGATCCGAAAGGAGGCTATAGAACACTCTTCGGAACCTTTTATAAGGTTTGAGAGCCTTGTAGTTTTTTCTACATTTATTTATTTACTTAATTTCTTTTTTTATATTTATAAATATTGGAATTGTGTAGAACTTTGTAGAACTCTAGAATATTATAGAGCATTGATGTGGACTTGAGTTATATACGAAGGGGTGATCCCTTTATTTGTGAACCATCCAAGAATGGAAGAACTACAACCTCTCTCTACTTTCTCTCTCCTGCTTGGTTGCGTAGCAATTTTTTTAAGTTGGGAAAAATGCCCAGCTTAGTGTCTCAGTCTCAATGGATAGTGTGTTATGAATCCTCTTTTGTACAATCCAACAAAAATGTTATTGCCGAACGAAGCACCATCTTTTGGAAGTCCCTTAGTGCTAATCTTTAGATGAATGATGAATGTCCATAAGTTGTTTCCGGCCAGTGCTATATCTACTACTTGTTCTTTTGGTACACCTTCCATTCTTGTTTGGCTTCTTCTTTCTTTTTTCTTTTTCCTTCATAAACGTACCTCCTCCGTTGAGCCGTGTATGGTACTTATTCTGTCCATGATACTTGTCCTCCATTACTAAGTTGGACCCAAAATTTGCGTAAGTGCATCTTTCTTAGCTATAATTTCTCTTGTGATTTCTTTCAAGAGCATTTTCCATTTTATCCTATCTTTTCCCCATGCTACCTAGTGAAGGAATCATATCATTTTATCTACCCTGTGTTTGAGTAATCTCAGAGTTCCCACTATCTCAGCCCTAGGCAATCATAGTTTAGACTCAGCAGCAGCATCTTGCTAAGCCTCATGTAGATTCTCATCACCTACTTTTGCAACACCAGATGATCTTGCACCCTGGGATTCTCCTCCCACACAACAATCCTCTATGGATCTTCCCATTGCCCTTTATAAATTTATACATACATGCACTTATCCTATTCCCTTTGTTGTTCCCTATGATGACATGTCTGCTCTAAGATCGATTCTATCACCAGTCCTGAATCCATTTAGTTTGGTGCATTCTGGTTGGCGTGCCACCATGATAGAGGAAATAAATGCTCTTAATCATAATGCTACTTGGCGTTTGGTGGATATACCTACAGGGAAGAAGGCGATTGGATGCAAATTACTATTTATGGTAAAGTTAAACTGTCTTGTTGCCAAGGTTTATACAAAGTCTTATGGTGCTAACTATTTTGAGATATTTTCTCCTGTGGCCAAATTAACCTTAGTCTGTTTACTTATATCTTGTGTACCCATTTATGATTGACTTCTTCATCAGTTGGATATTAAGAATGCCTTCCTCCATGTCTTTTTTAATAACAAAGTATATCTAGAGCAACCATCCAACTTTGATACTTAGAGTAGAGTGTGGGAAAGTTTTTCATCTTCATAAATCACTCAATGAACTAAAACAAAGTTCCCATGCTTGGTTCGGCATATCAATCAAGTAGTTTTGAAATATGAGATGCAGAGGTGCAAGTTTTCTCATTAGTTTTTTATAGGCACACACAAGTTGGGAGTCTTTTGCTAGTTGTATATATATGGAAGCTGTTGCTTCAAAAAACATTTAAAGCAAAGGTTTGGGGGCGCTGCAATACTTTATAGCAGTTGAAGTAATGATGATTAATAAAGGAATTTTCTTATTTTCGAGGAAATATGTTTTTGATTGACTTCAATAGACTGAAAAATCAAGAGCCAAACCCTGCCGCACTCTAATGAGTCCTAACTAACATCTGGAGAGGAATAATGAAAAAGTATTCCCTGATTCTGAAAGGTATCAAACACTTTAGGGAAGTGGATTATTTGACAACAAATCCTACCAGCATTGCATTTTCAGTTAGTGTTGTAAGTTTATTTATGAATTCAATTACAGTTTATCATTGAACCCTTTCAGAGCTTGTGTTATTTGAAAGGAGCACCTGGTTGAGGCCTATTCTACACCAACCATGATCCCTCTAAAATAGAAGGTTTTACCAGTGCAGACGATACTAGGTGTAAGAATGATAGGAGATCCACTTTAGGATATTGTGTTTTCATAGGATACAATCTTGTATGTTGACAAAGTATAACCAAAATGAGGTATTTTGATGTGTTGCTAAAGCTGAATATAGAGCTGGTTGACTTTGTTTGGGAGATGGTATGGATACAACACTTGATGTGAGAGATTGGCCATAGAGTTGATTTTCCAGCAACACTAATGTGTGAGAACTAAACTGCTTCACATATTGCAACCAGTAGTATTCCATTAACACATAAAGCATATTGATGTTGATTATCACTTTCTTTACAATAAGGTTCAAGAAGAATTCATTTATGGAATATGCCAAAAATCAATTTGGAGATGTTTTCACCAAAACACCAAATGGAGTATAAATGAAACATCTTTGTAACCATTTGGGCATGATAAATATATATGTTCCAACTTGAGGGAGAGTGTTGACGATATAGTTTACATTTATTGTTAGATAGTTACCCTGCGTTTGGTTTGTATTTATGTTTGTGATTTGTGTTTAAATAGTGGTGATGTTTTCTGAGAGAAAATTATCTATATTCATAGAAAACCTTGGGGAATTGCATCCTAAAGAAAATAAAAAATAAAAAAATCTCAAAGAGAGGATGGCCTTATATTAGAATAGGATTATTGGATTTTATTGGTGTGGATAGACTTCTAATTATATCTATATCTATCTGTAACCTCACTTGAGTTAATTTGAATAATCCTATTCTCTAGGATAACATTGAGTTTTGGGTTTGGAATGTAACTTATGCTCTCCAGACACTATTTGAAGTGCAAACAATTGTCCATTTATAAGTTCGTACTGTGCAAAACAATATTATCCATAAGAGGGACTAGATGGTGACTTTTTGGTCCTGCAAAAGTTCTTTTTTTTTTGGTATCCTATGATTTCTGCATTTGGTATCCTATGATTTCTGCATTTGGTATCATAAATCAGAAACTAGGACTCATGTTATATATTTTATATATTACAGAATACATCACAGTAAAACTGAATTGTTCATAACATTTTTGCCGTATGTTTTAGTTGGCGGAAGCAGCAAAAGCACAGTTCTCACATGAGTACAGTGACCATCTTACTCTTGTCCGGGCATATGAGGGTTGGAAGGTTGCGGATAGAGATCTCAATGGATATGATTATTGCTGGAAGAACTTTTTGTCTGTGCAGTCAATGAAAGCCATTGATTTGCTCCGTGAGGAATTCTACTCTTTGCTAAAAGATGTTGGTCTTGTGGATAGCAATCCAACTACTTGCAATGTTTGGAGCTATGATGAGCATCTCCTGCGAGCAATCATTTGTTATGGCTTGTGTCCTGGAGTTTGCTCTGTTGTGGTAAGGCTTTTAGTTATTCAAGATTTCCAATGGTATCCATCACTGGATATATTGTAATCTTGCATATGGCTGCCAATGTGCTGTTTATTCTGTGGTATATGGGGATAATACATAGTGTTAAGAATCCTTCCTGCATGAAATGGTGGTTTGTGGGTGCCTTTTGGCTCTTGTCCTACTTTAGAAATTCAATTAAGCCACTTCTCAATGTTCTCATTCATCCAGCAAAACAAGAAGCTAGTTCTTGGAGTTCATTAAAAATTATCTAAGCTTTCTTTTGGGTTTTATACTTAGTAACTCAATTGATTACTTACAGCACAATGAGAAGTCCTTCTCCCTGAAAACAATGGATGATGGTAAAGTGCTTTTATACTCTGTAAGTACCTGCTGACCTCACAACCCTTTCTTGCCTTTAGATTGAAGATATTTGCATATGCATGTGATTTTCTTATAGCCTCCTTCAAATTGGCTTAGAACTCAGTGAATGCACGTTACTCAAGAATCCCATATCCATGGCTTGTCTTCAATGAAAAAATTAAAGTGAACTCTGTCTTTCTGCGGGATTCCACTGCTGTATCAGATTCAATGTTGCTCTTATTTGGTGGTCGCATCTCAAAAGGAGATACGGTAATTTTCCCAGTCTCCATAATTTAGTCCCTTGCCTGAAATTCAGTGTAAAATATCCTCTATATCAACAAAAATGATGTGGTGACTCCCCAAATTTAACCTTGTTCTGATGGACTCATGATGTGATTTCACAGGATGGACAGTTGAAAATGTTGAATGGATACTTGGAGTTTTATATGGATCCTTTGATAGCAGACCTATACCAGAGTTTGAGGAGAGAGCTTGACAACTTAATTCAGACCAAGGTGAAAGCGTAGAATTATGTTACAGTTCCTGCCCTTTCATTTATTTCTAAGTCTCATTTGAAATTCATCAGCACTGTCCTGTGCCTGTGCTGTTGTTGATATGAAATTGAAAATTTATCTGTTTCATTGTTATTATGGCTTCTAAAGTTGATGATGGCTGAATTCTCATGTGCAGCTCCTTTATCCCACAATGGGAATACATTTCTCTCATAAACTGATTTCTGCAATTCGTTTGCTGATCTCACAAGAGGAATGTGGAAGCAGATTTGTATTTAGCCATCAGGGACATATGCATTCCATTCATTCTATCGGTGCATCAATTTTAGCCACTGATGCAAATAGAAAACCAATTTTGGTATGCAATACAGAGAGTGGCCCTGGAGGAGATAACTCGAAGAGCCAACTACAGACATTACTCACTCGGGCAGGCTATGCTGCACCCAGATACAAGACCAATCAGCTAAAGATCAACCAATTTCGAGCTATTGTGGAATTCAATGGTATGCAGATAGCTGGGCAACCTTGCAACAATAAGAAGCAGGCAGAAAAGGATGCTGCAGCTGAGGCTCTGCGGTGGCTGCTCGGAAGGAATGGAGATGGAGTGGATCATGATTTTATTGACAATATGTCAATGCTGCTAAAGAAAAGCAAGAAGTCTCACACATAATGGTGGAAAGGAGGGTGCAACGAATTATATAAAAGCAGCAATAAGCTGATACTGGTACGCGCAGGCACAGCCTCGGGTATGGATCCTGGGTAAGCACAGGTTCAGCATGATCATAAAGCAGAAAGCTGATAAGCTGGAGTTGGAATCCTTCGTAGTTGTACTTCATACCTCTGATCGTGAGGTGAGTCTAATTGCAGCAGATATCTGTTGGGATAGACTGAATGACTTGACTACTGGCTTATGTTGTGTTGTGTTCTGTTGGCTTGGGATTACCACCTATTTTAGTTAGGGAGAGAAAGGATGATTGATTGATTGGCTTCACCCTTCACTCGAATGCTAATCCAATTGGTCCTCCCATTCCTTCCTATGTATGTATCTATGTATGTATACAAGGGATTGTTATTGCATTGGAACATATGCGCGCATATATCATATGATGGGTGCAGGCAGCACCTTGGTCTGAAATGGGGATGCGGATGGGGAAGGGCCTCTCGATAGTTGGCATGTGTGGCCTCTGAATGAGACTGGCTTGACCCACTATGGGCTGCTACAAGCTGACAAGGAAATTCTTTCTCATTGCGCCTAAATTTTGAGTGTTGGTGTGTTTTATTCTTCATATGAATTTTAAGAAAACAATATGGCCGGTATTTTGTGTAAGGAAAGCCATTCAAATATATCTAGGATGGTTTGTACATTCTGATGTTTTCATTATCTCCCAATTCCCACCAAAATGCACTAGATTCATGTAGCTCTGAAATGAGCATGCAGTATGACCATTCAAAGGGAACTGAGAGACAGCAGGATCTTATTATTATCTGTTTCAGCTGTTGGAGGGAGCTGAGCTGAGCTGCAATCCTTGGTTGGTTTGCTGTCTCAAGGAACCTCTCTTTTATTTATTTATTTTTTTTCTTGAAGCTGCAGTTAGTGCGCTGGGTGTTTGGTTTTTACAACTGCCCCTGGTGAAGTCTTCTTTTTTGCACATCTCCGAAGGTTAGGTCCTATCCCCAGTACAATTCTAATTGCATGTCTTTTGGAGTTGGAGTGGAGATCTTTGCTACCATTGTCTTATAATGTAGTAATGCTTGCCTGCGTGCCTTATTATGTAACGTGCTCGGAAGCTTACATGTCCGGTGTCTAGGTCATGCTCGCGCTGAGGACAGGAGATCGCACACATGGGACAAACTATGACCGATAACCTGGAGCGTAAATGTCAACCCGTATTTTCCTACTTCAAGTCGCAAACGCCCTTGTGCGATGCTACTCAAGTGCACCGACATTGTTTCTTACACTTTCAACATGCCTTCAGGCGGTAGTTCGTCGATCATTTCCTACATACTTACATTCTTTGTGCTCACCAACCGCCACCAACAAGTCAAGCATACTCCACCACCCTAGGAGTAGTCCCATCTGTAATGTCCAACTCCGTTAGGGCATGCTTCGCCACTGAGCAATAGTCCACTTGTCCGCTTTGTTCGTCCCCCACTCTCGGTTCTTTTATAGGAGAGACCCTTTAGTTGTACTTTACTTTCATTTTTCAGAGAGCTAATATACACTTTACTTTGCCGAGTGTTCTTACTTTCTAGATTAGAATTGAGTCGTGTGCGAGATTGTATTTGCGAATTTTTCATAAACATAATGGCTAGCTTAACGGAAAGGTGTTCAAGGAGGAACCATCTAACTCGTTACAAATAGGTCCTCACATAGCATAATTATTACCACTTGAGTATCAATGTATATGCATGTATGAATATGTGTATTAACACAAATAGCTAGCTTACAAAGTAAGACTCTCAACTTAATTTTTGTATCAATTCTTTTTAAATTTTTACTATTTATTAAAAAAATTTATTTCAAACACGTCAAATTAATATTTAATTTTTATTTGTTATACTTTCGGGCATTGAAATTAGTATATATTTTAGTTATTTAGAAAATGAATACTAAGGGTGTCTTTGTCTGTGGGTTTGGAGTTTTGAATTTAAATTTTTGAATAGTAAAAAGTTGAATTTGAACAATTGTGACATAAATAGAGATTGATGTGATATTTTGAATATAAAATAAATTTATAGTATAATATAAAAAAAAGTAATTATGATATGATATTTTTGGAGAAAAAAAATTCTGTATCGTAAAAACTTGTGGTAAAAATCCACTAAAAAACACAATCTAAATTATTTTAATAAGTGTATAAATACAAGCAGAAGACACGCTTCGCGCTAGGCTACTGTAGTCGTCTCTCCAAAATCATGTCTAGTTCACCAGGCAGGCAGGCCACAAGAGAAGAGATTGCAGAAGTGATCTCTCTCCACTCCAGCCTCCTCAATCCAAGAGAAGAACAGAACAAGACAGAGTGTGCAGTGTAATGTAATTAGCATTCACCATCTAAATAACAAAGTTGATCAAATTTTAATTCTTTAATATGATGTTTCTTTGGTTGGATCTTGCCTGGGATGTTGTTTTGATTAATTAGAGAGATTGAATCCATCAGTGGTATCTTCTTGGGCCAACTAACTCTAAATTAAACTCAACCAAGGCTGGTAGGGACAGACAAGTATACCACATGACATGCTGATGGGATTGGGTGGGAATGTTTTCTGCTAATATATATATACACACACACATTAGAGGGTTTAGATAAGCCTGTTTGCCTGCCTTCGGCCCCTGCTATCAATTAAGAAGCTTCCCCGTCCCGCAGTGTCACAGTCATAATTTGCTTGCCTTGGTCTGGTCTTCATCTCGGAGACCGGTGAGAGAGAGAGAGAGAGAGAGAGAGAGAAGAGCGCAAATGGAGGAGGAGGAGGAGGGTTTGCTGTTGGATGAAAGCAGCAGGGCGGAGAGGAGGAGACTCCTCAACCTCAACCTCAACCTCAAGTGCGGGACCGGGGAGTTATGGGAAGAGATGAAGAGGCTGGGTTACTTGACAGGTCCTATGGTGGCTGTTACTTTATCCTTCTATTTGCTGCAAGTTATATCATTGATGATGGTAGGTCATTTAGGCGAGCTCCCCCTTTCCAGTACCTCCGTAGCCTTCTCTCTTGCTGGGGTCACTGGTTTCAGCCTCCTCGTACGTCCATCTCTCACCTCACCTCATCGCTTTTACCATCTGCACTCAATGTTCCGCTTCTGCTTCTGCTTATCATATACTTTGTTAACTAACTAATTGTGCACGATACTTGTCGCTTCTGTCATCTTCGAGCATGCATTCCACATGATCCTTCTCCAAAATTGTTCACTACAATATCCCTAATCTTCAAATGAATAAAATAACAACAAAATAATTAACTATACTCTCCCATTCCCATTTATCCATTACTATTCAATATAAACAAGCAGCAAATGCATCAGCGGAAATAACTACGTTACACATTATAAACCTATCAACTCATACTAGACACATGAAGATAATATACACAAAAGCCTAGTTCTTTCAACAATTTATACCGGACACTTAGAAGTCCCATGTCTCAATATGTTCATAAGCATGTCGAAAGCCAAGTCTGGAGTGTTTCTTAAAATGGCAGAATTTTATGTTCATATAGGTAATTTCTTTAGTCTTGTTCTTGCATCTCGATTTTTCAAATGAATTATTAAGAAGTAAAATCTAACCTAACTTTTTTGCATGTCTAAAAGCTTACCTCACGTAAGGTCTCTACATTTAGTTCAGCTCTCAATGTTGTACTATGAGGAAATTTGGTATTTTCCTTGAAGTGGATTTAGATGAATTTTAATCCCATCCCATTTAACGACTTGAGCATTAAGTCTCTAGTCAATCCTTTAATTAAATTATCCGTCAAATTACACTGTGACTGAATATAGTCTACGGTAATCACTCCATTTAGGTTAAGTTCTCACACAACCACATGCAAGATTTCATGTTATAATTTCTCTATAAGCTTTAGATATAGTAGCCACATTGTGACAGTAAACCAAAATAGAAGTATTGATTTTGGCCCCGATGGAATCTCATAAACTAAGTTACAAAGCAATTACGCTTCCTTACCAGCCACAACTAATGCGATAAGTTCAGATTCCATCGTTGAACTAGATATATATGTTTGTTTCTTAGAAGCCCAGCAATGATTCCCCTAAGACAAACACCCAAATTGCAGTTGAAGAAGCATCTTCAACATGGTTTATTCTGAATATATCCTTTCAATGCCAAAGGAAATCCTGCATATGATAAACCAGAGTCTTCGGCCGGCTTTACTAAAATACCCTTTTAACTGCATGCTAGTGATGAGTACTTGCTTTACTAGTGAACCTACTTAATTTTCCGATCTCATATGCTATATATTATCTTGTGGTTGTCATGGTGTACATCAAGCATCCAATTCTTCATATTAAACTTCTTGAGAATATGCTCGAGATAGTGTAGTTGTGTAAGTACAATCCTTCTAGATTTTCTTGATTTTAATTCCAATAATTACATCCACCACCTCATGTCCTTCAAAGAGAACTTGGAGGATAAAAACTATAATAATAACACTGATATGTCTACTGCTTACAATCTGATTGGAACTAGATTACATCCCATATATATACATCCTATAGAGTCATGCTAGTTAATAATGTATACCAACCCTATGAATTTTCTCCTATGTACAATGTCCCTAGGAGTTATGTACTTCATTCATTATACCATGAATTTCCATACAAGTACTAGAAACCTTGTAGTTTTCTCCACACGAGCATTATCTGTTCCAAATACTAACAGGCTATCGACATAAAAACAAATGATCACCCTATTGTCATATTACATTGCAGTTGCACTGCCCCTGTCTAGAAGGAAATTATCCAATCCTGTGAGCCTCTTAAATCGAGCAATGTCCCCTTGGCTTGATAGCGTCAGTTGCTGGGTTTTATTGTAAATTTTCTTCCACTTACTAAAAATTTCGACAATATCACACTTTCTTATTGATGGTCATGATTAGGGGAAGGGTTTTACCATAATATGATAGTATGAGAAATTTATGGGTTTGTTTGCCCAACCATTTTTTACCAGACGTAATTTTCAATATATATAATATATATTTTATCATTTCACAAAATTTCAATATTTAACATAAAATATTATTTTTTTATATTACTAACACAATTGTTATACTTCACATAAAAGAATATATCGAACCAAAACAAAAAACAAGTAAACCCTACGTATTTTTCAAAGCACTTTGATGCCTCATAATTTTTATTTGAAAATTATAATTTTCAAATTAGGATTTAAATTAAACAAATGTCTACATAAAATCCTTTGAAATTCAAATTAATTTGAATATGAATTTGGCAACTATATATTGAAAGATTGTCTCTCTTTAAAGATAAAGTTGCATATTTTCAAGATCAAAGATTTTGTGTTAAATACGGCAACAATATGAGATAATATTTTTCTCCATAATTCTGGAAAACATTATCTTCATACACAAATATTATCCTTGTACGGGTTTAATGAAACTCGAGGTGTTAATATGCTTGAAATATTGTATAAGAGAAGAAACCTTACGTGTCTCAAAGTATATCTAAAATCGTTTATACAATACAAATTTCTATTTTCTTGCTATTTTCCAACAATCTTGTATGATAGTTAACATCGCCATCCATGATCATTTGAAAATAGTATAAGACTCTTGGAACATTTGTTGGAGATTTTTGGAGAATTGGGAAATAGGTGGATTTTGCAAGCTACAAATGATCTTGGATATACTGATTTGATCATTTAAGTTGCTTTTCTTATACGATATTTCGATCCTATTAATTTTTTAGATTTCACAAAATTCATACGAGAATAAAACAAAAATACTCGAAATTTAAGCGAAAAATAAATACATAGAAGGTTGAGAAAATATTTGTGTATGAAGATGATGTCTTTCGGATTTCTGAAGAAAATAAATACTCTTTGAGTGTTTGTATGTATAGCATTTTGTATCTGTTTCTGTGTATTTTTTTTATTATGAAGTGTTTCTTCCGAAAAGATGCAACTTGAATTTTGAACCCAAACTGTACCATCTTTTCATTGAAAATGTCCAACTTTTATATTTGAATTGAAGTGATACAACTCTTCAATGTAGTTGCCAAATTCAAATAAATTTGAATTTTGGAACATTCTGTGTATTGAAGAGATACAACTTTCAATGTAGTTGCCAAATTTAAATTGAAATATGTGCAGGAGCTTATTGAATTAAATTCTTAATTTGAAATTTATAATTTTCAAATTAAATTTAAAAGACACCACAGTATTTTTTTTATTTAACTTTTTCCAGATTAAAATGCAGTGAAGAATTCTTTCCTTAGTCATGGTCATAAAAGATGCGACTTTCCTGGATTTTTGGGAAGTAGAGAGAACAATTATAGTAAAATCCCTTACATCTAGCCATAGGCATAACTAAGCCATTGCCTCATTTACTATTCCGCATTTGCCTCATTTTCCACCTTCATTTTGTTGTGCGCACCTCATGTGGCTCTTCCCGAAGATATCTCAATACAACATCCCTCATCTTCGAATGAATCCAATACTAACAAATTAACTAACATGTAATTTAACAATATTCATTTTAACTGATGCCTTCACACAGATAGCTATGAATCTCTTGTTAATCTTCCTAATTATACTGAACACTGCTTCACTGATATATTTATAAGCAAGTGATTTTATATAATTATATGCAAACTTTTCTAGCCATTAACCAAGTAAATTGTGCCTCTAAAGATCTCCTCTCACACAAAGGCTGCCACTTGAACTGAAATATGGGAATATCTGCCCCCCGCCCAAATGAAATCGATCAGTAAGCATTCAATGTGCACCCCCCACAAAAAAAATCATTAGAAAGATTACTTGTTTGTTGAGAATCAAAGCAGTATCATCCCATATCCTTGCTAAGCGTGTTCCAATTTCCTGACAGCTTACTTGATTGTGTTTCGATGAAACAGTTAGGTATGGCCAGTGGACTAGAGACTCTAAGTGGGCAAGCTTTTGGTGCCCAAGAGTATGAAAAACTTGGAACTCAAACTTACACTGCTATCCTGTCTCTTAACATTGTTTGTATTCCTGTGTCCATCTTGTGGGTCTACATGGGCAACTTGCTCAAGTTTATTGGTCAAGATCCTCAAATTTCTGTGGAAGCTGGACGATTTCTTACATGGCTTGTCCCCGCCCTCTTTGGCTATGCAACTCTGCAACCTTTAATCCGGTACTATCAGATGCAAAGCCTGATTGTTCCAATGCTCATAAGCTCCTGCATAACTCTCTGCTCCCATGTCGCGGTGTGTTGGGCATTGGTTTTGAAGTCTGAATTGAGGAATCTTGGAGGTGCAGTTGCGATGGGTCTCTCAATTTGGTTAAATGTGATCATCTTGAGTTTATACATGAAGTACTCTTCCAAGTGTGCAAGAACCCGTTCTTCATTATCAATGAGGGTAGTTGATGGGATGAAAGAATTTTTCTGCCTTGCAATTCCTTCTGCCGGGATGATCTGGTAATCACGTCGTGACCTTTTCCTTCACCAGATGAGTTTTCTAGTTAATTTAAATCTGCTGTCATATAAAAATTTGGTTGACTGTACTGTATGTAGTTTGGAGTGGTGGTCATTCGAGCTGCTTATCTTGTTGGCAGGACTGCTTCCAAATCCACAGCTTGAAACATCAGTGCTGTCTGTGTGGTAAGTTCTGTCACGATCTACTTGGGTGCTGGAGCTGCTAAAAAAAGCATACTGAACATATATTTATTATGAGAATGTGTTATTTTGTTTTTTGGCAGCCTGACCACCCTAGCGACGCTTTATTCGATACCATATGGATTGGCGGCTTCAGCAAGGTAGAATTAAAAGTTCAATTCCGTATCTTGGGATTGCATGTGATGTGATGCGACGTGATGTGCTTATAGACGGATGATATTGTTGCTCACGCACATTCAAATTCAGCACTAGAATTTCGAACAAGCTGGGAGCTGGAAATGCACAAGGCGCCCAGATATCTGTAGTTGCTCTAATGCTTCTTGTAGCAGTTGATGCACTACTTGTAAGCAGCGGTGTATTTGCGGGCAGAAATGTTTTTGGGTACATTTTCAGCAATGAGAAGGAAGTGGTGGAGTACGTGGCAGCAATGGCTCCTCTGGTTTGCGTATCCGTTGTCATGGACAGCATCCAAGGGGCACTTTCTGGTAGTACTGAAATGAAATGAAATGTCTGTGTCTCTAAGTCTATGCAATGCAATGGCAGTACTGAAATGAAATGAAATGTTTCGCGTCAGGGGTTGCGAGGGGCTGCGGGTGGCAGCACATCGGGGCGTGCATCAACCTTGCAGCGTTCTATCTATTCGGGATCCCAATCGCAGCTGCGTTGGGCTTCTGGTTGAATCTAAGAGGGAGAGGTCTGTGGATCGGGGTGCTATCCGGTGCCACACTGCAGTCTGTTCTGCTGCTAACAATAACCAGCCGCACAAACTGGGAGAAGCAAGTCAGCCTCCTCCTCCTTTATTCCGTTTTTCTTCTTCTCTTTTCTTTTCGATTCAGCATACTTACTACTTACCCATAACTGCACAACACATGCATACCATATATTCGTAATGGTTATGGTGGTTGTCCCGCAGGCAGCTGAGGCAAGGAAAAGGTTGTTTACTCAAGACGGACAGGTCTGATTACGATTGACACACAGCACAACACAACACATAAATGCATCAGGGTTTAGATAGAATATTATCTCGAATGCATGCCACAGAACTCCAGAATATATATATTGTTTGTTTGTTTGTACGTCAACACCATTGGAGTATACCCAGTAGCACTGTTATTCACATAAAATATAACGGACTTTTATACACACCCCCACCGCTCAAATCTATCTACATTCTACAGGCTACAGCACCACAGTATAGATTCAAACAAATCCATCTCCTATACCACACACAAGGAGAGAGAGAGAGAGAGAGAGAGAGAGAGCGAGAGAGAGAGAGAGAGAGCTAATTATATTTCTTCCACAGCAGCCATGACACTACAAATTATATTGCTGTTCAGTAACTCCAAATAAGAATAAAGACTGCTCTCATGTCTTGTTTTGGGCATAGATTGATGTCTCAATAGAATACTGGGCTGGCAATGTTCTTCCATTCACAAGCACTTGCTCCAAGAAATCCACACGCACTGATCTAAACTTATAAAACTGAAAAAAGAGCCAAAACAAGGTACCAAACAGTTATTATCCTTTCCGCGGGAATCTGAGTCTTTGTAAGATATATATTTCACATCAACCATGGGTAACAAACTTATACTTAGGAAATGAAACTTAAGGCATACCTTTCCTTTCCAAGAACAATCAACATTGCGGTAAGACGGTTCCAAAAGTGTAACATGGTCTCGTTCTTTAATCTAATTAAGATTCATACAACTGGTAAGTCACTCTGCTCATCACTAAGTTTAACTGACAAAAATTTACATCAATATTCTATAACATGTGGTTCTCAGCACCATATTCCATTACATTGCATGATAACCTTTTTGACAGCGAGATGTCAAACCTAGGTAACACAGAACAAGATGTAAACTTCCTCCTAGGTTTCTGTCATTTTCTTTGCATTTTCCAATAGATAATTTCTTAGGGAAAGGGGATACAGCCAGGGCAATTGATCAAGCTGAAACCCTTTAGGTTTTTATTCTTAACCTAGCTTATAGGAGATACATAAATAAAGAGCTAAGGGGAAAAAAACAATCAGAGATACTTTTAATTTCTGCGAGTGAAGCAGTAGGCTGTACAAGACTGGATAAAACTACTGCTGTTTTTTTTTTCTGAATGATACCTAGTCAGTAGTCGCATAAAACAGTAATCAAGTTTTTCTGAATGATATCTGATAACAGAAAACAGGACATCAAATTGCCCCTCTAGAATACACTGAATAAAGGGGGTTTGTTCATTCACAATTAAAACTAAACAAAGGAGAAGTTCAAAGGATTAAAGCATCAACTTACTGCTTCCTTGTGTATTCCATACATGGACAGGACATAGCATGTCAGACTTGAATCACACAGCAAATAGTAACTGCAAAAATGTCGTAAGTTGACTCAATTAGAGAGCTAAGTACCTCCAACAGCTATGAATAACAGAAGCTTAATCAACTGAGTGAGCCGCAATAAAAGTCACATAGGCATGGCATGTAAGCAGAGGACGTCATCAGTAAGAGGGGGAAAAAAAAACTTACAACGGGGCTTCATTCTCATGCTTGACAAAGAATATAACCCTTCCTACAATAGCAACTGATTTATTTAGACCTTCCAAAAGGCAATCTATGGTCTCTCTTCTGTATGAAGCATTCACTGGGGTGAAAGGCAGATGTTTCAATTATACACTAGGCTTCAAACTATATCAACCAAAATCAAGGTACTGCAGTATTCAAGTTGCTTACAGCTGACACTAGCAAGTGAAGGTGCCAAGGAAGCTAGTTGTTTTAACTTGGTTTGACCCTGCAACAGCGAAACATTCTATTTAGATGTATCATGGAATGGAAGAAAAAATTCGTCCGGACTTGTTAAACAATAAAGATCTGCAACAACAGTAGGAAAAATCATTAAAAAATTTAAATATAAAAAGCAGTAAAAATGATCTATGAAGTTTCAGTGTTTACATGCAACAATATAATAATCTCCATGGAAAAATATAGAAGTGATAAAATAAATCATGGATGATAAAATATAAATTAAACAAAGTTTCAGAAGTGATTTGTATGGTAATATTAGTTTCTCTATACAATAATACTTTTTAGAACACATTGAGTGTTCATATTACCAAACCTTATAGATAAACAATGATATATTGTCATGCAGATCTTAATTTAGTTTACAAGCAAACATGTTAAAAAGAACACGCACGTATTTATCTTATTACTGACACAGCAACTTACTCGGAGCAAGTTATCTATTTTGTCAAGAAGATGAACAATCTTATGAACTTCCTCCAAGGCATGGAGACCAGGATCCCTCAGTGCAGCAGCTTCAAATCCACTTAGGGCCCTCTCATAGTTTTCTAGATATTTATTTACCTATATTCATAAATTCCAATGAAAAGTCAAAACTCCAGAACAGTGATAAATGTATCAGAATAGAGTGCAAAGAAAACATAACATGCATAAACCACCAAGAATCTATTATAGAACACAGCAAGCTAACAGTGCAAATAAATATGATATATCTGCCATTATGGAGGCAGAAAAAGAAGTAAAGTGAGCTAGACATAAACACAAACATGTCTCTAAACAAAAGAATGGTATAGTGTGTCCATCCAAAAACTCGCGCAAATGGAAATCAAACAGAACAGAGTGACTTACAATAGCACTGTTGTAATATAGATCAGGATTTGACTTCATTCTCTCATCTTTTTCCTGACAAGTTGAACAAAAAACAGAGTATAAACAAAACTCGTAATGAAGCTGTAGCAGAAGATTTATACAGCCAGTCAGCTTAAAATAATACTCACAGCATGTTGGTATGCTTTCAAAGATTGCTGAAGTTTTCCATGATCCCAAGCCCCAGTGACAAAAAAAGACGTGAGACAGGCATTCCCTAGGTTATCTGAAAATGGGAGAAAATCCAACAACCAAGGGGGTGGTAAACTTCAATGTAACAAAAAGACTGCCATAAAACTTCTGAAAACTTTTTCGCGCCAGAATGAATCAAATAGAACTCTGATATGATATGAGCATCAATTCTAATGTATAAAAATGGCTAAGGCTGAGAATATGACCTTCAATAACACTTACACCAAGAATTTCCATCCTTAACATCTAGAGTGATGGCTTCTTTTGCATGCTGTATGCTGTCCTCAACAATTTTTGCTGGGTCTTCAGCACCTAGAAGGTTATACAAGGCAAACAAATGAATATATTGCAATCAGTTACTGGTAAAGAAAAACCCTGGTACAAAGGCACTTCAAAATCTTAGAAAGCTTGCCTTGAGCCATTCGTCTTTCAAGCATAGATAATTGACAGAGAATTTCTTTGTTGGGGCCCTGAAAATATACATGAAGCAGCAATCACAAGAAAAATTTACAATTGCACAGCATGATCAATGGCAAGAATTTTTGTTATTACTGGATAAAAGAAATAACCTTGGTTAAGCCCAGTGTAAAGCAATTCTTTGCTGAAGCTAGGTCACCTTTCTTCCAAATGCAGTTGCCCAAGCTTAACCAGGCATCTGTCAGAGAGGGATTTAGTTTTACCTATAACAAAAAAAGCTATTAGTCACCAAAACAAAAGAAATTATTAGGAAGGAAAGAAATCCTTCTAGCAGAGGCGCTCCAGTTGATTTTGCAAACAATGTTAAGACCACCGCTGACAATTAGATCCTCTGAGAGTAATTAAGATTCGTCTGCAGATCAAACTATGGTTATCTTGATTTATAACTATCAGTATCTTCAGTCTATCCATGACAGTCAGCCATGAATAAAAGGACGCTGGCAGCGGAAAGTAATTCCATTTAGGCCTTTGCACTCGCAAGTGAGGAGTGGCGTGCTATCGGCAAGCTTACCTAAAAAAAGTGTTTTAACTATTCGATGAGGGCCAGGGACCTCACGTGTACCCTTACCGTTTCAATATCACCAAGAAAAGAAGGTCCAGAGACATGAAGCTTATAGAACAGTGAACATCAATCAAAAAAGTAGAAGTAGTATCCAGCGAAAGAAATGCAACTTCTATTAAGAAAGTCGTCTAGCGCCTACCAACAATAAATTAACATCTATCCAAGCAGCCCCCCGTGAAAGTAAAAGGACAGCAACAAGTTTAAATTTTATATTGGATACTACAACTCACAGCCTTGGAGAGATGATCCTCGGCTTCTTTCTTATACTCAGGGAGCACGTCCATTAGTTTCCCTTTCAAGTACTCGTATGTCGCTCTTTGCACGGGCGTCTTCCTTTTAGCTACACCACCACCACCACCACCACCAAGAGAAGGTAATTTAGGTTTAAAATGTTGGATGCAGTCCATCTGAGGGATGAGTTATTAGTGAGGGTCAAACCTGGAGGAATTTCATCGAGGAATTGGAGGGAAAGATTGGATTGTGCAAGGAGCCTGGAGGTTTTGTCGTCGGGGTTTGTGGGGAAGTATGTGTCCCGGGTGGTGTAGAGCGCATCGACGGCCTGGGAGGCCTCCGCAAACAGATGCTCAAGCTCATCCGCGTTGCTTCCTTGGGGATCGATCTCAGAGCTCATCATATTTGGGGGCAGGGCAATCCAATCCAATCCAATCCAGGATGAATACCAGACCAGCAGCGGACTGAGAAATGATGAACGTAGACGGAGAAAAAGGGGGAAGAGAAATTGCGGAAAGGGGGAGGGGGTGACGTGGCGTGGCGTCAATCAGGTGAGAATCCGGATCCGAATCCGAATCCGAATCCAAATTCAAATCCAAATCCGAATGGGGTGTGTGAAATTTGTAAAGATTTTGACTCTGCATTTATTTTTTATTTTTTAAAATATCAAATTAAATATTTATTTTTTATTTATTATATTAAAATAAAAATTAATTTTATATATAAAATATCAAATTAACATGTATTTATATCATAGTCCAAAATTCAAATTCCCATACAAACGCAACCTAAACTACGCTGTAATATTATATATACATGCAAAGCTATTGGTGGGTACATTTGATATAACGAAATTAGAATATGATTCTGTGAAGAGTTTGTTTATTTGTTTATTATTATTATTATTATTATTATTATTTATTTATTATTTTTTATTTTTCTAAGAATAAGAATAGAGCGAAAGAAGGATTATGAAGCAGACATAGAATCACATTCACATACCAAAAAGTAGACCTAATATTTAGACAGCAGACAGAGAAACGCATATAAAAAAAAAAAAAGGAGTTTAGATATTTTTATTTTCTACTCAAAAGATTTAATTTTCATTAACACTTGTTTCTATTGAAAATATAAAATATCGTAAAGTACAAACAGCTATCATTATAAATGCGTATGGATAATTTTAAAGATGCTATCTTAGTACAATTTACTTAAGGACAAATAATAATAGAAAATTCGTTTTAATGCAAATGAATCTATTATATGCATGCTACATAGCTTGTGCTTGTTGATTATATGTACATGATGAATGATGATCCCCCATTATGATTGCCCTTTGAAAGAGTCGCCAAACTGTTCACAAATTTTTCTTTCTCACTCATTAAAAACTGCTCACCTGGGCCAAACACTGCACTGCGCTAAGATATATATATATATATCCTCTTTCTTTCTTTCTTTCTTTACTCGTCAGTCTTGCTCTGCGCACTGCTGAGTTTAGAAAATATTAATTTAAGTTTAATATTAAAGCTAGCTACTTTATTTTGTTTTCTTCCTAATTCTCTCTCTCTCTCTCTCTCTCTCTCTCTCACAATTAAAGAGCAAGCGATCGAGGAGGAGAACGCGAGGCTTCCTTCTTGACAGGAATTATTCTATCTCGGCCTACAGTAAGTAAGTGCTTATCTTCTTCTTGTTATCCTACTCCATAAGACTACTTTTGCGGGCTCGATCATCAATAAAGCAGAGCAGAGCTATTACGGAGGTAGGTAGGTAGGTAGTAGTCGTTGACGAAAGCTGGTGATCGAAGTTAGTTAATAATTCATTAATTATATATATATATATGCATACTTGGTGCATGCAGGTAGGTAGCCGGGCGGGAATGGAGAAATTATTGCTAGTATTATTGGGTAGACATCGGCGGGGGCAGGGGGTGATGATGAATTTGATTTTGATTTGGTGGTGGTATAATTGCCTGGATTGTTATAACAATAATAGTAATATGATGATGATGGGCTTGGGGGTGAGTGGTGCGCGGCTCAACGACGGCGGGGCATCTGGATCATCTCGGCTGGAGATGTTTGTGGATGACCTCCCGGACATGCCCCGAATCAGGGCCTTCAGTCACCATCAGGATGTGGATGTTGACGTTGATGGCCACCGTCGAGTTCCTGTTCCTATTCCCCTTGCCTCACCTCTGCGTATTGGCATGTATTCTAAGAAGTGGGTAAGTAAGTTAACGCACTACTATACATATATATTGCTTGCTTGCTTGCTTGCTGCTACTAGCAAGTACTAGTACTAGTACTACTACTCGCCACCTCCTGATCTCCTCTCAGAGGCCCTCCTCCCTTACCCTTAATAATTATATGTATATTTCAGTTCTGCTCTCCATCGATCATTCTCGGCCTAGTCTGCTGGTCTGGTCTGGTCTGGTCTCGTTGACCCACCCATACATATTAGGATTTGTTTGATCAGCTAGCTAGCTATAGGTCTGGTCCCACATTATATATGCACTAGTCACATCAATTCAACTACAGACATCGATATAATCATAATGGGAGGGGATCCTCGGCACCAAGCCCCGGGGTGTGATGCCGTGGATCCCCTCCCATCATAGTGACTGCTATAATAGATCCTCCATGCGTTCATACACACACACATGCAGAGGGTGACGAATTAATTAAGGCCTATACATATATGTAAGAGAAATCATCGTATATGATACTTGCGTACGTAACCCATGTGTTAAGTTTCACCTAGTGATTATATATCGAATTGAGCATCAGTATTGATATATATATATATATGTATGTATGTATATATACTATAATCAATATATTAAGTATTGTCCCGTGAGAAATGATCTCATAGTGTAAAGGTAAACTCCTCTCCAAATTTTTACGTCATAAAATAAATAAATATTTGACTTGTTTCGGCCAATCCAACTACACCATACCTCCTGCTCTTTCTACGTCGGTGGGACCTACGTGGCATCAAATGAATATGTATATATATATACACATAGCTACATGGAGAATATATATATATATATATGTTGAATTGACATGCACTCAACATGACGATACAACCTAGCTGCTTCTTCTTTTTTTTAATTTTCCTAATTAAAATAAATTAGTTAGCTGTGCTAGCTGGTGCGTATGCAAGTGTGTATGTGCGTGCATGTGTATATTGGCCTCTACTCTTTGTTTTGGTATCTGATCATCTGCTGGCCTGCATATGCATCTGTGTGCCCACCTTTTGCTTTTTATTATTAATTTATTTCATGCGAATTATAATCACTTGCTTTGCTCTCTGGCCCAGAGAGCGTGCTTTACTTTGTGGTGGTACGTCAGTGCATTGCATTGCATCGCATCGGTAAAGTTGTCTTTATTTGATCAGTACCCTCCCTCTCTGTGCCCAAATATTCTTAATTAATTATATCGATGTTGAAACTTGGTTGTCCCCACCCGGCCCACAGAAATTATTATTGAGTATATATCTAATCTAGGTTACTTCATTCAGTTACATCTGGCGTTGGTAATTCATTCCTCGATCTGTTCGCTAGCTTAACTGTCTGTTTCGTTAATGTCTTGGTTAGTTTCTTATCACAGACTCTTTTTTAAGTTACGATAATTTTTTGTAATTTTTAATTAGGCGCGAGTTGCCGGCAGGAGGATGTATACTAGGTTAGGCTTAGTTGCCCAAGCGCAGTCATTTTAATTTCCATGATTCAATTCATTTCCCAAGAAAATTATATAGTATTGTGTTTGTGTGTGTGTGTGTAGATGCTCACTACATATAGATACCCCACCAGATCAAAGAAACATCCAAACTTAAATAATTATGTTATACACACAGCCAGAGCCAGGGGAGGTTTGGCTAGTTTGGAAGACAGGTCAGATAGCAGCATGGCACTGGGTTTGGTGAAGTCCGTCCGTCATCTTGAAATAATCAATCATTTGCAAGACGTTGGGATCAGCGTCACAGTCACAATGGTCACATTATCGATCGGTGTTGGTGGTGGAGAATTACTAATTTAATTTGCTTCACTCACTCGCACCACGCACGCCGCATGTAGTTTAGAATTATTTATTTATTTCCTTTCTCTTTGTTTGTTTGTTTGTTTCTTAATTAATTAATTAATTAATGGATTAATCTGCCTTTCTCTCTTTGGATTGGTGATTGGTGATCGGTGATTTTTGTGCAGAAATTTCACCGAGACCTGCCCCCCTCGCCGGTGTTTGCATATGGCAGGTCCAGGAAGGCTGCCACAGTACCGGGCCCCACAATCGAGGCCCTCCACGGAGTCGAGGCCCGTGTGACGTGGGCCAACCATCTCCCGCCGGGATCCGACCACATCCTGCCATGGGATCCCACCATCCCCACCGCCAAACCCCGCAAGCGTACCGGCATCCCCACCGTCGTGCACCTCCACGGCGGCATCCACGAGCCCCAGAGCGACGGCCACGCCACCTCATGGTTCACCCCCGGCTTCAGGGAGCGGGGCCCCTCTTGGGACCGCAAGACTTACAGCTACAACAACCTCCAGCAGCCCGGCACCCTGTGGTACCACGACCATGCCATGGGCCTCACTCGACTCAACCTCCTCGCCGGCCTAGTCGGAGCTTACGTCATCCGCCACCCCAGCCTCGAATTGCCCCTCGGCCTACCAGAGGGCCGCACATTCGATCGCCCCCTCGTCGTGTTCGACCGCAGCTTTTGCCGAAACGGCTCCCTATTCATGAATTCCACGGGCAACAACCCCTCCATCCATCCTCATTGGCAGCCCGAGTACTTTGGTGACGTCATCGTCGTCAATGGCAAGGCCTGGCCACGCCTGGCCGTGCAGCGGAGGAGACACCGCTTCCGAATCATCAATGCCAGCAACGCCCGGTTCTTCCAGTTCTACTTGGATGATCCAGGCCTGGAATTCGTCCACGTGGCCTCGGACTCGGCCTACATTGAGAGGCCGGTGGCGGCCAAAGAGTTCGTACTAGCCCCGTCTGAGATTGTTGATGTGGTCATTGATTTCTCCAAGTCCAAATCCAAGTCTGGTTCGGTTATTCTGCGGAACCGCGCCCCGTATCCCTATCCCTCCGGTGATCCTGTCAACCAAGCCAACAGTAAGGTCCTAAAATTCATCCTCTCCAAAGGGGGGCAAGAGTTGGACGACAAGTCAAAAATCCCTCAACAATTGATCAAATACCCGTCTCCAGATCCGTCCACCGCCTCCGTCACAAGGTACATCGGATTTTTTGAATACTCGAGCAATACCGGGGAGCCGACCCACATGTACATCAATGCGAAGCCTTTCGAGGCTCCCGCCACGGAGATGCCTAAAGTGGGCGCGACAGAGATCTGGAATGTGATCAACTTGACAGAGGACAACCATCCTTTGCACATACACCTGGGTCTTCTTGCAGCCTTGGAACAGGTGGAATTGGTAGACTTGGAAAGTTTTAAAGAATGCATGTTGAAAGTGAATGATGCAGTGCGATGCCGGGTGAAGGAGCACGCCCGTGGGAAGAAGATACAAGTGCCTGCGCAGGAAAGAGGATGGAAAAATGTGTACAAGATGATGCCAGGATACCTGACGAAAATACTAGTAAGGTTCTCACATATCCATTCCAATTCTTCCTACACTTTCGACGCAACAGCCGAACCAGGCTACGTCTACCATTGTCATGTAAGCAAAGCTAGCTAGCTACTTCTAAATTGCAGTACAGAAGTATGATATCATATCCTCCACTACACCTACACTAGTGACGTGGTTGGTAATCTTGCAGATTCTGGATCACGAGGATAATGCTATGATGAGGCCACTCAAGTTGACTCACTGAAACATGCATCACAAAGAATAAGAAGAACATCATAAGTGACGAGGCTTGTTGCAATAAGAGAGGAGGGGAGGGAAGCATGGAAAATAATGTGCTGTGTGTATAAAAACAGCTTCTAGATACATGCATGCATATTCAGACATGGTCGCGGAGGAAGTACATATATATATATATAAGTAATATGCTCATTTGATACCTGAACGGCTAGCTGCTCTGCTCTCGCTCCGATGTTGTTTCCATCCATATTGGAATTACAATAACAATATAAATGAATGCCATTATAATAAATATATACATCATCGATCATCGATATCCCAACAGTACCACAGTGTATATAATGGATGATAAACCTGAATCGGGAGCCTTAGCAACGGGATACTATAGGATGATCCATGCCCCCACCTGCTGCCCAGCAGGTGGATTGGGTTGAGGGTGCTGGGCTAGTCTAGTCTCCCAAAGGACTAAGCGGTTGTCTCATGCTAAGCTCAGCCTTCAGGTCTGGATATTTTTCCAGATCATGGGAACTTTCCAACACTTTCTGCAACAATAGCCAAACCCATCATCATCATACACCATTCATCTGCAATATAGTGGTACGTTTTGAACAAACATGCATACATACTCACCAGTGCAGCCAGATGCGCTTCCTGAAGAATATTCCCATCTACCTCTAGCCTAGCCACAGGGAACTCTGGCAGGTGACCTGATTGTTTTTTGCCAAGCAAGTCGCCAGGCCCACGAAGGAGGAGGTCCATATTTGCAAGGTGGAATCCATCACATGACTTCTCTAGTATCTTCAGTCGCTTCAGACTAGATGTTGTTGAGGCTAAAAATATACACTTGGACTCCCTTTCTCCACGCCCAACTCTACCGCGAAGCTGATGTAGTTGCGCCATGCCAAATCTCTCAGCATTCATCACAACCATCATAGATGCATCTGGCACATCGACCCCTATCTCAATTACTTGTGTGGCCAGCAATATATTTATTTCCCCAGATCTAAACAGCCTCAGTGCTTCTCCCTTCTCGTCGCTTCTCATTCTACCATGCAACAATCCGCATTTATAACCAGGAAACTTAGCAGAAATTGTTACAAGATCAGATGAAGCAGCACGAAGTTGAGGTAGTTGCGCAGATTGTTCAATTACAGGATACACAACATACACTTTCCCCCCTGTTCTTAATTCCTTCAACATCATCTGCAGAGGTTATAGCACTTCATGCATTTCAATACAAAAGAAAGAATTGACTGAAAATGGACAAGATAAATATAAGCTATTAAGCATAATTAAGATATCCCTACAATGTGCAAATGCATTATGACCTACATCATTATAGGTGGACGTCTCAAACATAATTAGGTTTAAACCATACCCATTCTAACCCACATAGTAACACCAGTCCACGGCATATCAAAACTAGGTAGTTACCGTCCTTAAAAATAATTGTTCGCATGGGGACTGTAAAACAGAAAAACTGCTGTCATGAACTGAAACAAGCACTTGTAACCACAAATATGTGACCACTGCAAATGGTGGTTTAACTACCTTATTTGAGCTTAACCAAGTGTTAGAACCAGAAATAGTAAGATTTTATTCATTAATCACTGCAAGAGAATGCAATTACGATATCTAGTAGCACCTGAACCCAATTCACATTAGAGGACCAACATTGCTAGTTCGGTTGAATGGTTAAGAAGTACTATGATTTTACACAACCACAATTCACATTAGAACACAAAAAATTTACAAGTTTACCTTGAAAGTCCTCTCCATCCCAATGTCATCTCCTTCAATAACATGTGTCTCAACAGGTGTTCTTCCAGGCGGCAAATCAGTTATCTGCCCGATTTTAACAATCCAGGAAAGGGACATATCACATGCAAATATAGGGTAAAGGATACAAATATACTTCACCATCATGGGCAAGAATTTCGTTTAAAGAACGCACAGCATTCAGGCGAAATTGATGATATTTTTCATGATAATCATATTGCTCAAGCACTTCAAGTTGATAAAAATAACTTGCAATATTTCTGGATATTTAAGTGAAGGATAATAATATCATTGCAACAAAGCTCACTGAAAAGGTTGGAAGAGAGAAGCGCATATATACAATAACTTGACATCCACATCAAAGGATTGTGCTTGTCACATTATAATTGTGAGCGTGATGGGGTTTATGCGACAAGGTTAGGCTACACACACATGTGTATATATAAACAATTACAAAATTAGGACTCCATCCAAAAAAAAGAAAAGGCCCTCATTATCTTCTTCTAATCTTACTCCAGATAATCTATCAACATCTATGGTGATTAATATAGTCAACAATAATGAAATCCACGTTCAAACTGCCAAAAGTACTTTATTATATATGAGATACATTTACCGAGTGGAGAACACATGTAAAGAAATTAAAATCAGATGTTACTATCACATATTCCATGCTATTCTCTTATAAGTAAAATCAACAGAATAAGTGAAGAGGCATTTGTAGAAGCATCAGAGGAACATGATACATAAAATCACATACTTGAGTCAAGGACATGTCACCATACAAAGCCAGAGCCAGTGACCTTGGAATTGGTGTGGCTGACATTGCCAGAACATGTGGAGCCATCGAAACATCCCTTTTCAGGGAGTTATTTGAACTAGATGACATCAACTGGGATGTTATGCTGTTAAAATATAACTGCAAAAGAATGAGTCATCTTAAATGTTAGAATAAAATAATATAAGTCAAGCTGATAAAAGAAACCCCAACACCTTGGTGCTTGGTACGTCTCACGAGAACATGAAATATATCATGCAAGCTAAGCTTAACGCAAGGGACAAGAACATGCTCGCTAGTACAAAAGTAAGATGTTTCAGCACACAGTTATCTTCCATAAAACCATTTCCAGATAGCAAAATGGTGGAGAGCTACCTTGCTGTTGAAGCGTCCTCTTTGAATAACACCAAAGCGGTGTTGCTCATCTACAATAGCAATGCGTAAAGCTGAAAACTCCACCTTTTCTGATATTAAAGTATGAGTTCCAATGACCATAGAGATCTCTCCATTTCGGAGACCCTATTACACAGAAAAATATATAAGAATATAACAATAGTAACATACATGTATAGATATAGATATACATACAAAAACCAGAACCAGGGTCACTGTTGTCACACCTTCCGTACCAGTTGTGCTTGCTTTGTTGGGGTAGAGCCCGTTAAAAGAGCAACAGAAGGTTTCTCATTTGCATCTTGAAAGTTCCCTAACAAGCCCAGTAGCTGTTCATAATGCTGAATAGCTAGAAGCTCAGTGGGAACCATAAAAGCAGCCTGAAGATTAAGTAATATAGAATCATATGTATGCTCTCAATATAAAACACACCACAAAGTAGTATTAGCAGTCACCTGATAACCGGAGCCAATTACCTCCATGCAGGATAGAAAAGCAACTACAGTCTTACCGCATCCAACATCACCCTTTTGAAAGGGAAAACCACAAGAAAACATAAACCAGAGTAAGAAAAGAACAGATATCATTCATGTCCTGAAGAAAATAGAAGGGAAGAGTATAAAAAGCATCATCCATAAAATAGAAGAGATATGAAAGCATATGAATTTAATTTAATAAAATATTAGACAAATTGGCTACATCATTATCAACTCGTCAGAAAGCTAGCAAGTGATAATAATTAGACAAAAGTGTCACATACAGTTTCAGTTGTCCAACAAAATGAGAGAGTGGTACTTAGTTTACAGTAGACAATGATCCAAACCTGTAACAGCCTATTCATTGGAACTGGTCTTTTCAGATCCCATATGATTTCTGAAATGGCACATAGCTGACTCGATGTGAGTGTAAATGGAAGAGCCTTCATGAATTTTTTTGTGATATTAGACCAGTCCTTCATAAACACTGTGTTCAACTCAGGTTTCTTGTATCTATTAAGCAAACCATCTTTCTCTAGTTTTGTGCCAAGACCCTCAAGCATTTGGAATAATCTTCGCAACTGAGGTAAAATATTCACAAAGGAAAATAGGAGTGACATATGATGAAATGATATTCTACATTAATATTGCAGAGAGCAGCAACAGATTGAATTCACATAGTTGATTGACTTTCAACTTATTATTGATACAAAATCAGGCTATCAGGTTTGCAACAAGAAAATCTTCATTTCCTATATGAATTGCATTAGAACAATGGCAGGAGAAATATTCAAAAAATGAAACACATAACAAATCATAGAGACAGAAAATATTTAAACTTCTTGTAAATAAAAATGTATGAGAGATTTCATGATAGCAGGTATCAGTTCAGTTGAGCAAAAAGACAAAAAAAACAAGCAGAATGACAACCAAGAGCAGAGAATCACCAGGTAACATTCATGTTTTGTTCAACCAAATTTTTCCATGAAACATATAACTCACACAACCCAGGATTCCACTAATGAACAGCTTATTTCAAAGAAACTAACCCAGAAAAAAAAACTGATCGCTAAAACACGAATATGCCATTTTTACCTGAATATAAAAGAACTCATCAAATATGAGTCTTTTGCGAGCTAAGTCAGCCTCATTCAGATTAGTTGGCTGGTGAATTCCAATATAGGCCTGCATTATCAAGTATGTCAAATAAGGAAACTTCAAACATCATGATATAGTTGAGTACTTGGGAGCTGAAAAAGGCTCTCAACAATTGCATAGGTAAAAGCATCTTCTGAATAGGCTTGCAAATTTACCAAGTATTTGGACCTACTTACCTTAAAAATGGAAACTTTGCAAATACATATTCCAACAACTATAATAAAGTTCTAAAGCCAGATTACATACATCAGAAAGGGATAGAAGTTCAAAATCCTTTGTAACATCCTTAGGGAGAGGGTCAAGATTGTCAGGCAGTGTTTTTAAAGCCCTGAAAAACGTAAAAACAATACCTGCATTAGAGGAAGAAGACATGCTATCAAATAAGTCCTTTTTTTTTTGTTAAAAAGGAAAATGACAGTCTTGTTTTATAAGTATTATCTCTGTAAAACATCAACACAGAAGCAGCGAAGATGAGAATAAAATGGGGGACTATGACAATAATAATAATTCAAAGTACACAAAGGTTCAAGTGATTTACATGCTCCCGAAAGAAAAGATGTACAGATTGAATTCAAAATAGAAGGTCAATTAAGAGTAAAATCCTGGGGGTAAACCTTGATATTAAATCCCTGAGAATCTCAGGGTTAACGCCTTTCTTAGAAGGGTATATGGGATACGGCCTTCCTTTAGCACTAGCACAAGTGTCATCTTTGTCTTTCAGTAGATCAATGTTGTACTCCCTCATTTCAAAGTGATCCTTACTAGGCAATGTACGCACCTACAAAAAAGAAATAAAATTGAAAGTAGGGGGTTTCTAGAATAACCATATACTAAGTTCATAAGTCAATTTCGGATAAATTAGACGTAAACTTGATGTTTTTCATCACTTTGTCATCCACAAATAGATGACCAAACTGTGGAGGTTAATCGAGCTTCTGCCTCATGTACAATTTGCTTAAAATCATGTTGTAAGTGGATTAATGTCAGTATTTGAGGTAAGCTATAGTTTAAACTCTTCTCTGGCATGGACTTGTGTTGTTGCCTAAAGATAAGCAATGAAATATGAATTTGATGATGAAAAAGACAGGTTCCGCTGAAAGGAAATCGAAGCTATCACCTACAAAATAGACCTTTTATTAATGTTAATGACCACAAACTTAGGGTTTGTTTAATTTCCTTTTCAACTCTATTCTCACATTACTCATCAAAAGATTTCACCCCAAAAATATCGCATTAAATACTTATTTTTTATTTAAGATATTACATTAAAAAAACATTTTCAATTCAAAACATCACAGCAAACACCTACGAATCTCACATCAAAAAACTTATTTCAATTCAACATAATACTATTCCAAGAAAACAAATGTCCCCCAAACACATCTAAACAAACTCTAAACTTTTCACACAGCTTTCAGTAGTATTGATTTATCTACTTTTTCTATAGGCGATTAACCTTTGATGCAATAACTCTAAGGAAGGAATAATGTGGGAATCATCATGCTCAAACAATAATGTTTCCACTAGGACCACTTGCTTAGATCCAAGTTCAGAAGCTCCAACAAGCTATGTCGAATTTAGCTTAAACATGGGATATTTGGGACAGGCAAGCTTATGAGATAATTGAGAGAAAAAATAAGCATGATCATAATATTGGAACCCCAAGCACCAACCCTATCAAGATTACCTGCAGAAACTTAGCCAATTACCAATATTAGTTGTTTCTTCATTTCGTTCCACAGTAATTTGAGACCAATAGAACTCTTTAATGGACATGGATGTCACCTCACAAAGTCTTCCTCCCTCCCTCCCTCCCTTTCTGCTATTCATTACTTTCCTTTTAATCATTGAACTACAATTGGTTGCAGTATCTAAGGCTATTCTTAGCAACTGTTGTAACCAATTCACCTTTTATTAATGAAAAGGTTAAATAAAAATGTGCAAATTGCATTTTACAAATTAGTGATTCTACATACCTTGCCACTAACACAAGCAATATCTCCTTCTTTGTGCTTTTCTTGCATACTTTTAAGAAATGGTGGACATGTGAAGCGAATACCACGAAAAAATTTCTTTAGATGCAAATATATAATTCTTTTCTTTTTATCTTCAACTTCATCAACCACAGGCTGAGAATTTGAGACAGAAGATGGAACCTCGCAAGCCACAACTACCTCAAGAAAGGCAAATGAGCCACGTGTCCGTATTCCCCTGGAAAAAAAAAAAAAAAAAAAAAAAAAAAGAACATGGCATTTGTCAACATTTAGGCAAGTATTCATTACACTAAACAAAACCCATGATGCATCGAATGAGTACTTGGACGATAAAAATATAAGTATGGAGATAGTCACACCTTTAGTTAGTTTGGAGCTTATAGCACCAAAAAAATTATAAATTATTATAGAAATTGATAACTTTGGGGGTTGACAGTTTATATTATTTCCGTCCGTCAAATTTATTCCTACTTTCTTTTTCTGTTTCATTAAATTGATCTCATTACTAATTTTGTCAAACTAAAAAAATCAACGTTTAATTATTACCCTCTATTTACCTGTGAGATTTGTTTTTCCGTTTTACTATTCCAACTTTTTTTTATATATTATATTACACTAAAATTAAATTTTACATTCAAAACATCACATCAATACATATTTATATCACATCAAACAACTATTTCAATTCAAAATTTTACTATTCAAAACCAAAATCTCACAAGTAAACACATCCTAAGTAAATTTTCAAAAATACATCTAACTACCTTTTTACTTGTTTTACTGTTTCAATAAAATATTTATTTCTTTTAATCTCCATGCTAGATATAAATGAGCTAATTTTGCTGAAAGGAGAGAGTATTATTTTTTTAGTGCATTTATTAGAATTACTGCTTTAAGTCTATTTGTTCGCTCCTTTATGTTGCAGTTTGCTTACATTCAATTCTGCATTTTAGTTCATTTCAATTTCATTCGATTACATTAACTCAAATACATTTTTTAAACAAACATTGCACAGCCACATATTCCCCAATAAGTTTTACTTAGACACTCCAGCAAAAGAGATTATTATTATTATTATTATTATTATTATTATTACTTGAAGCTGGATTTTAAAGTTGCTACTTGCACGTGCTGACATTTATAAATGATATAAGGCTTTGTTCACTAGGTTTTTAATATTTTCAGTTTCTCTACTATGCAACTTCACGAGGACTTGTGAAAACATACCAATTTCCAAGACAAAATATCACATTCAATAACTATTTCACCAAAAACACAAATTACAAAAACCAAACACAAAGTGAGCACAGCCTAAATATACCATTTTAAAAATCTTCTTAAATCTGTATATTTCACAAATCTTACAGTCCCATCACCTAGCGCGCAAGGATGCAGTTGAATAACAGAGATTGGCGGAGGATAGAGAACATTTTGGAAGACATATAGACCTTTGTCAGACAACAAAATAAGGTTTGCATATACCCAAATAATAACAAAATTAAGGTACTCATTCCTCCCGACAAGAACTAGTTTCCTACACTTCCTCCTTCCCTCCATCTCTTTAACACCAAAATAGCTTTGTGCATCAACAAGCACATTATGTATTTAGATTTTGAAATAGGTTTTGATTAGAAAAGACCACATTTCAATATTAACACAATAAATTCAGTGTCTACTAAGATCTACATAATGTGGTATTACATCTTTTATTTTACCCTATCAAACCAAATAATTGGCCTCCATAGATCATGTGAACTTATGAGGCCAGAAGTAAACTTTAACAAGATACTGCAGAATTCAGAAAACAGAAGATTCACTATATGTAACTGGACATGAAAACATTGGGATTGCCCTCACTTGAAAATGGAAAACAAAAATATTTGAAGTATTAAGCAGACAATTGAAAGAAAAGAACATTTACAATGACAGGAACCTTTACCTGGATGATACTATTTTCCCAACAAAGATCAAATATTGCCCATCATTAATTTCCATCTCAGCATTCTGCAGATCAGCATATGTCCGCGGGAAATGATGCAGCAATTTCCTCAACTACATCCAGACATAAGATCGATCAGAACCTTAAAGCAAAGTGCTTCTGAATTATGTGTAAGAGAACTCACTGTGTAAAAACCACAATTTTCCAGTAGATGGAGCTGGCGCTTAGTCAACCCATTCATGCCACGGATGTGCCCATCAAGGATTTCTGCCACAGTCATAGCAGTTTGTTGGTTAACCGACACGGCATCACTACGAAATTTATCTGTCATCACTTCGGACTTGGTTCTTGTCTCTTTCATGCAGTCAGCTGACTGAGAATACATTGTAGGCTTATCAACTACGTCATTCCTAACACAAGTGCTGCTCACATCTGAAATTTCAGAATTCAAATACTTTATATTTTGATGCCTATATTTTTAATCCATACAATGGGCATCTATGTGATGTGGAACACAACCTTCAAGAACTTGAGGCTCCAACAATTCTGTTGTTTGAGAATAGCATGTAGGTCCATTGTACAATTCCACAGTTGGGAAGCAACCCAGTGTAATGGAGGGGAATCTCTTGCATATCAAGGTGGAATCTGAATTAACATTTCCTTCTAGGAGCTTTTCTTTAAATTTATGATTTCCAATCAAATCAGCAAGACAACTGTAACCCATCAACACAGATTCCTGCAGGTGAATCAAGTTGCAATGGCACATTAAAAATTCCATGGAATAGGAAGAGAATTTCAGAATTTCCAAGCAATCTGATTTGATCCATTGTTCATTCAAATAATTAGGTGCATAGTCTGATAAAAAAAATAAAAAAAAAAAAAGAAAAGAAAAAAGAATGACATCATTCTATGTGTGCAGCAGTAACAGTCTCAAGAAGTGCCTATAAACACCAGTAAGATTGTGATTTGTGAAAATGAAGAAGTTGCAATGGGAAATTCATCAAAAATGAAGAACATGAATTCTCAAAAAGAAAACCGTATAACTCAAAAGCGTTTAACATACCAACAAAAAAATGCACATAACTATACCAATCCTACATATGTCACCCATCATCAAGGGTCAAGGATCATTGAGTGCTTTAAAACACTTGCCTTTTTGTTACCATCAAGACCCTTCAACAACTTCTCTGAAAACTTGTGCCTAGAACGAACAGATGATATTATAATATTTGATGGAAGAAAGTTACAAAACCTGCATAATAACAAAGATGAATTGTTCATAACAGACCATAAAAGGAATAACTGACTAAAGTCAACAATACCTTGGATTTCTGCCAGTAATGCTCCTGAATACTTTATCAGCATCAAAATTTACCCGCCACAAACATTTGTCGCCAAAACCCTAAAAGAAAAGGTTTGGGCAATCATCATGAGTAACAACTTGCAGCAACGGAGAAAGAACCAAAAAGGTCTTATAGAAAGTGACCACTTCAGTCCAGGAAATGGCATACATGAAGAGTCTTCACAGCATGTGTTTCTTAATGATTCCAATAAAGAAGCTTTAAACAATAAGAGGGAAATTAGTGTCCTTTACTTTTATTACTTATGTTTTGTGTTCTAAAATGTAAATCTATAATGGCGCAGGACAATTTTCTCAGAACATTTGCTTATGCTTATGATTTAATGTATTGAATGGACACATGCCAAATTGGCAATTGGCAATAGATCATCAAAATAGATAATGCACCCATACCATGCTTTCCAAATGCACAATAAACGGTTTCACTGCCATCAGCAATTGGGTTCCGGCCAGGAGAAGAGCCACCTAAATTAGAGACCCCATGGACCTGCAAAAGCCCGCCTCATCAAACATTCAAACTTGAGAAAAAGATGGTAGAACAAACATGGAGCGAGGTTACTCAAATCTTACACTCCAAAATGAGAACTTTAATATACAAGAAATAAAAAAAAAAAAAAAAAAAAATGATATCAGCTTTCCATAATTGCATCTACTAACCCAAGATACAGTGTAAAAGAACCGAATTTATCATTCAAATAAGAGAAGTCGTAACTAGACAATTCAGGCATATTCTAAACAATTTAGTTTGAAAATGTTATGAGAAAACGAGAAAGAAAGCAAATAAAGAACACTGACGTTTTACGTGGTTTGTTGACGGTGTGTCAACTTACGTCCAAGGGCAGAAACCGGAGAGATTTTATTATACTGATTCAGAGAGTTACAATCATGTCATTTGACTAGGAACCATAGTTATCTATTTATAAGCACCCCAAAACACCATAAACCTTAAGCCTTTTTTTTATTAATTAGGATAAGCCCAAAAGGAACCCTATCGGGTAGACTGCTAAATCCAAATCACGTTTCAACAATCTCCACCTTGACTTGGAGTTTCTCCAACCGTCAAAGGTTCGTCACTATCTCTCAGTCGTCTCCTTCCTGTCAGATGCCCCGAGAGGACTTTACCTCCTGCGAATATTCACCAAGTTCAAGCAGTACTCGAACTTCTCCATCGGTAGCGCCTTTGTCAACATATCAGCTGGATTGTGTTATGTATCTATTTTCTGAATAGAAAACCTGTCTTCCTCCAGAACATCACGGATAAAATTCAACCTCATATCAATATGTTTGGTTCTCTCATGATACACTTTGACTATCACAGAATAACACTGATTTCTCCACCTTCAGACCCAAACTCTGCACCAAACCATGTAACCGGATACCCTCCTTAATACCTTCAGTCATTGACATGTATTCCGCCTCAGTCGTCGACAGTGCAACCGTAGGTTGTAAAATAGACTTCCAACTGACTGCACATCCAAACAAAGTGAAGATAAAGCAAGTCAGTGATCTTCGTTTCACCAAGTCACCCCCGTAATCAGAGTCTGCATAGCCAACAAGACCATCACCATGGCCTTTATCATCATATACCAGACAAATGTCAGACGCTCCTTTCAAATATCGCAAGATCCATTTTATAGCTCCCAAGTGAGCTTTACCCGGATTAGCCATAAACTTGCTCACCACACTAACCGCATAAGCGACGTCCAGTCTCGTACATACTATCGCATACATAAGACTTCCAACTGCACTTGAATATGGAACCGTGTTCATGTAGCTAACCTCTTCATTTGTAGCCGGTATAGTGCTTCGATCAAGTTTAAAGTGTGCCGCCAAAGGGGTACTTACCGGTTTGGACTGATCCATAGAGAATGCCTGCAGAACTTTCTCAATATACTTTTCTTGAGAAACCCATAGCCGTCCTGCTTCTCTGTCACACCAGATCTCTATACCTAATATTTTCTTTGCCGCACCCAAATCATTCATCTCAAACTCACCATTTAGTAGAGCCTTCAAGTCATTAATTACAACCATGTTTTTAGTTGCAATTAACATATCATCCACGTACAACAACAGATACACAAAGGAATTAGTAGAAACTTTCTTCGAGTAAGCAAAGTTATCAAATTGATTACGAGTGTAACCATTAGACACCATAAAAGAGTCAAATCTTTTGTACCATTGTTTCGAAGACTGTTTCAAGCCATACAGAGATTTCTTTAACAAGCATACCTGGTCCTCTTTAGAACTGTAGAACCCCTCCGGTTGAGACATGTTAATCTGTTCTTCTAGATTACCACGAAGGAATGTTGTTTTTACATCAAGCTGCTCCAGCACCAGATCAAAAGCACTACCCGAATGGTTTTGTGTTTCACCACAAGAGAAAAGACTTCATAGTAATCGATTCCTTCCTTCTGTGGGAACCCTTTTGTCACCGGTCTCCCCTTGAACCTAGCATCCCACTTGTAACAAGACCCACTTGCATCCCACTGGCTTCACCTCTTTTGGCAGTGCAACAAGATCCCAAGATCATCACCAACTGCCAGTGCATAAGCCACAGAATTCGTGTCACATGTATTGACATGTCCGACAAACCTAACTGGTTTCTGAATATTTCTTTTTTCTTTCTTGCTGCTATGGAATCTTCAACCCCAATACCAGCGTCATCAACTTCCCCTCAACCGGTTTCCTTTGAGGTTTTGCCTGATCTGGTTGATCGGATTGATCAATAGTATTATCCTGTTGCTCTTCCTCTAACACAACTCTGTCAAGAGTCTCAAACTTCACCCTCTGGTTAGCACCACAATACTGCAATACTTTCACAACCTCTACTCCGATCAAGCATAGCAGATTCATCAAAGATTACATCTCTGCTAATAAGAAATTTACCAGGATTTTTACTTTCTATACACCTCAGTCGATAACCTTTTACTCTTGTTACATACCCTAGAAATATGCATTTTACCGCCTTCGGCTCCAGCTTACCATAATTCCAGCTTACCATCATTCATACGAGCGTATGCAGAGCATCCAAATATTCTTAGATTAGAGTAACCAGAGGGTTTACCGGACCATACCTCTTGAGGAGTCTTTAAATCAATTGCAGTTGATGAAAATCTATTAACCAGATAGCTAACAGTGTTAACTGCTTCAGCCTAGAATTGCTTAGATAAGCCAGAAAATATGCGCATACACCTAGCACGCGCCGTGAGGATTTGGTTCATTCGTTCTGCAACTCCATTTTGTTGTGGTGTGTATCGTAGAGTGCGGTGCCTCACTATACCTTATTTCTTGCAGAAGTCATCAAATGGAGCGTTACAGAACTCCAACTCATTATCAGTTCTTAGAGTCTTGACCTGTTTACCCGTTCGTTTTTCAACCATGGTCTTCCACTCCTTGAACTTCCCAAACACCTCATCTTTAGTCTTCAGAAAGTACAACCAGACTTTTCTTGAATAATCATATGTGAAAGTGACAAAGTAAGAACAACCGCCCTAGGATTTCACCGGTGAGGGACCCATAAATCTGAGTGAACATACTTTAGAATTTCTTTTGAAATGTGATGACCGGTACTAAACCTCATCCTGTGTTGCTTCCCTTTTACACAAGCCTCACAGAATTGAATTTTACTTATCACATTCCCACGAAATAAACCCTGTTTGCTTAACACAGACAACCCTTGCTCACTCATGTGACCTAATCGACGGTGCCACAAATTTGTCCTGTCATTATGTTTATCCAAGGACTGGGATACCGTCGCCATTCCATCACTGAACTGCCCTTGTAGAAAATAAATTCTATCTTGCAGTTTTCCCTTCATCATTACCAGAGCACCTTTTAAGACTTTCATCCACTCACCTTCACCATGATATTTTAAACCATTATTGGCTAAAGTGCCAAGAAAAATCAAATTTTTTATGAGTTCATGAACATACCAACAGTCAAAATTCCTGACAGTACTGTCATGCAATTTTATCTGCACTATCCCGCTCCCTTTGTGGTTAAAACCTTATCATCACCTAACTTCAGCGTTCCATTCCACTCCTTAAAAAGAAATGAGTAGATCACGAGAGAACGTCATATGGTTAGAAGCACCGGTATCCATAATTCAGGAGCAATACTAACACTACACGCTGTCAGAACTTCACCAAAGTCCTCATCATCAAAACTGTCTTGTAAGACAGCAGCGCTGCTGCCACTGTTACTAGAATCAACTTTTATATTTCCCTTCTTCTTCTGTGGACAATCCTTTTTAATGTGTCATTTCTCCTTGCAAAGATAACACTTAACTTTGCTAAAAGATTTTGATTTTGAACGCGACCTCCCATTCCCGTTACCCCCTCTCCCTCTCCCTCTCCTGTGGTCTTCCCACAGACCTGAACCAGAACCCTCTTCTACATAAACCTTTCTTTTCAATTCTTTGGACATAAAGGTATCTTTCACATCATTAACAAAAATTGTAGTTCTACCATATAGCATACTATCTATAAAATTCTCATATGAACCAGATAGTGGACATAGTAAAATTAGGGTTTGATCTTCATCATTTATTTTAACCTCAACCCCTTGAAGATCAAGAATAATACGGTTAAAGGTATCAAGATGATCCTTTACCTGAGTACTTTCGGACATCCAGAAGGTGTAAAGATGTTGCTTCTGATATAGCCTATTCGTGAGAGGGTTATTCTGATACTTCTCACACAGTTTATTCCATAGCCCAAAAGTCGTCGTTTGATCTACAACCTCCCGTAAAACCTCATCAGTAACTGACAGCAAGATATCAGAATAAGCCCCTTCGTGTCTTTAGGAAACTTGTCTTCTCCCTCCAACGCAGCCGCACGTCCTTGTTGAACTAGAAGTGCCCTGATCTTGACCTTCCAGAGCGTGAAGTCATTCGACCCATTAAACTTCTCCAAATCAAACTTATACAAGAACATTTTCAATCACTCATATACGACTCGGATACCACTTGCTAAGAGAAAACGAGAAAGAAAACAAATAAAGAACACAAAAAGTTATAATCATGTCCTTCGATTAGGAACCGTAACTATCTATTTATAAACACTCCAAAACACCATAAACTATAAGTCTATTTTTTATTTATAAGCACTCCAAAACACCATAATCTATAAGTCTATTTTTTTTTAATTAGGATAAGCCCAAAGAACCGGGCAATTGAAGCAGCCTTGGTTTTGGATCGGATACACGGCTAAATCCAAGTCATGTTCAATCGTAACTATTTAAATTCAATAGGAAATATGATTCAGGATTGAGTCCAATATTTGTTACAAACCTGTAAAAGCTGAGCAATCCGACCAGAAAATTCAAGATGCCCGGTCGCATATTCCGGAAGAATGCACATAAATCCCAGCCTATTGTGTTACTAGGGGCTGCCCTGTCCTGGCGACTAAGAAAACATAGGAAGTGTTGAAATTAATTCTTTAGCAAGAGTTATACTACAAAAGGAAAAGGAGGAAGAGAAAGCAGAGCTGCACGGATGAAGAAGGTAAATGAACTCAGCCCAGTTAGAGAAAGTGCGTGGCTTTTCGGGAACTCTAATGGTAATAATCGACAGATTTCAAATATGAATTTGTTTTAGAGGGAGTTCAATCAAGAACAATTGTCGAGGCCGGCTAATCTGCAAGAATTTGGACAGTCTGCCTAATTGGAGCGGATTCATATTTATATGTAAAAAAGAAAAAAGAGAATGTGGAGAGGGTCTTCTCGTGTGCTTTGAAGAGCAAGGGAGGAAGGAGCTGCGAAGAGCTGAAATCCTATAAAAGGTGCGCCTCAAATCCTGAATTCTTGGGTTGTAGTTTAGTTTTAGACACAGTTTAATTTGACGGATTTGGGTCAAAGATATTTCAATTTGACGGATAATTGGATTAACTTCTTATTTGTCTTCTCATCTAATTTCAATCCCCATTCTCAACTCTACCCCACAACCCAACTCCAAAATCTCAGGCGAACTTCGAGGAAGTCGATTGTTGTTGTTTCCGACCGCCAGCGCCCATCGTTTCAGCGCAGAGTCTCAGAGTCAGGCGGTGAACTCAAGCCCGACATCTCCTCCCTTTGCTCATGATCTCCGGTCCCTTGTGAAAGTCACAATGAAGAAGAAGCAGATCCATAAAGGCCTCTGTGACTCCTCCTTGGGCCTCTTTTTCTTTACTTTCCTTTTACTTGTATTATTATTTATTGGGTCTAGTCCACTCTTAGCCCACCCTCTTTCTTTCTTGTCGTTTCTTTCTTCATAGTTTGTTAATACAAGTTTTTCAAAAACTCCTCACTGCTTTCATATTTCTCATCCCTTCCCCATTCATTACTACCGCCGGTCACTCATCCCTTCGTCTCCGGAAAAGACCCAATTCACTTAAAGAAAATTATAGATTTTGTTCTTCCATTTTTTTTCTAACACAATTCCTAAATAATATATATTATATTCTATCATTAAAAAAAAAAAAAAATATTATATTTTTTCTATTATTTATATAATTTTTTTATATTTTACTATTAAAAAAATATATCTCAAAACTAGACCACTGAATAAACAAACGTACAGATTTTTATGATTTGCACTGTACATTATTTTTGTGATTTGCATAGATCGAAAATAAATCTTCAGTTTTTAGATATATTTGTCAGTGCATACATATAATGTTAAATGAAGCGAATTCTTATGTTCGATGATTTTTATTATTATTCTTTTTATTCTGTTTTTTTTTAATGTTGCAGGAAGTATTGTGAAATTGATCTTTTATATAAATTTTTTACATTCAAAATGTAATAAGACAAATGTAACAAGACTGACGTAAAAATCTAAGCGTTCACAGAATTATATTATTTGTTAGGTTTTACTATTTTAATATTTTTTTTACCAAAAATATCAAATCAAATATTTAATTATTAGTTATTTTATTACATTAAAATCTAATTTTACATTCAAAACATCATATCTAACACATATTTATATCACATCAAACAACTATTTCAATTCAAAACCCAAAACTAAAACTTTACAAATAAACACACAAAACTATCTTGCTGAAGAATACTAGCTTGTTATGTGATACGAAAACTGTTCAAATATGATCATATTCATATCGGATTGTCTGCATAAAACCTATCAATAGTTATTCAAAATTATCCTATTCAGTCACCAAAACTAATTTTTGTAATTTATAAAGACAAAAAAAATAAAACTTTCCGCATTATTGAATAGAGTTACCTTCATATATATTTTCTGTCGTCATGTATAATGTTACATTTTATATTTTCATCCATCTAATATGTTAATTTTTTATTTTAAAATTTTTAAATTTTTAATTATATTAATAAATTAATTTAATTTTAATTTATAATTATTTTTACTATACATTTTACAGTAACTTACTTTATATCATGGATACGGTGAGTAATATTTTTTCTTTTTTTATATAAAATTTTATTTTAAATCTGTCACACATTTGTTTTTAAATTTTTAATTTGAAAAATAATTATATATTTTAAATTTTATAATTTTTAATTGTAATTAAATTATTTAGTTATGTATTATAGCACATAATTCCCGATCGTTTATTGGCGTAAGTACTAGTAGTGAAAGAGAGGAGAGAGCATGTGGCGTATGCAACGCGAGCGAAGGCGACCTGACCTGACCCGTCTGTCTTGCGACGAGAATAGATAGGACGTGAAGATAGATGAGGCTCACAGATCAAAGCATCGACCGAGATCTAATATCTATTCCGTGGTGGAGGTTTTGTTATCCTTCAAACCAATTCTCTGGCCGACCCTACACTACACGTCTACACCACACTTCTTGATCCGTTCCTTTCACAAGTCACAACGCTCCTCCCCCTCCCTCATCCTTTCGTTTTCTTTGTAGTGCCCGCCTGTTGCCTATCCTCAGCTTCACAAATTCATGTGAACGCAACGGCAGCGGCCGTCGTACGCATACATCAATCTGTCATTCTCTCTGTATCACTCACCACAGGTTCGGTGAACGAGTGGGCGCCGGATAGATTCTTCCGCTTATTCTTCTTATTATTTTGTATGGACGTAGAATTTCGGTGTTCAATTTTCTTTTGTAGTGGATCGCAAGTCCGTAAATTACAGGAAAGATCTGGTCTTGACACCGATTAAAGTGTGATGTGTGGATAGTGTGTGTCGAAGCGTTCGATAATATTCTTGTACATTATATAGTACCCCATTCTGTCCTCCGAAAATTCAGGGAAAAGATTCCGGTGCTGTATCTCGTCTAATATAACCAGAGAATACTGACACAACACATTTCAAGCTTGGAAGCTTTTGTGCTTAATTTCACGTGTCAAGTAATTGCTTATTGTCCGCACTTCCTTGATGCTGTTGTCAGAAGAACACTCATCTTAATATATAAGCACGTTACCATTCACTGTCCTGTGGAAGGTTATTCACACCACCCTTCTACTAGCTTCGGAGCTGTTCGTATGATACAGGTAAGCACCACAATTATTGGCTTTTTGTTGGTCTATTATGAGATGTTTTAATCAATTTTCTATACCCACGTGATATTTTCCCGTTGTGAAGGCCTGCCTTCTTCTTTTCATATGTGAATAAAGTGAGACGTTTATACATGTCTGACATCTATGGGTTCATTGTCTTCTTTGCTGATAAATATGTATGGTTAGAACCTAGCACAATCTTAGTAATGGGTCATAGAATTCTACTTGCCGTGTGACTTACACTAAAAGTTTTTGCATCGAGGACCAGCTTTTACAAGCAAGTGGTTTTTGTTGGACATGGGATGCCAGGAAAAAAGAAGAAGGGTTGTTTCCATCCCCTTCCGTTCAACCCGCATATTTTCATTTCAAGTTGTCAATATGATAAAATACCTTTTAAGTATGAAACCTTGAAAGTATTTTTATATAGTCATATCATTATTGAATAGATAAGGTGCAATACCTTCGTGTGTAAAGTGTTAAGATCAAGGTTTGTAAGTGAGAATAAACCAGCCCCTTTTGATTATTGCTATCATTGAACTGGTTGTGTTGTTCCGATACATGCATATGCCTGACAATGCTTACAGATTCTACAGTATCCTGAGTCAGGATTTGTTTGTGCGACTAATAGAGCTTCTAGTGATCGTTAGGATTTATTTTTTACCTTGTTTTAGTCATTTCTTATCTCATTTTTCCTGTGAAAATAGTCTATAAAGTCTATCTTATAATGAAGCGGTTAAAGCTTTTTATAAAGTAGCCTCAAGGATTTCACTAATCCTCACTTTTCCTGTCTTTAAACTCTCTGTTTATGTTTACTAACTCTCGTGAAGAGAAATTACTGATATATAATCGTTATGTCAGAATATGCCTTTCAGGGATTTCTTCACCGAGTATGGTGAGGCAAATTTATATGAAATTCAAGAAGTTGTTGGCAAGGGAAGTTATGGAGTTGTGGCCGCTGCAGTTGATACCCACACTGGAGAAAAGGTAGCAATAAAGAAGATCAATGATATTTTTGAGCATGTCTCCGAAGCCACTCGGATCCTTAGAGAGATCAAGTTCCTACGGTTACTTCGGCACCCAGACATTGTGGAAATAAAGCATATTATGCTACCGCCTTGTCGAAGAGAATTCAAGGATATCTATGTTGTGTTTGAATTGATGGAAACGGACCTTCATAATGTAATCAAGACAAATGATGATCTCACTCCTGGGCATCATCAGTTTTTTTTGTATCAGTTGCTTCGGGCTTTAAAATACATACACTCTGGTAGTCTTTTCTTCAGCTTATAGTTCCTATAGTTTCTTGCTTTTTTATCAGCTAATGTTCTCCTGATATTTCTATTTGTAGCAAATGTATTCCACAGGGATTTGAAACCCAGAAACATCCTTGCCAATGCAGACTGCAAGTTGAAGATTTGTGATTTTGGGCTGGCACGAGCATCATTTGGTGATGCCCCTTCTGCTGTTTTTTGGACTGTATGTGGTTTGTGTGGTGATGTTGTGAAGGATGAATCACTTAGTTCCCTAAATCTATTTATTTTTTCTTTGTTGAGGAGCAACTTTACAAGTATTGGGATTTCAATATACACATTAATAATCCATATGTGATTTTGACTTAAATTTTATACTGAAGGATTACGTGGCTACGCGGTGGTATCGTGCTCCTGAACTTTGTGGATCCTTTTTTTCCAAAGTAAGTTCCATATCTAGACTTCATAATTTGCAAATTGCTATATGTTCAAGCTTCTACCTGTTAATCTATATCTACAGAATGATTTGGTGTTAGGCATCTTTAAATTTTACATTTTGCTGGGGCTTAGACAGGAACGGAAGGTATTGTGGTATTTTGCTTGTAATTGCGTGGCTTTAATATTACCTATTGATTTATTCTTCTCTTGAATTGGCTTTGTCTTCTAATCATAAAGCAGCAAGGATTTTATTATCTTAAAACTCCACTTTGAGTTGTTTTTTATATTCAGAAATTATTTTGCTATTGGGTTTTCAGGGATCAACTTAGACTTGACAAATTGTTGATCTACTTTTCACCATTTTGTACCTAGACTTTATATGTGGCAGTTTGTTTATGATGTTATTTTTGTGGTGGTACTGCTCCAGTCATGTGTGTTTCATCGTGCCAGATATTTTTGGAACTTAATTGTGATCTTATGTGGCTGGCCATTGTTTTGCACTCATAAGGATTGATCCTCAAGAATCAATGCTTGATCTAAAAATAAAGATATTAAAAAAAAAAAAAAAAAAAAGAAATCGTATGTTTGGTTGTGTAATATCAACAAAATGGAATCTGTTGACTTAACTATTTTTGGTCAATACCAATATTTGGAAGAATGTTTGCAATGGAACTCTGTAACATTGTGCATTTTTGCAGTACACCCCTGCTATTGATATATGGAGCATAGGATGCATATTTGCAGAAATGCTAACTGGTAAACCTTTGTTTCCTGGGAAGAATGTAGTACAACAATTGGAGCTCATAACTGATCTTCTTGGTTCGCCTTCTGCTGAAGCCATTTCAAGGGTTTGTATGCATTTTCCAGTTTAGTTAATTTATGATATATATATATATGTATATTATTTTTAAAATTAAGATCCATGGTCTTTCCTGCAGTTGAATATCTAAAATACACCACACAGTTACCTTCTATTTTGATAACTTGGAGTCTCTCATACCCACAGATTCGGAATGAAAAGGCCAGACGATACTTAGGTAGCATGAGGAAGAAACCACCTGTATCCCTGTCGCAAAGGTTCCCTCATATAGATCCCATGGCTCTTCGTTTACTTCAGCGTTTAATTGCATTTGACCCAAAAGATCGCCCATCAGCTGAAGAAGTATGTACAATCCACCAGACTTAACTGTTAATTGTTTAATTTTCATAAAACTTGATCACAAGGTTCTACTATTTAGGGCGTGTATCTGTCTTAACTATCACTGCAGGCCCTGGCAGATCCATATTTTTATGGATTGGCAAATGTAGAGGATGAACCTTTTTCCCAACCCATTTTTTCAAAGTTCGAGTTTGAGTTTGAAAGGAGAAAGTTAACAAAAGATGATGTGAGGGAGCTAATCTACCGGGAGGTACGAGGTTTACCAGTGATATGTCAGTGATGATATGCTATATTTACATTGGCTATTACTTACTTGGTACCCCAATTAAGCAAACAGATCTTGGAGTATCATCCCCAGATGCTCCAGGAGTATCTCCGTGGCGTGGACCAGATTCACTTTATGTATCCAAGGTCGGTGGGGGCATTTAAAAGAGTAATTGCGCTATCTGGTTTATATAAACAGATTGTTCACAGTCCATTTATCAATTATTGTCTCTCTGTGGGTCTTCTTTATTTCTCTTCTGCTGCATCTATTGTGAGTCGGGCCTTTATCATCTTCCTTGTAAGGGATCATGGCATACCTGCTAATGGATGTTTCCATTGTGTACGTGTGGAATGCTTGCATAGAACAAATGGCCTCTTTCTGTCACGTTATTTATGGTGGTGTGACTCTGGCACAAGCTACCTTAGAGTTGGAAGAATAGGATAATTTGTAAACATGCATCAATGCTCAATCAGTAGTACAGTTTAAATCGCACAAGTTTTTCTGTTCGAACAATGAAGTCCCTTCAATTTAGCATGCAGTGTTTTGTTGAGATTACCATGATCTGCTTTCCTCAATCGAAAATTTTGATGTTTCAGCGGAGTGGACCAATTTAAGCAACAATTTTTCCGTCTTGAGGGTCAGCCCGGTGAAGTAGCCAGGCCTCCACTGCAAAGGCGCTATGCATCACTGCCCAGGTAAATGGTGTTTAAGTTCTTCTAACTGGTGTTCATCTCCAACAAATATAATGCTGCTAATAGCAGGCAGTGTTCTATAATCTGGTTGCCAGGGAGCGGGTGTGTGGGTTTATAAATGATGATGATGATGATGATGATGATGATGATGATCCTGACCATCATGGTGATTCTAAAAGTCGCACGGTGGTACCTATCCCACGTCCACGGCTCCAAAGCCCGAAAAGGTTGGCAGAAACTGCTAATAACAAGTCGAGTTTGGGAGGCACCACCGCCCGGGGGCGTAATGATTGCAGGAGGTCAAGTTACAGTGCACGATGCTGCCTGCTAAGAAGTGATAGCATCAGTGCTTCCAAGTGTGTTGGTGTTGAAGGAGCTGAGTACTTTTAGGTAAAGGCTCTAGATCTCCTCCTCTCCTCTCCTCTGAATTGCATATTTGCATTGCGTTTCTGCTGCGAGGTGAATGGCTCCTTCCTTCTGGAGACCTGATTATAATCTCTATGTATATATACTAATAGAATAAAATAAAATTCACTCCCCCTCTCCCTCTCCCTCTCCCTCTCCCTCTTGGTTATGAAGCCAATTTTTGTGTATATATGTAATTATCAGGGCAGGGAGCCAACTCAAAAAACTAGATGGACTCACTTGAGTCTCCAAGTGTCCCTGCTGCATCGATCTGCATCTAGTCTCTGAGGATTGAGTGAGTGAGTGAGTGAGAGCTAGGACATCTGCAAAGATTTATCCTCTTGGGTTTAAATTATCTATGTATGTATGTATTTTATTATTATTATTATTTTTTTTAAAAAAAAAATATATATTTGTTTCCACTGTAACCCCACCTCCAGTTGCGTGCTTTAATCCCAAGTTTTTTATTGAACATCCCATAATATAGTTTAGCAGCCAACTGAAGAATGACGATATCTATGAAGGTGGTGCGCTTGCAGGATATTTGCATAAGTGAGTCTATAAATAAATTCTGTAAACATCCATTTAATTAATTTTATTTTTCATTCTTTGTAATGATATTTTGGTAAACCACGAATTCTATATACAAATTCTGTAAACCCCTTCCGAAGAAATTATGGAAACCTCCATTTATTTAATTTTATTTTTTATTCTTCCGACAACTCAATGATGCGACTAAAATTAATAATAACTCGTAGTAATATATGTATGTAACTGCAAAACTAGGGTTTCTTTTCCAAACAAATTAATAAGAAAATAAACCCAATAACTTGTTGATTTGACTCTGAATATAATAATAATAATGATATGAATACGTTGTAATTATAACTTCATGCAGATTCTCTACTATTTTCTACTATATTTTTAGTTCTACATATACTTCAAATATTAGTATTATTTTTAATTTAAAATATATATTTTTAATTTGTATATATTATCATTCTAAATATGATTCATAAATTGATTTTTGGTGAAAAAGAAAAAAATGTAATCTGAAGTCCTATCTTCCCTTCCCCTTATTTCCATTAAATAAAAAAACAATAATAAGTGTTTAAAAGATAAATCAAAATCGATATCATATAGTACGCCGTAAAACGTTGCACCAAGAGTAAAAAATAGGGATTTATGTTTGTTATTATTATTATTTTCAATTTCCCAAACAACCAAAAAAATAATAATAAAAAATTATGTAAACAACCCTAGCTAAGGCAAGTAGTTGTTCCATTATACTTCAATGTGATATTTATATTCCTATCTAATATACAAGAGGATTTAATGAAAACAGCAAAGGAAGTTCTACTTCAATGTGATATTTATATCCCTATCTAATATATAAGAGGATTTAATGAAAACAGCAGAGGAAATGGTTGTTCCATTATATTTCAATCTTATTATTATTATTATTTCAATCTTATTATTATTATGGTGTGTTTTTATGTTTAGTTAGTTATATATTTATATAATAGCAATGATTTAGATATAATATTTTATGAAAGAAACTATTGGATCCTAAATTTAGGAGGTTTCAAAACCGTTCGTCGATTCGTCGGTGTGGATTCCAAAAGTACTTCAAAGAGCCTGTCCGTCGTCAAATTAGAGGCAGCTCCTGGGATGGAGCCTGCACGGCGTCGATCTTAAACAAGGCTTCGAGCTTAAACGATCGATTTCGATGGATTTAAACTAATATCTACTAAAACTTGGATAAATCTACTGGAAAGCGGATAAAAATATGCTAGAAACATAATGGCAAGTAATTCAAATTAAAATGCATAAATGAAAACTAAAAACTATGAAAAGAAAATAGAAAAATATGCGAGTTCGTCTTCTTGTCCATGTGTGTGATGTATTTTTTTCTAATTTTAATCCTAAGATAGAATAACCGTCACTTCTTCCGTCAACCACCTGGTAACCTTCTTCCATCAACCACCTGGTAACCTTCTTCCATACTCTTAGCCGGTCCATGGGGATGTGTCCCCAACAACCTCGAATTATATGAAATCTTCGGTTTTTCTCTTGTTGGCTTGTTTCATGGAGCTTTTTGAATAAAGTATGAAAGTGCATAGGTCATCCACTGTGAAATTATTAATCCAGAGCCAATTGAGGTAGTTATCCAATCTGTTGCTTTTTATCTTGTGGAGACAACCTTTCTCTACTGCGTGGAAGCACCGCAGTCCAATGGAAGTAATTGTTTTTAACCCAATGGAGACAGAAATTTCTGACTTTATGGAAACATTATTCCGGAATGGAGGCGCTATAGTCCGAGGAGTTGCTGCCCTAAGTCCATGGAGGCTGCTACTTTCGACCTTATGGAAACATCACAATCCAATGGAAGTTGTTGCCTTCGGCTCTGTGGAGACAACAGTTTTTGGCTCAAAGGCATGAAGTTCCATTGTTGTTCGGCGGCTCCGTGGCCAAGGAGCTTTGGCTCCACTTTTGTCTTTGAACCTCCTTACGTTCAGGTGCTTTTGGACCCATGTCCAACAGAACTAATATATTCTTATAATACACTATGATTGTTGTATAGTAAAAGATTGAACGCAAACTAAAAATACTGTAATAACTAATTGAGCCTTTGATGAAACAAGAGATATAATCAAGCTATACTATTCTTCAACCAAAGAAGCTGTAGAGAAGTGATGATAAAAGTTTGTAACCAGTCACAGAATACTTTGCACTTATAAAATAGAGTTGCAAATGATATTGAAAAACCAAGGCTTTGTTCAGATAGATGTTTTTGAAGATTTTTTGAATTTTGAAAAAAAAAATGATATTTAATTTGATATTTTGTGATAAAAAATTGTGTATTTGAAGTGATACTTTTGAAAAAAATATAATACAAATGAAAAAAAAATGAGCAGTATAATTTACAGAAATGGAAAGATGATAAGCGTCACATCGTATTTGATATATAGTATGAATAAAGTACAAATAACTAAAATAATTTGTAATGATATTTATGTAATATATTGTAAGTTGTAAATGTATTTATAATGTTAAATAGATAATATCTTTACTATAAAAACATAAAAGTGATACTCTGTTATGGGATATACCATAATAGAAAAATTGATAATTTGTTAAGAGACGGAAAAGTAATATTTTTGTAATTTGTATAAAAATAAAAATATTTTGGTAATGATATTGAGTCGAGATTGATGAAGTAATATATAGATATTGCTTTCCTTAATTTAGCATGTCTGAGTATGAGTGTACTTTAATGTAACAACTACCATAAAACAAAATTAAACCTCAATATATATTAATCTGTCTCGTTACAGATAACTCATTTTTTTGTCCCTTCCACAAAAATGTAGTATGCTTTAGTATATTTATTAATCTTAAATACATTTAAAAAAATATAAATTAATTTAATTATCTATATCTCTCTTCAATTAAAAAATATTTTCTTCTTATTTTTCATAAAATTGAATTAATAATAATGACAACTAAATATATATATTTTTTATTTATTTGTATTATATAAAATTTTATTCTCTATTGAATAATATCATATTATATATATTTTATTGAAAAATAATATTAAAATATTTAAACACATATTTTAATTTTATTTTAATCATTAAATAACTAATCCTTATTATTTATACTAATTTATAATCTTTGCTCAAATTAAAAGCTTAATTTTATTATATTTCTTCAATTTGAAAATTGTTTGGTTTTTCGGGTTTGATTTTAAAATATTTGATTTGGATTTTAAATTCAAATAATATTTAATTAGATATTTTGTGATAAGAAAAAATATATATTTTCAGAAAAATCGTAAAATTTATCAATCCCTTTGCAAGTGACTGCGGCGGTGGTGGGCACTATACAGCTGCACTAATACGTAGTGTATACATGCACGCATTTCTCGATCGAATGGTTGGCTTGATAAGCAAATTGAATTTGCATATCCTCACAACACAAGCAACAACCATGCAATACTATATATATATATATTAGTACTCTTTGTCCGCGCGACTGACATATTTTGACATGTGACATATTTTGAAGATGCCGAGTCAATTAAATATATTAATTAATTAATTTATTTTTTAATAAATATAATTGTCTCATATAAAAAGTATACAAAAATAGGCCCATTTGAGCGTCATATGTAAAATGATGGATCGGCATTTAGGTGTGATGAAGAACCAACCCTCACTTGCCACCACGTTCAACTCACTTTCCATGTCCCAAATAATGATTCCATTTCCATACCCAAATGGCAGTATGAATAATGATGGGTGGGGTGAAAACAATCAATACCAAACTTTGAGAAAGATAAGTACACAATAATCATCAATCTGTCTATATATTTTGGGAAAAAGATGAAAGTTTTAACCATCAACAAAATCTAATGAAGGTAAAATATAAAATCTCACAACCTAAAGATGAACCTAAAGCTAGCTAGTCTATCGTTGAAAAACGAAACGAAACCAAATCGTAGAAATTGGAGAGTGAAAGAATATTAATTGATTACCCGAAAATTGACTTTGCTGCCATCGATTAGCTCTTCAAACCTTTCAGCTAGCAATTTCACCAATTCAGAATCAACAAAATAACCAACCTTAATTTCCTTGAGACGATGACAGCCGGCAGCCCTTCCAAAAGGTTTCTAGCAATATAATCATTTGAGCAAGCTATCGAAAATTTCACCCTCGGACTTCCATTAACCTTTGATGCAATTCCAGATCTATCGGAGTTCTCAAAGTTGTCTTGTAAAGGATTGTCTGATAGTGTGAGACTAAATATAATTTTTATTTTAGATGAAATGATATTTAAATTAAATATATTTTATTAGTATCGGATGCAGAATAACTGTCACATCGAGGTGCAAGCGGAGGTATGTGAAACTTGCATATTCATATGCCGCAAATGGAAACGGGCGGGACTCGAACTCGAAACCTAGCATAGACTCTAGTACAATGTCGGATGCAAAATGACCGATTCACATATCGAATGCAGAATGACTGTCTTACTTAAAAGTTCGAACCGTTAAAGAAATGCAATCATTAATTATTTATCCACAAATAGGAGTCCCCAACAAGCCTCCTCAACTGCAAATGGGCTATGCGAAACTTGTACATGCATATACCGTAAATAGGAACAGGCGGGACTTGAACTTGAGACTAAATACTCTAATACCATATTAAGAAGGGATCCAGCTTCCAAAATAATATTTAGTTTGGAAGTCTGGATCCCTTCATAATATGGTATCAGAAGCAATGGTGCTCGTATTAGCCGTTGATCTGATATAAATTTTTTAGATTATTATCTCGAGGGAGAAGTGATGAATATTGTCCCACATTAGATATGATGTGGAAACTCCTTGACATATAAGGTGAAGACCACTCCATTTATCACCGATTGGTTTTATATTGGAATCTCGGATTGTAAATTTTAAAATATTTATATCATAATTTAATTATAAAATAAATAAATATATTTATACATAATTAACATATTAATTTTATAAAATAAATTATTTTTTTAATATATATTACTCCCTCCGTCCCACTAAATTGTAATATTTAGGTTAAACACGGAGTTTTAGGTATTGTGTAATTAATAAGTAATTAAGAAGTCTATTAGTAAAAATAATTATAATTTAATAAAAATAATTATAGGTTAAAATTAAAATGACTAAATAGTTTAATTAAAATAAAAAAATTATAAATTTTAATATTTAAAATCTATAATTATATTTAAAAAAAATGACAAATTATGTTAAACGGATCCAAATAGAAATATGAGACAAATTTAATGGGATGAAGGGAATAATATATTTATTAATTAAAAAGTGATAAAAATAAATTTTACAAATAAGTATTATTTTTAAAATATTAAAAAAAGAAAAGAAAAGAAAAGAAAGTATAATAGCAAATTAGCAATAGCAGGAAGTGTACCAAAGAAGCCCTAAATTAGAAATGTCCATATTAAGAACGATCCCAGCTACGCTTGTGATTAAGTCAAATATATTTTAATCTAATAGTAGTAAAGTTTATACTAATCGGTATTTATTAATTTAATAAAAACTATATATGAGATCAAAATTCAAATGGTATTAATCACCAACTGTGGGCAAGTTCAAGCTGGGGCTGGGGCTGGGGCTGGGGCTGGGGCGTACGCAGGCACAATATCAGTCCGATGTATGTATCTCCTCGCCCGCCTCTTTATAAGGGCGGCGCCGACGCCACTTTTGTTCTGCTACTACATGTGCGTTTCATAAAAGCACTTTGGTAAATTCCCAAATTAATCAATTAATTAGATAAATAAAATAATTATTTTTTCGTTCTAAGTCAATAATTTAATTTATTATTATTTTTATCATTTTTATTCTTTCTTATTTAAAATATTAATTTTGAATAAATATCAAAATAATCTTAAATATTTTAATTAATTATAAAATATTATTATTTTTTAATAATAATAATAATAATATTGAGACAAGTATTTTAAAAAAAATAAGTATAATAATAATAATAATAATTATTATTATTATTTTAATTTTAAGAAAAATACATTATATTGAGACAAGTATATGATATTGGATGAGATTGTCTTGTCTACTCCCATTTTTTTCCGGCCCATTTAAATATTACATATATACGTTTTATTTTTTATTTTTGTTTTATATAAGGGGGTAACCCGGAGCCCCAAACTAAGTTTTACAAAGTAATGTGCTATACTTTACATATAAAATGTCAATTTTTTTCTATTTTATATAATTTGTTAATTATTTTTAAAAAAATAATTATATATTTTTAATTATATTTTAAATGTTATACTTTATAATTTTAATTAAACTATTTAATCATTTTAACATTAATCTAAAACTATTTTTATTAATATACATTTTAATTATTTATTAATTATATTTTTACTTAAATTACGGTGTTTACACTGCTAATATGGATGGATGGATGGATGGATGGAGTATATCGAGATTGGGGAGGGGGAGGGGTTGGTTCGTAATAAATGAAGTTTGAACAACCGACCCGAGCTGTACTGCGTTGCGCAGTCTCATTAATTGATTACCATACATAACTTGTTTGTTTGATTACTCTCATCCACTCATTTACCAATAATAATATAAAACTGAAATATCTGCTTGCTTACAAAATACAGTAGAATACAGATGATACTGTAAAGTGTATATAACGTGTATGTACTGTACGTAGAATGAATGAATGAATGAATGATAAAGATCTCTCATGAATCCATCAGTAAGTACCCCCACGGCCCGCCTAGCTACTACCTAGCTAGCTAGCTAGCTAGCCAGCCAGCCATAAATTACAATGATACTCCGTAGTAGCAGCAGCAGCAGCAGCAGCAGTATTTAATAGGTGGGGGCAGGCAGGCAGGCAATGCAAGGCAAGGCAATCTTATCTTGGGCGTCTACAAAAGGTGGATGGGAATCCCCATATCCATCAATCACTTCATCTTTTTGCTTGCGTGCTTGCCTGGAACTTGGTTAGGCCGTTAGTTAGTTAGTTATACAGACATATACATACATATATATATATACATATCTCATACCCAAGAGGAGGAGGAGGAAGAAGACGACCTTATAGTACATTATAGTATTAATTACTGAAATGGCACAGTCGTCATCAGCATCAGCATCATCTTCGTCCTTGTCGCTCTTGGCCTGCGGCGGCAGGAGTCGATCTAATTATTACAACACGCTCACGCTCACATCAATGCCTCGTCGTCGTCACCTGAATCTCAATCTGAACCTGAACCTGAAGCTGATGGAGGGGTTTGGTCATCGTCGTCCTCAACCAAAGCTTTACCCTCTTTCGGACCAGCAGCGGTTGTCTGCAGTGGTCACCCATGTTCAATTATCGCCCACTCCCACTCCCACTCCCACTCCCACCCACACTCCCACTAACATCATCGTCCCTCTCCAGAAACAAAACCCTGACAGGTCAAATTAAATATACTAGATAAATATTCTTCTTCTTCAATTTAATTAGCATGTATGTTTGTACGTATGTATGTATGTATGTGTAATGTATGGATGGATGGGATGGGATGGATCAGGTGGGTGCACGAAATAGAGCTTGTTGTGAGGGACTACGAGTTGGATCAGTTTGGAGTGGTCAACAATGCTGTTTATGCCAATTATTGCCAGCATGGTAATTAGCTATGTAATATATATATATCTGCGATTCATGATATGATATTAATTTGATGATGGGTGGGTGAGGATGCAGCGCGCCATGAGCTGTTGCATACGTGTACAAGCTCCAACGCCGATGAAATTGCCCGTTCTGGCTTCTCACTGGTTACATCCGAGATGTCAATTAAGTTCATTGCGCCTTTGAAGGTCAGGTCGTCGTCGTCGTCTATTCAAATTTCAAAATCAATCAATTAATTAACCTAGCTAGCTAGCTACTTATTTATTTACTTCTTGGTACATACAGAGTGGGGATCGATTTGTGGTGAAGACAAAGATTCCTGGATGGTCCAAAACTCGCTTGTTCATGGAGCAAGCCATCTTCAGACTTCCCAAATTTGAGGTACATTATCTTGCCGATCCCCATGGATACATCTACTTAATTAATTATTAATTAATTTTCTCAATATATATATAATTAAATTTGGTTGGTATATATGGTACTATATATATATATGCATATGCAGTTGGTGGTGGCCGCAAAAGCTACGACGGTATGGATAGACAAGAAGAATCGGCCGATGCGGATTCCTGAGTTGACCAGAGCGGAAATCAGTCAGCTCTATTACGACAGATCATCTGATCACGTCTCTCAGCGAGGACTCTCCACCAATTCCATCCATCCAACTCAACTCAATTAATTAATTCAACGACTACTCCTCCCTCCACATCTCTTCTATTGAAGAAGATTAAATATACCTATTACTTATAACATGATCGCATATATATATATCCCAATTCCATGATTGCTGCTGCTGCTGCTGCTGCTGCTGCACTGGTTTTCAATTAATATTTAATTTGTAAGAACTATATATATGTATAAGATAATTAATTAAGCGAGTGCGGGTGCCATGTCAATTTCATCTCTTATATGCTTAGACTAAAATATATATATATATATATATATCTCCCTATATATAAAAATAATGCTCACTATATGAATGCAGCAATATGTCTGCGTGTAATTATATTATATATATATATATATATGATTAATTAATTAAATGAATATTAAACTGCCGATCCTTTCCATCTTGAAGGCCTGCCTGCCCATACTTTATTATTCGGGAACAAAACACAGAGGCTGGGCAACTACATACAGCAACCTCTATCTCTATGTTCCCTATATGTATATATCTTCATTCTAACCTAACACACATGCTAAAATATTATTTAAAATATTGATTTGGTTAAATGTTAATGACTTGATTCATATTAAATATTACGCGTTTTATTTGCTGGCCGTGCGAGCTTTATTAATGCGCATTCCAGAAGAAGAAGAAGAAGAAGAAGAAAGAAGAAGAAGAAGAAGAAGAAGAAGAAGGTGATGGTGGCAATATAATTAATTGGTGAGATCAGCGAGCCTACTCGCTATATGATATATATATAATTTGAACTGAAGGAGACCGACCTTACATACAAAACTCCAACCTTCTCTGTGGTTGAATGACATGAATTATTTGGGACAAGTGACTATATATTGTGATTCTATTTCTGTGTTATTATTGTGTTTTGTGGTATTTCTTCAAATACTACTACTGTCTATAGGGCCTTTCTTGGTTGCAAGTGTCGGCAGTTTTCCTGTTGAGTGAGTCATCATCAATTCGATGAGAGATTCAACTCAAAGCTGATTCTGGGGCGATCAAACTCTGTTTTAGCAGCAAGTAATATAGAGATGAGACAGAGACATATATATATATATATATATATATAATTAATTGCATTTGCATGAGACAATCTGCGTTGGTGCAGTTTGATTGTCTCAATCTCAATAAGCCACTTCTCATATGCTAGTTTTCCGAAAATGGATGTTTTTTTCTTTTGTACAAACATGTTGCATCAAGTGAAGATACAAACTTGCAATACATTATCTAGTCTATTTAACAGAGGGAGGGAGGCACTTGTGCTTGGTTCTTCATCCAAATATTTGGTTAAGAGTAGCAGCCAAGCGGACTCCACCCTGTGCTAGCCGCATGTTGACAACTGGATATCTAGACACGAAGTAGTCGTCTGCAGAATTAATTAATTAATAGTCCCTCCATTTCATTTTATCATGCCAAATTAATATGAACCAACATCCAACAAAATAATAATACAAATTATAAAATTATGTACAGAGTACCTCCCAGGAAGGAACCTTCATCCACTCCTTTGTATGCCCAGTCACAGGCTGCTTTGATACCTTCCGTCGCGTATCTGCGCACATATTTGCCATATGGATTTTTGCACAATATATAACTAAGTCAAGGTAGTATTAATGATTAAAACTTACGCATCTGGGCATGCCGTCTTGCTACAGGCCTCCCATGCCTTTGCCTGGCTAGCCCACACTGTCTGTTAGATGTCATGAGAGTTCATTAACATTACAGGTGTGGAAACAAACAATAGCATAACTCAGTTTCTCATGGATGATGATGGTATATGGTATATGAAATACTGTAATGTTCTTCTGGAGTGTCTCGATAAGTTGGTCTACACTAGAATCATAAAACCTTTCTTCTTCTGTCTCAATAATCTCGTCGTCCCATACCTGGAGGATTTTTTTAACAGATTTCAGTTCCCATAAATAAAAAACTATTTGTTTTGCCCATGTATTGCAAACCGAACATACATGATGAAGAACTGCTTTTCTTCTGTACCAATGCACGTCAATGGTGTTTCCTCCCCTGTCTGCAGTAAATCCAACATGTAGAGGCTGCATAGGAGAATTGAAGTGCTTCTCTAGTAAGTAAATTTCCTTGGCAAACGAGCTCTAGTTAGGAACAAACCTGATGGATGTCTCCAATAAAATGAGCTAGGAAGAGAAGTGCTTCTGTGAGATTATCTGATGATCAGCCAATTCAAGACTCTCATTTAGTAAGAGAGACGAAACATTTATAGTTAAAAACACGTGTGTTAATTAACAGGTTACATTGAGAATCAGATCTTCCGTAGCTCAATAACTGGCTAGTATAATTGTATATTGCTCCGGCAACACATCTATCTGGCATGCCATCCTCATCTTTGCAATCCCCTGTGTGTGTGTAAGAGAAGACTCAGCATCAACAGTTGTGTAAACCTTGCTATAAAACAAGGTATAGTTATGCTATTCTCGGTAATCAGTAGCCAATAATTCTACTGTAAAAGAATGGTTCTCACTTCTGTATTGATAGGTGCAGAGATTATCTGGGGTGTCGATGTAATGAAGAGCGGATGACCAGTGATAACGGAACTTGACATGATCCGCCCATGAACACAAGCTACTGAGGTCATTATCTGCATAGGCAGGCAAGAGATTGGAGACAGCTTCTGCTGCTGCTCTGTTCAATCTTGGCTGCAGCAAAACCATAACATAAAAGTAGATATCAGGAGATGAAGAATCTCAGTGATAAAACCGGGAGTTGAAATTAAGAACCTGAGCAAGTCTGCAAGTGATGAGATGCCCATCAATCCCCCAACCATATGCAAGAGGAATACAAACAAATATCAGGACAACAAATGCCACCAGCCTTTGAACTGAGCAAAGAACCATTCTTGGGTGCACTTTTGGTACATAGCAGCATAGCAAAGTGTGAAAAGTCTATTTATAAAGAGGGTACACAAAATGACAATAAGTGGAATCAAGTTACAAATGTGAATAGTGTGAACAACCTAATTATAAAAAGTGAAAGGCTGCTGAAACTGAACGCTTTTGTTAGACTTTGTTCCCACGGAACTGCCAACTAATTTTAAATTCTGTACGAAACAAATTTCTTTCTTTTGGGGTCATATAAAGTGGTGTAAAACTCGTAGTTAGAGGTCAATGTAACTGTTTTTATATCACCATTAAAAAAGAAGTTCATTACCGGCAATACGATGAGCAGTGCTAATGAAGGATTTCATTAAACCTCAATCCAACTACAGCCAAGGAATCTTCTCAGTTTCCTTTTCTTCATCATGTTCTTCACCTTCATGGCATTTTCCCACTTGCTAGAGTCCCTGTACAAATTCCCCAAAAGCACACTACTTCCAGAACTCTTTGGTTCAAGCTTAGCCAAATGTTTTGCAGCTACCTCTGCAAGATCCAGACAATTATGGAGCCGGCATGCGCCTAATAGTGCTCCCCACACAAAGGAATCAGGCTCCGTAGGCATTCCCTGAATAAAGTCATAGGCCTCAGCAACCATTCCCGCTCTGCCCAGCAGATCCACCATGGATGCATAGTGTTCTGATCTTGGTTTTATGTTGTGTTTCTCCTGCATCAATTGGAACAGACTTTTGCCAACATCGACCATCCCCGCATGTGCACAGGCAGTGAAAGCTGCAGTGAATGTCAGGTGGTCTGGTTTTACTTCTTCTCTCAGCATTTGACAGAAAAATTCAATGGATTCATGGCAATACCCATGGTTTGCAAAACCAAATATCATGGAATTCCAGGTGACAGTACTTCTCTCCGACATTCCCTCGAACAAGTACATTGCTTCGGAAATCAATCCACACTTTGCATACATGTCTATGAGCGCACTCCTTACATGAAGACTAGTTTCGAAGCCCATCACTACTGAAAAACCATGAAACTCCTTGCCACGCCTCAAATCCGCAACACAAGCCGATGCAGACAGTAGGCCACTGATTGTTGCTTCTGCCGGGAGCAACCTCATTCGCAGCATTTCTCGAAAAGCACTAAGTGCCTCTCTGCTGCGAAAATTTTGTGCCAAACCAGAAATTATCGTAGTCCACGATATAACATCAGGTTTAACCCCAGAGGATTCCATTCTTCTGAAAATTAACTGGATCATCACATCATTATTTTCTTGGGAGAACCCTCTGATCAACGTGTTCCATGTCACAATGTCAGGCTTCATACCCAAAGATTTCATCTCCTCAACCAAACTCAATGCTTCTCTAACAAAGCCATTTTGAACGTAACCGTTAACCAGAGCATTTAGAGAAACCAAATCCCTATCCATCATGACATTAAACACATTTCTAGCCCTTCCAACCATCCCACAATTCGAGTACATACAAATCAATGCGCACATCACAAAAGCATCATATTGAAATCCACTTCTGTAAGCAGTAGCATGGAGCTTCTTCCCGGTTTCCAGATCACAGAGTTGTCCACAAGCTTTAAGAACACTAGGCAAAATAATTCTGTCGCACTTCATTCCTAACTTGTGCATTTCCCCAAACACGCCCATGGCCTCCCCGTAATAGCCATTGCAGGCATACGATCCTATGACAGCCACCCAACCCCTAATATTCGACTTGGGAATTTCATCAAACAGCTTTCGAGCACAAACCAATTCTTTGCAACTAGCATAAAAAGCTAGGAGCTTGGCAGCCACCTGAGCAGAACAAGCCAACCCATTGATGATGAGGTGAGCATGGAGCACTCTGCCGGGTATCAAGGCCCCTCTTCTGGTATACACTTGGATAAGCTTTACATACCTACCAGGAAGAAGAGTAGCTGCAGGCATGATCAAAGAGTAGGGTTTCGCTAGCACATCGAATAAGTCCGCAAGCTGAGAAGATCAAATCATTGCAATGCAATGACCAAACTGCATCCACAGATGTGAGGATCTTTTTTCCTACAACTCAAAATAAATCCACTCTTTTGGTTGGAAAAGAAAAGAAAAAATCAAGGCAGTCAAAATTTCAAACGACTACGGGGCGATAACACGGGCATGCTGAGTCTATTGGCTAAACATATAAATGAATCGTGTCAATATGATCGTTCTGTGTTTCGTATGAATAAGACTATAAAATTAATGCTGAACTTAGGCTGTCTTTCTTTGTGGTTCCGAACGCAAATTTCCCTCAAACGTTAATTTCTATTTTTTTACTATCAATTTTTTTTTTATATATTATATTAAATATAATTTATATTAATATATCAAATAAAAGAAAATTTATGCTATCATAAAAAGAAAATTATTTTTCTTTCTAATAAAATAATTATACTCTTTCCAACCCGTCACCATGTAAAAGAACTTCTGGGATTTTGATAATTTGTGCCTTTGTATCATAAATGGTACTCCCTTTTGTCCCGTGTGGTCACACGAAATTTAGGATAAGTATAATTAATAAATAATTAAAATATATTATTAAAAATAATTATTTTGTAATATAAATAATTATAGATTAATATCAAGATAAGTATAATTAAAACTAAAAAAAATTAAATTAAAAAATTTAAAATGAAATTAAAATGTATAATGCGATAGAGGATGTGGGACGGACAGAAACGACAATACGGACATGTTAGGTGGGACGGAGGGTGTAGTATAATTTTATAATTTAGATAATTTTTTTTAATGAATATTAATATATGATTATTTATTAGTTTTGAGTAAGACATATAATGATAATAATTATTATTATATACTTTCATTACAATTTATAGCTAAATATTTAAATATATATTTTGAGTAATAGAGATAAGTAATTTTTTAAAATCTTTTTTAAAATTATGAAGTTTGTTGTTTTGGAGTTTGAATTTTTAGTTGAGATTTGAATAGTAGAAATTTTGAACGATTATTTATTAGTTTAAACGTAAAATTGATTGCTAGTATTATATAGAAAAATAAAAAAATAGTGTTTAATCTGATAATTTTGAGGGAAATTTTCTTTAAGAATAATAGAATTTTGATAAAATTTTATAGAAGTTATTTTTTAAAAAACAATGTAGAATTTTCACATTATTTTTATTTTATATATAATATTATATATCATATCAAATAATTATTTAAATTTAAATATAGTGACAAAAGGATGAGCTGATTGTATGGGTTGGATTATTGACAGTGAAGTTATAGAGGTTCAAATCGCTTTACACCTCCATGTGCTTGCAGTTCGCTTGCCTTGTCGAGTTGATTTAAAATGTACTCGTAGAATAACAGTTGCGGATCCCACCTTATAAGAAATAAAAATAAAATAAAAATGCATATAACAAACCTAAATGTTACTGTAACAAAAAATGTAACCTAAAATTTGTGTATATCCGCGAGTCCACGTTATTTTTTCCTCTCTTTCTCTGTCAACTATTTGGGCCGAGCTTTTTAGATCTTGTGTTTTCGGGGTTAACTTTAAGCATTGGTACGTCTAGGCCTAATAACGTTACTCAAATCAGCAATGATCAAAGATGAATTACTGTCCGTTATATATAAAAAAAAAGAAAAAAGAAAAAGGGGGGGGAATTACAGTCAAGCACATGAATATATTTTGGTTCAGTAAAATCCCAAAATTTTGGATATTATATCTAATAAGCTTTTTGAAGAAGAGAAAAAAAAAAGAACAAAGAGCCTTACTCTTCCAGTGTTGGCATGTCACTTGTCAGATTCCTATACATCTCTCCAAAGGGTCGGTGATAAAATAAATACTACTACTTGTATATAATACTCTTAAGTTAGACAGAGCAGTGGCAACTAATCATATCTTACAATTTTAGCTGTTTCTTTTGTGGCCATTTAATATGAATATGTATATTGTAAGTGCTAATCATTTTTGCCCTTTTCAACCTCACCTTTGCAATCACATATGTAGTGGTGGTTGCAATTATTTAAATTTCTATCATAGAATTATTAAATTAGTGCGTTTGGTGGTAGTTTGGACCTCATGCATACAAAATATGTTAAGAGACTTTTTATTGAACAATGCGGCCAGAAATGTGAATACATTTAATTTTCTTTTTATTTATTTAAAATCAAAGAGAGATGGTAGTTGACGCGAGTTTAATAGCACGGAACGGATAGCATCTTTGCATTTAATATTGGGCCTTTCTTTAATTATATATATATATATTCCACCAACTAGAAATGAAGATGAAGGTGGGACCTACTAGCTATGAAAGAAAAATATAATTATTAATTAAGACTTTTATATATAAATTCTTTTGGTATCTAAAACTTGTTTATTCAAACTATTATATATAAAAACATCATAGGTAATGGAATACTTTTTTGTATCACATATAATATTTTGAAAATAATAAAAAAACCAATTGTAAAAGATATGTAATACTAGTCGTATATATTGATGTTGCATCCAAATAGAAATGTTGTGTTCTACTGTCCGTTAAAGATTGTAAGCGGAGAGGAGAGGCGGTAGCCAGTAGCAGTCATTTATCTCCTTGTAATAACAATATAAGCTAGACACACAAAACAAAAGTAATTAAAATTAAAGAGCGAGCGGGGTTGGGGTTGGGGAGGGGGTAAGGTGGGGTCTGGGGATTAGGATGGGATACGCACTACGTAATCCAAACGTGGCATATCCTTAACCATGTTATTTTACGGGAATTCATCCATCAAATATAGGCATAGCCAGCCAGCCAGCCCATTATCTTATTCTTATTATATGTAATAATAGTAGCAAATAGCATAATAATAATAATAATTAATAGTGTAAGGGTTGTCCATCAGGTGGAATGGAATGAGGTGGGGCTGAGTCAGAAATGCGTGAGCTGCTGCTGCTGCTGCTGCTGCTCCTCATCTCATCTCATCTCATGTCTTCAATTCAGTTGTTTCTTTTTTGCAATGGAATGTATCGGATGGATGGATGAGAACTGGGAATCTCCTCCTGTCCTGACGAGGCAGGGGCAGGGGCAGGGGCAGGGGCAGGGGCATGCATTACTACTAGTGTCTTTAATTTGTCCAACCTCAATTCAATTCAATTCAATTCAACTCAACCTTTTAACTTAAGCAAGCAAGGAAGGAGGAAGGAAGGAAACAAAGTGTTTGTTTGTTCCACGCATAAATGAATTGATAGAGGATGAAAAAGGGGTGCGACGACTTTTCCACGTGGTCAGAATCAGACATGTTTATCCCTTAATGATGGATGGATGATATCATAAGTCTTCTTCCCACCTTACTTCAATCCAATACAAGCCTAGCTAAAAGTCGTCACTGTTTATTGCTTCAACGATTTAATAATAATCATAATCCCTTTTGGCCATTATAAATACCGTCTCGGCTACCATCTTATCCTCTCTCCCGTCTCGTCTCGTCTCGTCTCGTCTCCCCGGTCCGTTTTATCTCCTTTCCTTTCCATCTCTGTATTATTATTCTTTCCATCTCTACTATTATTTCTAAAATTTCACCCCTCTTCTCTTCTCTTCTCTTCTTCTTTCCCTCACCCACACACACATATCCTCCTCCGACCCTTTCTTAATTCTGATCATTAGCTGTGCTGTGCGTGTGTGATATACATAACATATACTCTGAATCTGAAGCGGATCGATCTGAGAAAGATTATTCATAAGTCGATCGAATTGAAGGAGGCGATAGGATGAACATCCCGGAGATGAACATGATAAGCGACTTCGAGGCAGGAATGAATTGCCTGCAAAACCCATCCTTCATTTCTCGATTCCTGTCCTTCCCCGCTCAGCAGCTCTACATCACCGGTGCTCTCCTCTTTGCCATTTTCGCAACTTTCAGCAGCCTCGTCAGGAGACTTAAAATCCTTCTGATCCATTTCCATATTCTCAAATCTTCCTCCCATCATCACAAAGAAGATCACACTCTTGACTACAGTGAAGATGATGAAATTTCCTTAGCGACATCAGACGACGATGAACAAGAAGACGGGGACCACGACGAGCAGGAGGAGGATGAAGACAACCACCCTACCACGACGTCGTCCCGAGGTCAACGCGGCGTCGATGAAGATTTCCGCGTGAAGAATCCTCGACTTCCTTTCAAAAACCAGTGGCCAAATGGTCACCTGAGGCAACGGAGGCGGCGTAGCAATTGCAGCGCGTGGTCGGAATTCACCAGCGGTAAAAATGTTGTTAAGCTTTGGGATAGTTTAGGTTTCAACCTGGATTTCGATGAAGATTTATTCGACTACGATCCACAAAGCGTTGTCTCGACCTGGGAATCCGATCGATTCCAAAACGAGAAAGAGGCATCCGGAGGAGTCTGGAATATCCCAGCGGCTGCGCCGGCGGTTCTCTTGACGGCGGAGGGTAATGGGAAGGGAGACCGTGTAATTTTGAGCGGCTACGACTCGAGGATGCGAGGTTGTGTTCCTGCTCTGTACGCTGACTGGAGCTCTCCGGCGGAGAAACTTGCCGGCGTCTCGACGGGCGGGGTAGGCAAGGTTTTCATCAGAGACGACGCCGGCGGGGTACACACCGTAGGTGACGTTAGAAACGTTAGGAGGGCGTTGGAGAGCGTCAAAGAATCCGACGGCGATACTTGGTGGGATGCTGACGCCGTTATCGTGGACGAGACCGAGATTTGAGGACTTGTAGTAGTAGTAGTAGTAGTAGCTAACAATAAACGTGGTGGATGATACCCTTCTAGAAGGCGTGGTTACTTTAACCCCGGGTTAAGGATTGGTAAAGCCCATTTGCCCAAAGCGCTGCTCCGAATCCGAACAAGAATTGACAAACAAGACAAGACATATTTTTTTAAAACTAAAAAGAAGAATAATAATAATAATAACCCAAACACTGTTGTTTTGTTGTCTCACTCACTGTGTATGTAAATAATTTATTATCCCTATTATTCAAATGTCAATTTTAAAGTAGTTCATATTTTAATGATTATCTTTCATAGAATTATATTTATAGTACGTTGGTTGTCAGAGATGTTGGTGTAGAAAGAAAACCCACCCATTTCATTTTAAGGGTGGACGACGTGGATCAATTAACTCATTGTGTTGCCTCTCGTCTCTCGAGCAATTGCAAGGAAAATTATGATGAAACATCCCCCTCATCATTATTGTACTATTGTATTAATTAGATGCTACGACACGAAATGATATTGTATACTCCATTTAAGACAGCAATTAATTAATTAACTTGTGATTTAATTAATTTGATATTCTTTTCGTTACATTATTTTAAACTGTGTATAGTATTATAATATAATATATATATAGATAGATCAAGAGAGATTAATCTACACGGTGACTTCCTACTATACATGTCTGTCCTGTGTTGCTACTTGCGAAATGGACGGAGCAGTAGCAGTAGCAGTACGAGTACCAGTACCACACATTATTAGACAAACTAAGCCTTGTAAAATTGTACACGTAACGACATACGTAAGTAAGTATCATCAATCATTCATATATCAATTCACGGCTGCCTCTCCTCAGTCACGTCTTTAATTCGCATTGCCTTCAAACCACTTTACTTTTATATTAATTATAAAATAAATCGAACATATGAATAAATTAATATCCACGTTATTCATGATGTTAGAATATACCAACCAGTATTACATATGTGATATGTGAGAACCACCGCATTATTATATATAGATTGCGTCTAGTCGTATTATCCAATTTTATTATTCTGCTAATTACTATTAAATTGAGTGTGTTTCTTTTCTTTTTTCAATTTACAATACTATATTAAAATTTTAGTAATTATTCAATACTATCTCAAAAATGCATCCAAACAAATTTAGAGAAGCTAAGGATGCATTTGCTTGCATTGTGGATTGTTTTATAAAATTTTTATTGTTTATATATAAAGTACTTATTTTTTTGAAACATCAACTTAAATATTATTTTAATTTATTACTAAAAATAAAATTTATATTAAAAAAAAAATCATATCAACCAACTATTTAGATTAGGCTAAACAACTATTTCAAAAATCTGACTATTCAGAAAATATAAAACTCTAACTCTTAAATCTACAAACAAACACACCTAATGAAAAATTATTTAAAATTTGAATTTAATTCATTAATTTAGCGTCCATGCCATGCTAATTGTTGCTAATACTGATACTAATAATAATAATAATAATAATTAATACTGAGTAGGTATTTGATCGCGATTTTATTCTCCAATTATGCCATTATTGATGCATAACTATATCAGTATCTCAAAGAAAAATTTAAAATAGTTAGGTGGGCATTGGCATTGGCATTGGCATTGGCATTGCATCTTTAGATTCACGGTTGTCTTGTCTAGTCTAGGGGAATATATATATATATATATATATATTTTATGCAAATTAAATAAATATTATTATTTTTTATTTAAAATTTAATACATGGTTTTATTTTGATTCGGACTGCCAATGATTAGAAGCCAGCAAGTTACAGCTTGATGATACGCTAGCTAGCTGGCAAATTCATTTCCTAGAAGAAAATACTATGATCTTTCCAGCTCCAAGTTTAGGTTTGTGGGGGAAAGGATGCATGTCAACCAATGGATCTTTGACAAAGAAGTCGATATCAACCTCCAAGACAACAATGAACACAATTCATTAGTCTCATAACACACATATATATATATATATCACATATTGATACAACAAAATAGATATTAATTTAATACAATGTAACATATAAATGACTACACTTAACAATAATTCACATAACACATGAAATCCCAACATACCACATGTCCTAACAAGGCATGCATGCAGAAATCACACAGTATATATTAATATAATACAATATAATATATCACTAATATAACATAACAATAATCCAAATCCATACACCACAACACATGCCACATATTGATTTCAATACATGTTACATGCACCCTCCCAACCCAAAATATATATATATATATATATATTGGGTAAATTATTTTTTAAGTCCGATAACTGGACCCCCGTATCATTTTAGTTTGTAAGTGGAGTCTATCGCAAACTAGTTTCATAAGTGAAAATTTTCGTATTTTAGTTCTTCGGCGCTGGAGACGCCCGCGTGGCTCGCCGGATGCCACGTGTTCGCTAGGTCAGCGACACCTGGCGGACGCGTGGATTTTATTCTATTTTTTTTCATTGTTTTTTAATTTTTTTAATCTATTTGGTTCAATTGAAAAAAGAAATGAAAAAAATAAAATAAAATCCACGTATCCGGCGAACACGTGGCCTCCGGCGAGCCACGCGAGAATTTGCGACAGACTCCACTTACGAGATTAAAATAATAAGGAGTTCAAATATAGGAATTCATTTTATATTTTTGCAGTAAAATTTTTAAATAATACATTTTATATATTTACTTTAAAACATAATTTAGTTTTAGTTTAGGTTTAGACTTGGGAACAATAACCTGGATATGCCAATTACAGTAGGCCATGCACTATAACAAGATATATTAATAATCCTCATACTTAGGTAGTATCGTTAACAATCTAATTTAAAATATATACTAGAAACATAATCTAATCTAAAGAATCATAATATGAAGCCTGATCTCTCCCCGGATAAACCAAGGTGTATATATATATAATCCCATGATCATCCATTATTAAGGGAGTGTATTTGTTTAAGATTTTATAGGATTTTATTGAATTTTAAAAAGTCTATGAATTTTAGTGGATTTTATTAATCGATTTAGATGGATTTTTTTATTGATTATTTATGAAATTATATAGATTTGATAGGATTGTAAATTTTTTTTATTAATTTATATAAATATATAAATTTATATAAAATACACTTCTAGATAATTATATTATTCAAATTTTTAATTAAAAATATAAATAAATATTTTTAATTTTAAAAAAGACATTATTATTTTTATTATTATTATTATTTTCATTTCCATTATATTACGGTCTTATTTTTCCACATAGCGGTAGCAATATTAATTTTTCATGCGTTAGCTTTCGTTGTTTGTGAATTTTCATCTTCCTTGTAGAGATGTGAGAAATCTTAAACTTCATATTCGATTGAAAATTCATCTGATATTATTTACTAAATATATTTTTAAAAAACTATTAATAATGTAGAAATATTTTAACATGATACTATTTTTGTATATTAATATTTTTTATATTATTATAATTCAGTATATCAATTTATTTTAATTTATATTTGGTATTATGATTTATATATTTATTACATAAAATAAACATATATATAAAATCAATATCCAAATTTACGATTTTTGCATAAAATATTTGAAATTAAAAAAAAAGAGTAAATATAAATTAATGATTCAACGAAGAATGATACAATAATAATGTATTTGATAATTAAAAATAGATGATAATTGTAATACATATATATTATGATAAAATATTTGTATTTTTTAAATATTATATTTATAATATAAAAACAAATATGTTTTTAAAAATTGATAATAATTTGTTAGTATATTTTAATTTTAAATTATTATTTTTATTAAAATATTTTAATAATATTAATATTTATTACTCATACATTATTAATAATAATAATAATAATAATAATAATAATAATATATTTTCAAGAATCCATCAAAATCTCTGCTTATCAGGAGAGATTTTGTACCATACGAATTTTTTATAACATTCTATTAAAATTCAATAACATCCATTTAAAAGTCCATAGATTATTGAATACCTTCAAATTTTACAAAATTTTTAAAAATATATATTGAATACCTCCAAATTTTAAAAGACTTTTAAAAGTCTAATTGAATACCTCAAAAATTTTGAAAAAATTTTCTGGATTGAATAAACTCAAATTTTAAAAGTCTGTCAAAATACTATAAAATCTATATTGAGTACACCCCTAAATCAGATGTTAGAGCTGGGATTTTGAACACGCTTCGAGTCCGAAGCTGACTTTGAAAGTTGGACTTTGATCTCAATGAAATTAAAGTGGAGGCATGCAATATGGTATCGTTACAGTTGAAAGTTGGTTCGAAAAGGAAGATCAAACTAACTTTATTAAAATCAGAAGCAGGAAAGATATCAAATCAATGATATGAAACAGTATTGTGAACATCTACCAGTCAGTTTCAACTTTCAAATCAAATGATATCAAAACTGAAATCTGAGTATTATTAGTTAATGAATGAAACAATGATATGAATATTCTAAAATCGGGAAATCAAATCAGTATATTATTATTAATTAATTATTTCTTTCTTTCTTTCACAAGTAATGGATTCTAAAAAGCAAAACAAGAGAATTTTGAATGAATTATAAATATCAGACCTCTATCATGTTTGATTATCAGGGGTGGAGTGAAAAGGGGGAATGGATGGAGATGCACAGAACCGGACGACGCCTGAGTTGGGGTCCAAAAGTGGAGGAAAGTCGTCGCCATGATCAGCCATATTCCATATGTTGTCGCACTCTTTGAATGCTGCAGCAGCAGATTCTTCGAGTTTGTTCTTCTGCTTCTTTTCATGAAATCCACCGTCAATATTCTGAGATTCTATGGATCTGGCCATCGGTGTTGTCTTCTCCCATTTCTTTGTCTCGTTATCATCGTTGTTGTTGTGGCCATTACCTCTCACCCTCTTTGGAATGGGTGAGACCTGTAAGCCTCTGCACCAACGTCATGTGGCTTCGCATGGATGACTCTGGGAGACTGGGTGTATATAATTACGGGTGGTTGTCGGTGCGGGGGCTTTGGAGGGTTTGAGGAGGAGCAAGAGGATGCAGCAGCAGGAGGTTTGGTAATCTTACAAGAATCTTTGTTGATTCTGAACTGGCGTTGGCGTGTACAGCCAACCCTGGCGGCGCACATAACTCTTTAATTACTTGCTTAATTTGATGATAAACGCCAAAGTGGATTTGATATTGATATGCGCATATAATATATTATATTATATGATATGGATGTTATAGATATATATATATATATATATATATATATGAGGTAAGAAAGACTTCCCTAAGTAGTGTGTGTAAGAGAGATGGAGGAAGAGAGGAGAAGGCATGGACAATGAATGAGTTAGTTTGCGAGGGGCGAACAATGTGGGGGGGTTTATCGGACGGAGTTGAGGGCTGTTAGATAGATAGATATTTGGCGTTAAAGCGTTGTTCTCCATCAGATCGGATAACCTTAACAACTAAACTGACGCCGATCGATGCGTCACTCAGATCTCCCTCCTACTCCCACCTAATTATATACATATATATATATATATGTATCTCACATACATGCATGCATATATACTTTCAAAGAACACATAACATACATGTACTACGTCTGTCTGTCTACATATATATTTAAAAAGTCTTTGGACGTGTTTCTTTTAAGATTTTGAATTTTTATTTGAAATTTGAATAGTAAAAGTTTTGAATTAAAATAATAGTATAATTTGATATTGTTAGATGACTATAATAACAGTCTCATTTAAACAATTAAGTTGTTAATAATACATGTCGTTAATTATTTTTGCCTCCTCAAGTACAAGTAAATGTATGTGAGACTTGTACGTGGATATATGTCGGATGAGAATGGTGAGACTCAAACTCTAAACTTATACTTCTAACATCATGTTAGATGATCAAATCGTCTCACTTAAAAGCTTACGGCCATGTCAGATGACCGGAACGACCGTTTCATCTAAAAACTTACTTTATGTTAGATGATCAGAATGACCGCCTTACCTAAAAACTTACGGCTTTGTTAGATGATCATAAAGACCGTTTTCACTTAAAAGCTTAAGTTATTAGACATATGTATCTCCCATAATAATCTCCACAATGGTACACTCCAAGATGATAATATATATAAAATGACAACTATTTATGAATGTGTTTCTTTTAACACAAAACTTTTAAACTTTACATTTTCGAAAAAATATACTTTTTTCGTTCCCTAAATTTACTTTTATTTTATTTTTTAGTCCAACCCCTAAATTTATCTCATTATTATTATCTTACATTCAAAATTTATTTACACCAAATGTCACACTCTTATTACTTTCTTTCTATTAATTTTCTTTAATTTTTAACTAAAATTTTTAAAACACCTCTAATTATTTTTTTTTTATTTTTATCACTTTTCAATAAAATAGTCGGTCCGGAACCAAATATTCTAAATTTACTGGGTAGAGAAATTATTTTTTTATACATTGTTTTAATATAAAATCCAAACCAGTGAAACATACTCTATGTGCCTGTGTTTGTGCTGTGGGAACAGCCTCTTAACAAACAGTATGATTTTGTCTTACAAAGTGTCTGCCTTGGCAACATGTTTTTTCTTTTTTTTTTGAATATCAATACAACGTCACTTAGACCTCTCGTGGAGATGATTTGAGGATGTCTGTGTATTGCGGTAATTCAAGTAATATGCAATTACATCAACCAAATCTTTTTTTTTTTAAATTTTTTGAGGTTTTCAATATAAGTTTTTCGTTTACAAAAAAATTAGGCATTCAATATATATTTTTTAATACTGTATAAAATTTCTTTGATTCTCTTCCAAAAATATAAATAAATTTAATTACATAACATAAAATTATTATGGGCTGGACTTAATTGGACGGCAGGATGAGGATAGCTTCAGCCCAAGACAAAGTCCCAGGTTGCAACATCGATCGATCGAAGAAGAGACGTTTTTTTTGAGATTTTGACGCGGACAGCTGCTGAATCGAATTCAACTTCTCAAGTCCCCCGATCTGTGCAATTAACGAGTCTCAGGAATTGAGTTGAATTAGAGTTCCCGAATGTCTATGCTGAATCAATTATTCAACAGAGGGCTTCTGGGAGCAAAGTGGTGAGTCCAATCAATTTGCTTTCAAGTTTTCTCTAGTCAGTTGGTTGTTTTAATTACACTGACGAGATCGAGAAACGGAAACCCCCTGCGCTTCTGCGTGGATTTTTCTCAGATTAGTGAATAGATTCCTAATTGAAATTCTCGACCTTTACCGGGTTGTTGTCTATTCTTTGAACGGGAAAATTGTTACCTCATACTGAAATTGCTTACATCTTTGTTTATGCGCGATCTACCCAGCGATTTCTCTATGGTGTTCTTGTTTTAAAATTATGCTAGGTTAGACTGAGAAGCTGAACTCTACGACGAACTAGAGACAACGTGTGTATTAAACAGAAGAGGAGTATGTATGTCATCGCTCTTTAAGATAATTAGAAGTGACATTTATCAAGAAATTAAATTGATGCTAAGATAATACACTTCCAATTATTTTTGGGGGATGCTATTGATTGTTGAACATTTTGGTTTCTATTGCCAAGGGAACTTTAGCGTGATGTCTTACCGCCATATGGTTTGTAAACAAGTTACTGCACTTGAGAGTTTAATTCTTGATACTTTGCAGTAAAACATGCTTAACTTTGGCAATCTCACGCATCAAATTATTGCAAAATAAGCGAGATGTGAATCTGAAACTTATGAGAAAAGAGATTGCTGAATTTCTGCTGGCTGGCCAAGAAGCTATTGCGAGAATCCGAGTAATACAGTAATTTCACACACGTCTCCTCTATTTTCCGATATAAGCATGGTTTGCATTTTTTTTTTCTCATAGTCATTCCCCAATTAGGTGGAGCATGTGATAAGAGAACAGAATACATGGGAGGCATATGAGATACTGGAGTTGTTCTGTGAATTTGTTCTTGCCCGTGTGCCTGTTCTAGAAAGTCAGAGGTAAAATCTTTGATTTGTTGTTCTCGGAATTAATACTGCTGATATTTTATTGCAGCATCTCACAGAGTTATAAATGTACCATAATGTGTGATCTATTAATTTAGAGTGGCAGTAGATCATTTCCTATGCTGATCTTTCAGTATATGGTACTCAATGTCGAATATTGATATGTTTTAATCATTATGTTAATCTGTGCTCCTTGCATTAACATTATTTCTCAATGTTGATACTCGATTGTTTGATGTGGAAAATGAGTTGTTGACTATGCAGATCAAGCGTAGCCTGTTCTAGGGTTTGCTAATCTTTGTCGCAGTGTGCCTATTTTCTCGGATCATGTAACACCCTAGTTTTGCCTCACTCTCTAATGTAGTAGTCAACCATGTTTTTTGTCAGTAGTCGGGAGATGCATCATTGATAATTTGAAAAGGCTTTGTTGTCTTTTTTACCTGATATGCATGACAAGTTCATGACCCTTAGATTGTAGCTGTAATTGGGTTCCATTTGTAATCTGTTGGTTGTTCATTCACTCATTGAATTGTGGTGAGCTGGGGATTAATGCTGGTAAACTGACAATTAAGTGCCGTATACTCTGCCTTTCCAATGTCAATGTCATGTTACACGAATAATCATAAATTATGGTTGCCATTGGGTGTCATTAAATGTAGGAATTGTGATCTATTAGTCATTCTGTGGCTCATTGAAGTTTGTGATAGTTAGTACTGGGAGACCAACAATTCAATGACGTATGCTCTAGCCTCTTCCCCTTCGACTTAATGTTATGTTATGTGGCAGGCGTTATCTTAGATTATATCTTTGATTGGATGCTATAAAATGTGAGAATTATAACAAGAAAACTAACAATTCAATGACGAATGCTCTACCTCTTGATGTCAACACCATGTTAGGCGGCAAGCATGATCTAGACTATAGCTGTGATTGGACGCCATAGAATGTAAGGACTGTTCTCTGTCAATCATTCATTTGCTCGCTAGATCCTGTGATGAACTTTATAATTAATGCTGGGAAGCCGACAATTCAATGACATAATGCTCAACTTTTTCAATGTCAGTGTTATGTTGCAATCATAATCTCTTATATTCATTCTAGCCATTGGGTGCTGTCAAATGTGAGAATGTGATCTGTTAATCATTCATACGCATTCGATTATTTGGTGTTGGTAATTAATGCGGGAAAGCCGACAATTCAATGTCATAAGATCACCTGTTATAACGACCTTATTATGTTGCATAAAACAGAGAATGCCCTACTGAGTTGCGGGAGTCAGTGGCAAGCATTATCTTTGCGGCTCCCAGATGTTCGGATTTGCCAGATCTATTGAATGTCCGGAATTTATTTGCCGCTAAATATGGAAAAGAATTTATATCTGCTGCATCAGAGCTTCGCCCTGATACCAGTGTCAACCGTACAGTTAATTCAGTTTTGCTGTGTTTTCTTGGCATCACAACCTCATACCAAATTCAAATTTGATATTTCTTCACTTATTTTCAGATGATTGAAAAGCTTTCAGTCACCGCCCCTCCTGCTGATCAAAAGCTCAAAGTTCTGCTAGAGATCGCAGCAGAACATAATATCAATTGGAACTCTACCAAAACTGAAGCAGAATTCAGGAAAAAACCTGAGGATCTTCTGGTATGTGTACATGTATGCTGCTCCTACTCTTGCTTCTCCACAGTTAGCACTCTTCAATTCATATGCATTTCAGAATGGACCAAAACCAATAGCTGCTCAACCAGGAAGACATTCAAGGACTGAAGCTGGGGAACATTTGGATACAAAGGATAAATCAGCAGCAGCTCCTTTCAATGGGAAGCAAGGAGATGGCTATGCACATGCGCAGCCCCGCGCTTCCCCAAGCAACTCTGCTTCTGTTGCCTTCAGGTCTAGGACAATCATAGAATCTTCAACCAGAGAGCACAAGGTAGAACCGACCCCGGGAGTTGATAATAATAGCTCAAGTGTAGAATTGCCAGATGCATTGCAAAGGGCATGTGCAGCCATTGCAGCAGCCGAGCGTGCTTGTGCCGAAGCCTGGGCTGCTGCAGAATTGGTAAATGCCGGCCAAACACGATGATGTAAACAACACCCTACTGGCCAACACCCTACTGGCCAAAGAAGCTGATGCTCTTTGATCTTATCTTTGTGTGTGTTTTAAATGTGCGGTTTTGGAGGGCAGAAATTCAATTGCGGGTGTAGTGTGATTGACCACAGTTTGTAACAGCTGTTCTTCATTACATTATCGTAAAAATCATCAAATGTCAAACCTAATTAAGTAACTAGTACACTAATCATCTCTCTCTTTTTCGTAGCAAAAACTACTTTCGGCTTAAGACACGAAAGGGATTGAGGATTGGAAATCTTGGACATATTCGATGAGGTCAACATGGGAAATTTTGATTAGGGATAAGAATTTCAAAAGGGAAATTGATTCCCCTACTTTTCCACAATGTGCTCTCCAGCAGAACACGTTGTCGTTGGTTGCTTACTTTTAATCAAATGACAAAATGTAGGCATTTTTTTCTTGCATGTTGGCATGTATTTTCTGTATTTAATTTATTTATTACACTAAACTAAAGATCATTTAGACCAACCTATATAGATGAACGTGGCCCTGTCCCACACCCCCAAAGACATGCCCAGATTAGATATATTTTTAAATATATCTTAGTTTGTCATGTCAGGCAATTTAATTTATTCATGTCGCCATTGGATTTTGTTGCAATTTTTTAGACTATATCTATGACTAGGGAACCTGTATGTCTCAGGTTTGCAAGCTTTGAAGATTGATTTTCGAACAGCTGGTTTGCTCATGTGCAAGTGGGCATAGAAAGAACATATCCTTGAGTGTATGTGGGATGGGAGCTTTTAAGGAGAGCAAAATCTTTTACAAATTTCAGATTATGAAAAAGAATGCACAAAATGACAATTGGTTAAAGATGTCCGTCCGTCCGTCCGTGCCTCAACACAAACAAAAATGGAGTATATGTTTTTTGTACTAGTGCAATCCTGTTTGTTAACAAACATCATTTTATGTTGGATGCATTAGGATTGGGTAAGGTGTATTTATCTCTCTCTCTCTCTCTCAAACACATCCATCCTCACTTTGTAGTAGATTGAAATTTAGGATATTTACTGTAGTATTTTGGCACCGTCAATAAAACTAGGACCCACTAAGCAAGGTTTACAGTTTATTTTATTCCAGGGATTTTGTTACTACTATTATTTCATGGTATGGTATGGTATGATATGATAAGAGGCGATTGGTGACATTAATGGTATGGTATCCAGTCCAGTCCAGTCCACAGGCGCTCAAGTGATGATGGATAGATAAATCTACACCGTCCATCGGTCAACAGGTGACGCATCTCCCCGAAGAGAAACCCAACTGGACAACTGACAACACCAATATAAATACATATTATCATATCTCATCAAGATTCGAGGCGGTCTATATTTATATTTATATTTACATTTATATTTATTTCCAGCGATGGGTGCCCGACTCCCAAGACGTTACGCGCCGCTGATGGCGTGGACTTACTTGTGTGGGGTCCGCATAATAGATGGTGGCGATTCATTCATTATTCCGGGTGTTGCGCTCCCCCTACCCCTACCCCTACGCCTAGGAGCCGGGAGGGAGGAATAATAATAATAAATAATAATAATAATAATAATTCATATGATATGATCTACTCCTATTTCATTCCATTCCTCCCTCCACAATCCACATAGTAAAAGCTCCTCCGTCTGTTCTGTCGACCCACAACCCACAACCCGACCGCCTTTAACACGTGTCATAAATCTGCCGGTGGCAAGAAAGATATTTTTAAGTTCAACTTGAACTTGCCTAGCCTTTCTTAAATTAAATTAAATTAAAATACTACTAGACTTAGTGTTAATTTATTTGGGATGGTGTATCATGTGACGAACAGGAACAGGCCACCGATGCTGCCTGCCATGAGCCATCTTTCTATCTAATTTAATTTAATTTAATTTATCTTAGTAGAGTAATTTATTTCTATCACACCATGCCAATGCCAATGCCATCATATAACTCACTCTAAGCTGCAGTGCAGATTCAAGATCTACTACTTCCTAGTGTTTGTTTTTCAATTGAATAGAGTCCACTAGTATTTTTATGTCGGTCTTCCCACACCGCAAACGCTCCTCTGAATTTTTAATGTTGTGCAGATCTCATGTCATGTATGTACCGTACCGTATTTTTAGTTGAATAGTAGTAGTTGGCAGCCTTATTAAAGTACGTGTCCCCCACGCGCTGTTGCTCCTTTGAAACAGTAGATCCAATCCCAGTTTTCGTTTTGGTTTTCAAATCTTAATTTTCCTTTTCTTTAAAAATTATTACTACTATTGAGTATTTTTGGTGTCTATATATTCCCCGGGACACCCCCCTATCCGCCTTCTCTCCTCTTTGTCCGAGGCTGACCGTTTCCTCTGCCGCTGGCTATTCATTTCATCACTCATCCTATCTCCTCTTCTTTCCTTTGTTTCTCTACCTCTTCAATTTTCTTTTTTTTTTTTTTTGTTTTTTTGTTTTCTTTCATTCTCATTCTTTCTCATAGAGGAAATTCAAACCCTCCCTTTTCCTGGAAGAGGAGGAGCCTTAGCCTTAGCCTTACAATTTTGTACACATCTTTCAGGTAAGGAAAGCTATTTCTTTTGTTCCCATCCGGCTCCGGAACCCCTCGATCTGCTTCCGTTTCTCTTCTACTTGGAAACCAGTAGTACATGTGCTGTTCTTGATGACGGGCTGGATGTGATTTTTCTGTGTTGTTGATTTTCAATCAAAGCCTTTTTTGGGGGAAAAATAAGCCCTCGTATTTAATAGATGGAATAGGTGTTCAGCTAGGTCTTTCTTGGATTTAAAATTTTAAATTGGCGATCTATATGTAATTTTTCAAAATTTTGGAGCAGAGTTGTGTTCATCCTATGCTGGTAGCTCAAATCCCACTTGTACACCTCAAATATGAAGCGAATTCTTACCTACGTGCTTATAAAAATCTTTGAATTAAGAAATTCAATCCGATCTGACAATCTCAAGATCATTTGAAGCTGTGAGATATGTATGTGCGGTTTTATTCTGAAGATTTTTACATAAAAATTATTTTCTTGTTGAACTTATTGTAAGAACAAGTCAAAATACCTGCCGGCTTTTCTTCTCTTTTGTCCTGTTGACTTTGCTCTTCGCCTAGAACAAAACACAATTTTAACTGTTCCTATTTCGACTTTGAATCTACCGTTTACTTACAGATCTGCTAGTTGTTTTCTTTTCAAGTTACTTCCGACTTACCAAGATTTCTCCTCTTCTGGTAATCGCAGGTTTTTATAATTTTTTTGTTTCAATCCCGGCATCTTCATTCTTCAAGGAGAAGAAAAAAAAAATGAATCACTATGCGATTCAGCAGAACGGGTTCGCTGCCTGTGAAGAGATTTGGGCGAGCGCCGCTGCTGCCGGCAGATCCGTGGAAAAGAAAGGGACTGTTGTATGCCCTAAGCCAAGGCGGTTTGGCTTAAATCAAACAGCTTTTGAACAACCTTCATATGGGAGGATCTTGAGATGGCATGTCAGGTTAGTTCAGTTTTATATTTTTGCTCAATCTTAATGGTTCCCGTACATCAAATATTGTTATTAATTCTGGTGTTCTTGTTTCTTTTGCTTTAATTTTGTAGCCATCAGCAAGACGATTGTGATGCAAAAGCTGGAAATGAACTCCTGGACATAATTCTTCCAAAGGTATCTTTTTTTATTTGTACGGATTACCCTTGATCTATTATAGTAGTATGATTATGAAGTGGTTAGAACTGATGGCAGTTTGGTGTTGGATGTATGTATGTGCAGGGTGGTGTGGATCATCATCAGGTAGTTGCTGGGTCGTCTCCCCCATTTTTTTCCGGATCTCCGCCGAGTAGAGTATCTAACCCACTAATTCAAGATGCACGTTTTGGGGATGAGAAAGTTAGTCCAGTTTCGCCGCGGGCAATGGCAATTCCAATCCCAATCCCATCGTCCCCCCGCAAGGGTGGTGGTTGTGTTCGGGGCAATTTTGGCAACAATCCGGCCGTGAGGATCGAGGGTTTTGACTGCCTCGACAGGGATAGGCGCAATTGCAGTATCCCTGCCCTGGCATGATGACGATGAGTTCGAGAGAGAGAGTACATACAAATAAATACATAGATCTCAACGAGAGAGAGTATTGTCGTTATCATTGCATTGATCAACTGAACCAGCTGGCTAGCTAAGCAAGGGCCGGCCGGATCATTGATCATTTTGTCTAGCACAAGCACTAGAGCTAGTACTACTGTACATATATGATAATGGTATGATATGTGTCCCGACGTCTTCTGTGTCTGTAATTATGAGTCTCCAAGAAATTAAGTAGTAAGTAATAATTAGGAAAGGCTCTCTCCTCTTTGTTATTGTGTAAGTAAAAGATGGAAAGAGGAGGGGAGGGTTGCCTGCCTGGATTAGCAGCAGCAGTCAGTAAGTGGCGTTTGTGGTGTCCGTTTCGTGTTGGTTGTTAGTTCTGACTTGTAAGCATTCATCAGTTGAGTTGAGTAGGATGAGAAAATTTGTACAAAAGGGCAAGTACTACTGCTATGTATTAATTTGTACTATACCAAACCTATACACATGGACTCCCTAGCCTAATCTCTTTGTATGAGTACTGCAGCAAGTGTGTTGCATTGTTACAAAATCCTTGCACCTTTACTATCATCATCTATTTTCAAGTATTTAGTGTTGAGTAGAGGAAGCTACGTTACGTGTATGTATCTGTGTTAACTAGCCTAGCCGTTTATTTGGTAAGACTAAGACATCCCTTTCCTTTCGACAACGCGGCGTGATGTGTTTTCAATGGTAGCCGCGAATATTCTGTGAGTCGTCGTCAATCAGTCCTTTGGTCCAGACGGGTGGGGTACACCCATGTGGATTGGATTTGGAGCCAACTTATGGACTGGATTGTGGTTGGTGGCCGGCTGGTCCAGCTGGTACCGTATTTGCTACTGCTAGACCCATCGAGTAACACATGTGGGCTGGGCTGGCGACCTTCGGGATAAGCCCATCTACGAATAGGCTGACCTTCCACTGACTGCCAACGTACGTTAACGTCTGAAATAATGTCTTGTCTCTCTATTCCTTCTTCACTGTGGCGTCGCGTGTATCACAGTTGCGACTCGCCAATGTATGTATGTACGTATCGACTACTGACTGACTGACTGACTCAGCTTGGATCGGGATTCCAGGCATCACTTTATCGCAATTGCTTTTTGCTTACTTGCTGCCTAGAACTAGAAGAGCAGGATTTAAACACCAAAAACACTTTCATCAGCCCCTCCCTCTGCTCGTGTATTGTAGCGCTCAAAGAGCGAGATAGAGAGGGGAAAAAAATAAACAGTAGTAAATCGGAGTGGAAATGGACGATGGGAAAGGGTCGACGCTAGTTCATCTTCTTGTCATAGTCTTGAGCTTGACTGCATTTGGATTTGCAATAGCTGCCGAACGACGCCGTAGCACTGTATGAGCTCTTTTTTTCCTCATCTTTTCCTTAACCTATTTATTTTATACAACATTATTACATGTTCTTGTATGTCTATTCGCATATGCTTAATTGTTGAAGAATGTAACTGCGTTTTAGATCTCTGTTCTGTTCTTCAAGTGTTGGTATTTTGTTGGATGAGTCATATTATGCGCTTTATTCTTTTGGAAAACTGATTCTTCCTTTACTGTTTTAGCTTTTGTAAAAGTGGGGCATTTTAGCATTTTATCCCACATCTTAGAAGGATTATCTTTTCAATTGTCCAGATTTCTTTATAATGTTTTGGTACTTCATCTGCACCTATTTTTACTCAGTGGAGCTGGATTATGTTTGTAAATTTGCAAGACAGTTGTCTGATCCTTGGGGTGATTTATTTTTTGTATGATTTTGGTTGTGTAGCGTGCAGTGGGACAAATTCTTGTCTGTGAGGCCATTTGGCTTTAACTTAGTGTTGGTCGTTCTTTGATTCTCCAGCGCATCTAAAGCATACAGCATTAAGACCTTATAGTCTTTCTACCCCCAGTCCATCTTCATTGTTGAAAATTCTCTTCACTGCCACTACAAACTGTCCCTGCAGCTCATCATCAATGAAGCTTTCATGGTTTTTTCCTAATCAACCCAGAGATTATGCACCAACTGGTTCAAGGATCCATGTGCATTGTGGGCAAGTTACTTGATTAGCTAATGTCTGAGTATTATCTAATACTTGACTGATTGATTGCCTTATAGTTGCTACAATCACTAGGTTGGTGTGCTTCCATGTGTTCTGCAGTGATGAACTACCTACTTATTGTTTGATTTCAATTTGCATAATCTCTCATATACCTCAAGAAGTTACCATCCCTTGTGCTTCCAATGTGATTGACCATGCATGCCTTAGACGAGTTTTTTTGTTGTGGTGTGATTATGTGCAATGTGTTAAAAACAAATTACGCCATTCTGCCCACAAATGGTGATTCCCCTGGTCTTGTTACCTCTCAAGTCAAGACTTGTTGGTACTTCACATACCGACCTTCTATCTCTATTAATCAATCAATCAAGCAATACTATCACTCTGTTTCAATTATGGTTCAACTAAGACTTGTTTCTGTGTTCACTGACAGGGTGTTGAACGCATAGATGAAGCCACTAATAAAACCTACTGTGTTTACAACTCCGATGTTGCAACTGGGTACGGCGTTGGGGCTTTCTTGTTTCTCCTCTCGAGCGAGTCCCTGCTCATGGGCGTCACAAGGTGCATGTGCTTCGGAAGGCCTTTGACACCAGGAGGCAACCGAGCCTGGACCATAATCTATTTCATATCTTCACTGTAAGTATAAGACATAACAAATTTCTTCGCCCCCTTGTCTTCCCCTGATCTTAAATATGCTTGCTTTGAATTGCACAGAATCACTGCCCTCGTGGCAGAGGCATGCCTAATCGCCGGTGCAACTAAAAATGCTTACCACACCAAATACCGCGACATGATCTATGCACATAACTTTTCTTGCGACTCACTGAGGAAAGGTGTCTTCATCGCTGGAGCTGTCTTTGTGGTTGCCAACATGATTCTGAACGTTTACTACTACATGTATTTCACTAAAGCTACTACTCAGACAATGGTTCACAAAGCCAGTCGCGGAGGTTCATCTGTCGGCATGACCGGCAAAGGCGGCCGTGTATAGAATAGAAGAATGTTTTGTAACTGCACTTGTAATGTCTTAAGAAACTGTACTTGGCCTAATTAAGCCACCGTGAGTTGCAACTTATTATTCCTGCAATTGTGTGAAAATTAAGTTTGTTTATGCTTTTGTCAAGAGTAATGATGAGTCGAGTCAGCTCCATCAAGATATATATACATATATAGAATTTGGGAATGGTGAGCAGAGCATGGCCTGGCCTGGCATGGCGTGGTGAGAACCGTAGATAATATATAATTAATCTCACAGTGGACAAACATGTCCCTTAAAAAACATGAATTATCGTGCAAGCATAATAAAATGCACAGCACCTCATCTCACCTGCAAATGTTTTTTGTCGGATCGATGGAGCAAGGTTTTCAGAGTCAGTTGTCCCTCCGCCAAATCAAGGAGTCTGTTGCAGGGATCATAAATTTGTGATGGTGATGGGGACAGAGTGGTGAGAGAGAAAATTGAAGTGAATGTGGGCAAGGAGAAAATGGCAAAAGAGGGAAGAATGAGAGAGAGAGAGAGAGAGAGAGAGAGAGAGGGAGAGGAGACAATTGATCTTGCTTGAGATTTATAAATGTATGTTGTGAAGGCACAGCAGGTAGAAGACACCGAGAGAGGAACAAATCCAAGGTACAAACTCGAAAAGGGTTTTTAACTTTATTAATAATGCATCTCATATACTCCATGCATGGTTGTAATTCTTTTTTCCTAGCTCATACAAAAATATACTAGTACTAAATAATAAAACAATACAAAAAAGGCCCGAATACCCAAACCATTGCTGATTTATTCCCCCTTTCCCCTTTCCATCAGAGTTATAAATGTCTTTGATAGAAATTAATTAATACTAAACGATGAATTCCCAAATACTGGAAAAAGGAAAAATCCGAGCTAGATGCATCGATATAATCTTGGTTTGAGTGTTTTGCTGTTCAACTTCAAATTTTTTACCTCTGCTGAGTGGTGATAGTTCAAACTCTGAGATACGGGATTTCCTATACACTAGTACTGACTGACACGTCATTTTTTGCCCAAATGATTAGGTATGCATTAATTAATTCCTAGCTAATTAATTTCCAAAACACTTTTATTAAGTCAGGGTTGAGGAACGCATGCAATGCAATGCAACACCCATTCTTTCTTCGTCTTCGTCTTCGTCTTCTCGAATTAATTGTTGTCACGAAAGTGATGATATACTTATTAGATTCGTCCAATTGCTCCTTACATACATGTAATAAATATCCAACTACTTGTGCCGGGACAGCTTGATGATTTAGTTGGAGCGTTATCATTCATTCTTGTTGTTGTTGGTGACCACATTAATATTCCCGAGAAAGCTGCATCCACATCGTAATAAATTTTGAAATGGGTGTGGACATCCCATGTATGTCTGTCTGTCTGTATGTACATGTTAACATGCATGTTACGTTGTTGGTACAATCCTACTACGGACTTCACTTCTTCCATCCTAGTATTAATCAATCATTTAATTCATTTATAATTATATCGAATTCGGGGAATTAATACACATCGAGCTAAGTAAGCTACCAAATTAGTACATGTACTTCTAAACCCATTAATAATATATATATATATATATAAAAACATGTACTACCTTTTCGCTCCTCTCCTAATTAACAACAAAAATCTTTCTTAACACCGTAGCGGGATTCCCGGCCACCATCCTCATGTTTTTCCAAATCTCTGTCTCGATTATTATTATTATTATATATATATATATAATTATTACAGTATTGTTAGCTAGATTATATATTACGTCAATTTTGATGAAGAAATTAATACTAGCTTGCTAGGGTAGGGTTGGGTTGCATACCCCCCGTTTTACGTATAATGTAAGGAATTTCTGTCTCCGTGGTCGTGAGTCGTATCGTATGTCTTCTGTGTAATTAACCTTTTAACTAATTAAATAATAATTGGTCGACGGGGCTACGTGGCAATGCCGTCCTGGTTGCAGGCTGTCATATTTAAATGATTGATTAATTTTATAAGTTATTCAAGGTTATTGTTTGAATTAATTAAAAATGATTGCGCAAAATCTCTAGTTGGTGAAATTGTCTTAAAAAAATGAGTAGATGTCACAATTTTACACCCCTTTAAAAAAACATAAAAAAAGTGATGGGAGTGAAAATTAAAAGGAGATAATTATTGCTACCTGAGATGAGAGGAAAACATTTTTTGCATCCGTGTTCTACTTGTACCTATATATTTAAATCACCAGGTCAGAAAAACAGTCTCAGGAAGTCCGGGGAGCCCAACACCGGATTGAATCTACACCATTGATGATCTCGACCCCACAACAATGAACAGTGTAGATTTAGAGAGCTAGCTAGCCCTTTTCTGCAGCTGCGATTACCGTCATCGTCCCACGACAAACACTGCTAGTTTAGTTTTGATTTATACCTTCCAATCACGGAGCGGTGAGGTCCCTCTCCTGCATGTATGTATGTATGTATATATTCACACCCACCCACCCACCCACCCCACCCCCTATCCCTCCCTCCTCCTTGTAAAGTAGCTAGGTATGTATGTAAAGCACAAAGCCGTCAATTTGTAGTCAAATTACTTGAGCTGTTTCTTGTGCCGTCTCTCTCCTTATGTTCGTGTGACAGTCAGACAGATATCACTGCCCCTCATTTCTTTCCTGTGCTTCAAATTTTCAACTTCAACCCTCAAAGAAACCAATCATATAACATATATATATATTCTCAGATATATATCTCCTCTCCAATCAATCTAGCAGTTATATCTATAATTTATTACTGCATAGCGCAGAAACAGTTGTTTCCTTGACAACCCACCCTTTAATTTATGTGGGAGCACCGGCGATGTCATTTTCCGGCGCAAGAAGAGCAGTCTACTCCTCGTCTATGGCGCTGCTTCTCGTCGTCACGTTTCTGCATATTTGGGTGTCGGGCCCAACCAATATTACGGTAGGGGCAATAAGGGAATTTCCGAAAATTACTCATGTTGTAGAGGCATCAGACCGACTGCAAGTGCCTCTGGAAGTGGAAGCAGCTCCTCCTCCTCCTCCTCCTCCTCCTCCTCCAAGGAAGAACCAAACAGAAATATTCAAAGAGTATTTCAAGAGCATGAGCATGAGCAGGCTTTCGGATTCAGGCAACGGTACTGCTGCTACCACAAACGATACTTTCCATGATAGCAAAAGGAGAATACCCAGCTGCCCAGATCCTCTCCACAATTAGCTAGGAGTGTTAGTTAATTGATTAATTAATTAATTAATTTCAATCCATCTCTACTTCTTCTTCATTTCCTTTATTAAAATTATATATATATTGCTGCAATTTCATCCAAAATACCCACGTTTTCTCTCGAATTTATGGTACCTCGATTCACCTGGTGGTTATATCCAAGGGGTAAACCGTGGGTATTTTGGTGCTTTCAAGATTCTGCCGTTAGAACTCGGTGATCAGTCGAGAGAGATCAAGAACCGGAAGGAAATAGCCGGTACTGTAAATAAATCTCATCGACCAATTAATATTAATATTAATCCTTTTTCTTTTACCAGTGTCTTTACATTTAAATTTAATAAATGTATGCTCATACATTTTCTGACCGTCTTTTTTTATCTCTTGCTCAGACTATGTCGGTAATTAATGCTGCAGTAGTAATTGGAATTATAGAAGAAGATCGATATATATATATATATATGTTGATATACCATGGTGTACTACTACTAGTGATGGCAGATTGATGGTACAGCACATGTGTTTTCAAAAACCCCAATCTTTTTCACCTCTAGCTAGCTAGGCTAGCTTTTGATCAGTCAGCTCATGGAAGAAGATTGCAAATCTTATGAATTGTCAGGAGAAGAAAGTTAACATACAATGGAAATAAATATATATCTGTCGTCTGTATGAACGAACAACGTAACTCTGGCGCAGTTCAAACGTCCTTGCATTATTATTTACTCCTACGTAAAGAAATTCCTGTATTTGCGAACTAGCTAGGAGCTGAATTTTCACTTTTGGGGTTCTAGTTATAGATGTTCGCCTTATTTTCCAGAAGAGGTATGTTAGATTAGGTGCACTTGTCATTTCGTTATGTCTCTTCAAGTGAATTAATATAATACAATAATAGTAATATATTATCTGTGTGTGTGTGTGTGTTTGCAGCTCAGCTGAGTCAATCAAAGTCTTTAAACATGTGTATGTATGTTCTTACAATAATATTTGTACGTACGTACCATACCAGGATTGACTGTTGCCTGATTTCATCGCTTCAACTTTGACCCTTTTTATTGTTTTTTTGTTTTTTTTTTTTTTTACGATTCTCTCGCATTGTCTCTATCCTTGTATGAAAATGGAAAGAGATTTGATTGCCGTGGTGGGGACTGGAGAACGAATTTATGCATTTCTGGCTATTGATGTCTGCTCCTTGTCCCTTTAATAATCCATCCATCCATCCTTAGATTTGCTAAATCTTACTATTAATGTATTTTGAATTAAAATCTTTCAGAAATATGTATATATATTCTTAAAGTAGATCGACTACTGAATTCAAAGGAGTGCATTTGATGAAATATATCTGCGTCTCGTCTTAATTTTGACCCACAGATTTCTTGAAGACTCTCTCTCAGTACGTGGTGGGAAATTGAATGTAATGATTGTGGTGAAAACTTTCCAAAACTAATTAGTAGTAGTTAACTACACTATATTCCGTCTATTATTATTAGTATATGCTTTAATTTTTCTTGTTTTTTTTTAAGCAATTCATTCGCTTAAAATTGTTTAATTAGCAATGGAATTCAGAAGCTAGCTAGATAGCTAGTTTGAGATGATTGTTAATTAATTAAGGTGAAGTTGCAGCAGTACACCAGTGTGAGGGTGAGGGAAGCCGAACCGGAACCGGACGTTGGGTTTGATTTGATTTAAATTTTGTATTCAAGTAAAATTTGATGAAATACTTTATGATAAGAAAATTTATTTATTTTTTAAATATAAAATTTAGATCGTAAAATTTGTAAAAAAAAAACACACAAGCCAACATCTAATCTACATACTACAAATAATAGCATATATATATGAGAGAGAAGTACATTATGTGTTGACTTGGTTGTAAATTAAGCAAGTAGTGAATGAAAAGGGAAATTGTGTGGAGTGCACTACTGCTCA